GGATGGTGAAGACTATACTGTGAAACTCTGTCTCAAACAAAACAACAACAAAAAGTAAACAAAAAACAGTGCTGGCTGAGACTGCTGCTCAGTGGTGGGTACCTGATTAGCATACCCAAGGCCTTGAGCTCATTCCTTCAACCACACATAGCCAAAATTCAGTACATTGCAAATATTTGTAAATTTTACAGTGTAAAATAATTCATCTATTCTATTGCAGTCATTCAATAATTATGAGTCAGAAGAATAGGGAACTGGGTGAAGAAAGAGGTTCCAGAAATTAACAGGAAAGGTTTAAGGCTGGAAGCCCTTCCCCACCTGGGCTTCATTAGCAAAGGGAGCATGTTCACGAAGAGCTAGCTTTGTAAGATCATCAGTGCAGTAAGGTTCTATGCAAATTTCATATCAGATGTCATGCTGAGCCACTTTCATCCTCTCTTGGCGCCAGGTCATAATCCAGGTCTGGTTTGATTCTGAGCTCATCAGTATCTCTCCTTTAATAAGTTCTCTCTGCCCTGTCACTATCCATGTGCTCTCTACAACCCACTGTAAAGAGTTCTAATAACCTATAAACCCCAGCAGCTGCCTCCCAGACTCAAATCCATGCCTGAAACAGGGAGCATCTGGAGATCACATGAAGCACTAAGCCTGGAGAGTGAACATGATAAAAACAATGTGTTTGGAGGCTAGAGAGATGGCCTTGCAGTTGAATGGATTTACCCTTGCAATGGAGCCAATTTTGGCTCACGACCCCGAAGCCAAGCCACTCACAACTACCAGTAACTGCAGTTTATGGGGGCCCAACATCTTTTCTGAAATATATACACACATACTTATAAATACAATCTTCAAGAATATTTAACTGAATGATATTATCAGATTGTCACTCTCAAGCTACATAATTGTGCATATTTTTTCTTTAACATACGTGGTAAACATATGTCATTGTCTTTATACTTCATACTTGGAGCTGGGCATGGTGACACATATCTCAGCATCCAAGAGGCTGAGCATTCCAAGTTCTTGGCCTCCTATACAAGGATTCAGAGATAAAGGGTCCCATGGATTTGCACAAGAACAAAATAACCTTAGCTGGAAGGAAACAGTGGCACAGACTTTTACCTTCAAGATCGATAGTTGACCACGTGAGTGAGTGTTTAGGGAGTCTCATCATTGCTTGGGGATTTCTTTTACGGGGCTCAGGAGATGGAAAGGCTGGTTGCTAAGTAAGGGCCCTCTGTTTTGACTGGCGGGTTTGAATTATCCAAGTCCTTGGTCATTGCGTATGTCACATGTATGTCATAGAATGTTTGTGATTTTAAGTATATATGTGCTTAAGATAGAAAATAGAGGATTCTCCTTAAACATTCACTTAAAGACACAGTTTTGCCTGCCTGCATCTGCACCCAAATCCAGGTCAGTTTGATCAGCCTTTCCAGTCCTCCTATCCCAATACATTGGGAATGTACTTGACTAGAGACTGACTAAAGTTGATTATTGCTAGGGACAAAGAAATATATACTGTTGTCCAGAGATGAGGCTACAGGCCTCATCTCTGAAGGAGGGGTGTGCAAAGAGTGTGTACAGGTGAAGGACTTAGAACACCAAGCACATTATTACAAAACCAAATAGGGTCCCAGACCAAATGCTCTACTATGCTTGTCGGCTTCACCCTTAAGTGCAAGATTCTGTCTAAGAAAAACAAGCAAACAGTCAAGCTAAAGGACACTTTCAAGGCTCCATGAGTGGAGCCAGATCTCTGTGTCTGGTTCACTGCCAGTCCTCAAAGCCCAGCCCATTGCTTGACACACAGTCAGGTGCTTAGCAAATATTTGTTGATTGAGTGAATGAATATTGATGTTTCATAGTTTCTCAAGCAACTTCTGTCTTTCACAAGTGGAGGTCAGATGGCAACATACAAAAGTTGCTGGTCTTCTACCTACCATGTGGGTCCTGGGGAACAAACTGAAATCATTGGGCTTGTGGCAAGCCTCTTTACCCACTGAGCCATCTTCCTGGCTCAGAGACACAACCCTTTATAATAAAGATATTGCAGACACCAAAATCATCCACATTCCTGTCTCATTTAGAAAATGGCATCCCAGGGAGAAGCCTGTGAGGAGAGAATTTACGAGTTTGATGATGATTTGGCCTCTGAGTTCTCTGCTCTTCTCGGTGTGGACGCACTTCGGATGTTAAAGAGACAGCATGAAGAAGACCACAAAGAACGAATGAAGATGAAGAAAGGTTTTAACTCGCAGATGCGCAGTGAGGCCAGAAGATTAAAGACTTTTGTGACCTATGAGTCATTCAAATCATGGACACCTCAGGACATGGCAGCTGCTGGGTTTTACCATACAGGGGTTAAACTTGGGGTGCAGTGCTTTTGCTGTAGCTTAATCCTCTTTAGCACTAGACTCAAGAACCTTCCTATAGAAATCCACAAGAAATTACGCCCAGAATGTGAGTTCCTGTTGGGCAAAGATGTCGGTAACATTGGCAAGTATGACATAAAGGTGAAGAGTCCAGAGAAGACGCTGAGAGGCCGCAAAGCACAGTACCAAGAAGAGGAGGCCAGGCTGGAGTCCTTTGAGAAGTGGCCGTTTTATGCCCATGGGACCTCGCCACGTGTACTCTCTGCAGCCGGCTTTGTCTTTACAGGTAACTAACTGGGTCCCATTTTGTGAAGTGTTTCTGTAAAAGTTTAGTTTCCAAACTAATCAATAGGGAGGACTCTGGCTAAAATGTTCAATCCTTATCCCGAAAGGCAAAGAGGATGGAACATCAGAAGAAGAAGAAAACAGGAAACAACCCAGGAACCTGCCACAGAGGCTCTGCCCTGTAGACTATCAAAGCAGACGCTGAGACTTATGGCCAACTATTGGGCAGAGTGTGTGGAATCTTATAAAAGAAGTGGGAAATAGATCTGGAGAGGACAGGAACTCCACAAGGAGAGCAACAGAACCAAAAAATTTGAACACAGGGGTCTTTCCTGAGACTCATACTCCAACCAAGTACCAGGCATGGAGATAACTTAGAACCCCTGCAGAGATGTAGCCCATGGCAGTTCAGTGACCAAGTGGGTTCCATAGTAATGGGAAGAGGGACTGCCTCTGACATAATCTGATTGGCCTGTCTTTTGATCTCATCCCCCTGAGGGGGGAGCAGCCTTACCAGGCCAGAGAAGATGACAATGCAGCCACTCCTGATGAGATCTGATAGACTAAGATCAGAAGGAAGGAGAGGAGGGCCTCCCCTATGAGTGGACTTGGGGAGGGGCATGCTTAGAGAAGGGGGAGGGAAGGTGAGATTGGGAGGGGAAGAGGGAGGGATTTATGGGGAGATACAAAGTGAATAAAGTATAATGAATAAAAATTTAAAGAAATGATGTATTTGTGGGGTAGGTGGGATGTGAGTGCCCCGGCCCAGTGGTTACATGTGGTTGAGAACTGCCTGAGGTGGGTGCTGGGAACCAAACTCCAGTCTCCTGCATGAGCCCTCTTAACCACTGAACCATCTCTCCAACCTTTCTTTTCTTTTCCTCCTTCTCTTCCTCCTTTTCACTCTTTCTCATCTATTCTTGTTCTTGTTCTTCTTGGACTTGGTCTTCTTGTTGTTCTCCTTTTTCTTCTTGCTCTTATGCCTGTTGTTCTTCTTGTTTTCTTTATCTTCTTGTTCTTTTTGTTATTCTTATTTTTCTCTTCTTCCTCCTTTTTTTCTCCTTGTTCTCCTCCTTCTTAGTCTCCTCCTCCTTTTTCTCCTTCTGTTTCCTTTTCTTCTCTTCATCTGCATTCCTCTTGTTCTTCTTGTTGTTCTTCTTCCTCTTCCTTTATCCTCCTTCTCTTCTTCCTCCTCCTTCTCTTACTACTTCTTGTTAATCATTCCTTATTTGTTAATTGTTATATTAAAGATCTAGTTCATTAAACTTTAATAATTTTACTTCCGCTATAATTTACTATAGTGTAGCTGTTATTAACTTGCCAAATATGTATAAAATAAAAGGTTTTCTGTAAATGTGGACACATTTCTGTAAATGTGGGCCTAGAAATATATTAACTGAAGGTTGAGGTGTAGCTCATTACTTGAGGCCTAACTTAGGATGTGAAAGGCCATTGGTTTAGTCCCAGCACTGGAAAACAGAATAAGAAGACTCCAGAAACACTAGCTCCATTCATTAAGGACCTGAAAATGGATTATGAGATAGCTTAAATCCACTTTCTTCTCATTTCACAAATATTACTATTTATATGTTTTCTTGATTAATTTAATTTCTATAGTTTTGGAAGGGTTTTGTTTTTACTTATTTAACTCCCATCCATGAGGCAAACTATCCTCAAGAAGACTACACTTCGAAATGCCTCGGTCACACACCTGGCAGGTGCTAGGACAGATGTGAATGACAATTACAACAGGATCTGTATGTGCTGAGTACCTGCTTATGCTATACATGGATTGAGCACTAATTCTAATTCACTCAGTTTGCCCTTTCCCCCTGTTTGAAAGTTGAGGTCACTAAGGCTCAAAGAATTAGAGAACTGTGCCTCTATTTCCATAGACATGACATGGCAAAGCTAACTCTTAGACCTTCCGACAGCATTATTCCAGGGAGTTCTAGCTTTTGCCTACTTCTCCATCACTTTGGTCCTGAAAGCTAAAGAGCAGCCTCTATGTGTAAGAAACTAGCATGTTGAGGGCTGTGTCTATGGAGGACGGCCATGGCTGGGAAATGTAGGTCCAGACTCAGAAGGGAGTCATTTAGGGGAGTGGGATGTGGCCAGGGATTCAGCCAGAGGACATGGAAGAGCAAGCATGCTGGGGTCTGTGTTGCTCTGGTTCAGTACGATCAGCTCCAAGACACACCTGGTGCCATGGCTTCCCTGCATCTGTAGGTGAAAGGGACACTGTGCAGTGCTTCTCCTGCGGTGGATGCCTGGGAAACTGGGAAGAAGGAGACGATCCCTGGAAGGAGCATGCGAAGTGGTTCCCCAAGTAAGTTTCAAATGCTTCTTTCTTAAAGATTTCAGCTTTTATTTCTGTTTCTGTTGCTTGATATTTAGCAAAATAAAACTGGAGATAAAAGAGCAACCTTGTTGGGGTACCACATGAGTTCTGATCTTTCTCCTGTCCAATATGGGGTCACCCTAGAAATTTTCAAGCAAGGAAATCTGGTCACATAGCGAAAAGCTTGAATCACATCAACTTAAATGGCCCTTTTCTCTTTTGTGTTATTTTTTCTTTTTATCTTTTTGTTTTCATATTTCCTGTGTAGTATGTTGGTGCATGTAGACTGTGTTAATATGTGTGGTGTGTTGGTGTGTAGTGTACATATGTGCCCTTGTGCATTTCTGTAGAGGTCACATGTTAACCTAGCCCACCTTCTCATCATTCTCCACCTTATCTTTTGAGACAAACCACATGGGATCCATCTGTCCCCATTCCTCTGGGGTTAAGATTAGTGACATGGTGGCCTGGTCCCTGCTTTTATATGGGCAACACAGATTCTAATTCAGGGCCTCATGTGTAAGCTAAGGTTACTTCACCTGCTGAGACAACTCCCCAAACCCAATTGTTTACTTTAGTTTTAATATTTGGGACATTGGGGATGTGCATTAGTGCAGGCACCCTCGAGGACAGATGTGCCAGACTTCCTTAGAGCTGCAGTTACAGGTGGCTGCCCAAAATGGGTGCCGGGTGCTGAACCCAGGTCTTCTGCAAGTACATTGAGCGCATGCTCTCCAGCCCTCTCAATGTTGTTTTATTGTCCCAACACTACAATATGTCATGTCGAGCAGTTTCATGATTTACCTTAACTACCAAATGAGTCAATCTGCACAGGAATGGAAACGACGTATTGATGGAAAAGACGAGAACAGTCTTTAAAATATTACAAGTGGTTTCCCATTCAGAGAAATATGCACCAAATGAAAATTCTCGATGGATATGGTGGCACACACCTGTAATCTCATAACTGTGGTTCTCCTCCTGCCTGGGGGGGGCTGCCTCCCAGCAGCTGACAAAGTCAGGAGGAGCAGGAGACAAGAAGCCTGTCTGGAATGGCCAGCAAGAACCATATAGGGATCACATACCCTGGGAACAGCTGATGGGTAGTTCAATTTCCAGAGAACAAAGAATATGCCCCTGGGAAGTGGATGGGGCTTAGGAAAGAAGTGTACTTTAATTATTTGTGATGTGTTTAGTGGTATAATTTTGGTATCTGATGTTTTGTTTCCACTACATACAGATTTATTCCTCTAACTAGTTTTCAAATTTTCATTATGAAAATCTCAAAGAAATCAGAGAAGTGTATAAACAGAGCACCTGTCAGCAGCTGGCCTGATCGTATTTCATCTACCTCTTTCCTGCCATCCCCATGGAATGGTAATGATCGGGTTATGTCAAAGCAAAATCCAGCTAACACATGGTTTCATTTCTTATTCCTTTAGCATATAACTTTAAACAGTGATTTAAAAAAAGAGCCACAGAATTGTTATGTCTCCTACAAAGATGTACAATAAAGTGGAATAACATTAAATATCTTAGCTAGTATTCAAACGCCCCGCTCCCTTCATCGTTAGTGAATTTTTACATTGATTTAGAGTATGTCTGTGTGTGTCCCACTCTCTGCTTACTATGACTCGACCTCTTTGATTTACCGCATATGTGTTTCAAGAAAAGAGAAGCGGGGTGTAGCAGTGCGTGCCTATAGCGCAGGCTACTGTTGAGGCTGAGGTGGGAGCATGGCCTGAGGTCAGAGTTTGGTGGGCATCACCGCCGCAACACAGGGAGACCCTGCCTTGAAATAAAAGTTAAAATAATACGAAGGTTTGTCCCGCTCTGCTTTCTGTTGCTTTGATAAACACGGGTTTACTTGGCTTACATGTCCAGATTACAACCCACACTGAGGGGTGTCAGAGCAGGAACATAAGCAGGAACAGACAGAAACTATGAAGGGACACCGCCTGTGGCCTTGCCCCCAGGCTCATATCCAGCTTCCTTTCTTAGGCCTCCCAGGACCACTTGCCTGGAGTGGCTCCACCCACAGCAGACTGGACCCTCCAACATCAATCATTAATCAAGAAAAGGCCCCACAGACTTGTAGACAAGCCAGTGTGATGGAGGTGTTTTCTCAACTGAGGGTCCCTCTTCCCAGGTGACTCTAGCTTATATGTCAGGTTGATGAAAGCAGCACAAGGTTTGAAGTCTAAACAATGGCATTTTGTCATTAATGCGATTTACATGTTTCTAACACAATGTTAATTCTCATGAGTAAGACTTCAGGAAAAAACGGACAGTTTTATTGAAGCATCAAATTCAACAACTTGATGGGTTTTTAGCAAATACTTCTTGTGATATAGATGGTCTTCATCACAATATTGGGAGTATTTTAAACCATATTTTTAATTGTAGATGTGAATTTATTCAAAGCGAGAAATCGTCAGAAGAAATTGCCCAGTATATTCAAAGCTATGAGGGATTTGTTCATGTAACGGTAATTTACAATGTCAATTCTTTCCAAGATGTGATACGTCAGGGTGATGTTTTGTTGTTGTTGTTGTTGTTTGTCTTGTTTTGTTCTCCCAAATATTCTGTGTTTTTCTTCTTTTCTCTTGTCATTGTCCTGCCTCTTCTCTGCAGAGAGGAAACAAAACTCTTGTCTTGTGAAGCTGGAACCAATTAGACAGTTTCCAGGCTGGCTTTGGGTTGCTTCCGCTGCCTCCTTCATCTTCCCTCTGAGTGAGGCCACTCACTACTCTAGCTACCTTCTGCCGCCTCCATCTGGATGTCTGACTCAATCTTCTGACCTAGTACATGGCAGAGGCTGGGCACTCAAAGCTGGCTCCTGAACCTGGTTATTTACACCCTTAAACTAGTAAGGACATCCTAGTGGCCAGCGGTGGGAACCCACCTCAAACTGAAGCCAAAGGAGACTGTATTGTCTGACTGACTGAGAGGCAGCATCTGCAGAGGGCATGGGCTGACAGTTGGGGTGCAGTTTTCTCAGAGGAAGCGCTGCATGATTGGAGAGCGTGGCTCCCTTCCGGTGTCTCAGTTCCTCATGAGTCAAAAGACACCTCTGTGTGTAACTGCAGTTCTGTGGGTGAGCAGGGTGTGTGGTAAGAGTGACCCTGAGAAGCTTCCATTTCACTGATGCTTGGCACTGCATCAAAGTTTACAAGATCAATAGAACTCAAACCAAAATTAAAGGGCTGCTTTGCTCAAATTCTGCTGCTCGAATGAAAATTCACTTCAGTTTGGGAAGACCTTAAGTTGCAGGCCACAGAGAGATGTATATCTTGTAAGTCAGCCAATCAGGCAGTAACCTGAATTTCTTTCCCCAGGGAGAACATTTTGTGAATTCCTGGGTCAGAAGAGAATTACCTATGGTATCAGGTAAAACCTCAGGCACATTCCAATGGCTTTGCTTGTTTCTTTTTTTATGTTCTCATTATCTCTCTCTCATACTCACGCTCGAATGTGTGTGTGTGTGTGTGTGTGTGTGTGTGTGTTGTGTGTGCCATGTGTATACAAGTGCTTTTGGAAGATAAACAAGGGCATCAGATCCCTTGGAGACAGAGTAACAGGCATTTGTGAGCTGCCTGATTGTGGGTCTTAGGAGTTGAACTCAGAACTCTTGGAACAGCAGTAAGGGCTCTTAACCACTGAGCCATCTCTCCAGCCCTCATCACCTTTCTTTAAAAATTATTTTCATAAGTGGTTTCTGTAATAGAGAATGACTTTGGTTGTTTTGCTTTCTTAAATGGCCCTGTGTGCTGTTAGAAGTTAAGGAGTACCCACATTAGAATGGGGTGAGAGGCCTGAGTGTATCGCTCACGTGCCTAGCATGAACAAGTCCTTAGGTTCCATCCCAACACCCACAGGAAAACAAAACCTGAGTGTTAGGAATCTCGCTGAGTTGGGGAGCATCTATATAGCAACTAGGATAGGCCCTGAGTTCAGCCCCAGCAGAGGTCAGGTACGTGGGGACAAGGGATAGTGGACAGGATGAAAACAATCATAATACAGTAAGAATTCGATGGTCACTTGAGGCTGCTCATCCTTGGAATCCTGCTCTTGGAAGGTGGAAGGAGACACTTCTGCCCAGGTAGGACTATGATAACAGGTTAGAGGCCAGTATGGGCTGCACGAGGTTAGCGCCAAGTGTAGAGCTCCGTGCCTGTGATCCCAGCACTAGGAAAGCTGAGGCAGAAATATGATGAGTTTAAGGATAGCTTAGCTTAGCCTATATGGCAAAGCATTGTGTCTCACCCCCCAAATAAGCAGGAGGTGAAGGAATGTCTCAGATGTTAAGAGTGTTTGTTGTTCTTGCCGAGGACTCAGGTTCAGTTCAAAGTGGTAGCAGTTTACAACAATCTGCAACCCCCTCTCACAGGAATCTGACTTCCTCTCTGGCTACCAGAAAGGTCTCCAGGCACACATGTGGTAGACATACAAACATGTAGGCAAAACACCCACACATACATGTAGTGAGGATTTTGGTTTCTTTAAAAACACAGACAGTTATGGGAATATGTTTTTGTTTTAATCGCAGATGTGAGATCTGGGGCTGCTTTAGATTGTCCCCAGAAGCTGACTCTGATTTGCCTCCTACTCTGGCTTGGGTGTGATTTGGCCAACTGCAGGTGGTTTCTGCAAGTGTAAGACTTTTGGAGTTCTGGGGATTCTTGAGTGGGTATAGAAATGCTAAAGCTGCCCGCGGGGCTGTGGCTGCTGCTCCTCCTGCTGTGGTAGAGGCGCTGGCTGCTGCAGCTGCTGCTGGTAGTCGCTGGCTGGTGCTGTTGGGGTTGGTTGCTCTTTGTCATGCGGTTGTGTGCAGAGATGAGTGGAAGAAATTGAATATTACTCCTAGGAAATCGACGCCCCTAACCAACAGGAAGTAGTCAGACAGTATTGAAGCCCCCTTTCCCTTCTAAACTTCTTTCTCTTTTACCTAGTGTTGGGGGTTTGGAAAGGTGGAAGAAGGGGGCAGAACGGTGGTAGATAAAAGAACCCAATAAAGTACTCAAATGTCTGACTACACATACATACATACTTACACGCACGCACACGGCATCCTTCTGACTGAAAACACCATTTTCCAATAAGTTGTTAAAATAGCAAACACTATGGGGAAAAGGAGAAGCAGTGTTCTCTAGGTCTTGGGAACGCAGAGCTGTGTCTTTGGCCACATAAGCAAGAGTCTACAAAAAGGGTGATATTGTGGACATAGGAAATGGGTTGCTCAGAAGAAGAATGCTACCTTAGCAAAATGAAGAGTCTACAGCACTGCCCAGCGCACTCTTGTGATTGTTAAATGATCAGGTTAAAAGAGAAACAGGGAAGGTTGTCCTCAGACTTCCACAGATGTGAGTCCGTATATGCAAACGGACTTGCACACACATGAAACACCCCGAATTGTAAGTCTTGAGACAGCTTCCTGATGTAGTGAAAGAAAATGATGAGATAAAGAAGGAAACTAAGGAAAGTCTGAAGTGCCAACCTGCTCTTCAGAGTACACAAGCAGAAAGCACACTGGTGAGCACTGAGGAAAACAGTATAACCTATTCTCTATGATCTCAGGGCTTAACCAAGTCAAAAGTAAAATAAAAAATGTTTCTAGACTCTAAAATTTTTTCTTAATTAAATTAAAGCATAGTATTCTCTGTGCCAATGAAATACTTAAAGCAAAAGGAAAAAAAAAAATCCTAATCCTAGGATGAAATGTGAACACGGGCAGGCTTTCATCTTGAGAAACTTGTCAGACCAAGGTAATGGGAATTTAATTTTCACGTGCTCACAGCATGGAGAAGACATGTACCAGTGTCCAGAGACCAGGGGGAGGTAAAAAGTGTAATGGAGACCCCCCCCCACATGTGGTCATCTCAAAGAGCAAGCTGTCATAATGAATGTTTTTAAGGGAGCCACAGGAGAAATGACCTTTCTCAAATCTTCACACTGACTCTGGAAATAGGAATCTCCTCTCAATATTCTTCTATCCTGATGCTAGATGACCAGGGGACAGTCTTAAGTTACACTTTAACACAGTGACCATGCACAGAAAGAATAGAATGAATGGAATACCCCAGCCTTTGCCACTCGGCTCCAGCAGTTCTAACATGGTCTTTCTTGTACCTCTTATTTCTTCCTGCTCTTCTAACCACCCTCACTTATTCTGACATAAGGACAGATCATAAGATCATTCCACTTATACACACAACTCACTTGGACTTTGTTATCAAAGCCTGCTCTTCTCACCCACATCTTTTCCCAAGCTTACTGCAATGACAGCGTCTTTGCTAATGAAGACATGAGGAAGGAGACTTTTAAGGACTGGCCCCATGAGTCACCTGTGGCTGTTGAAGCTCTCGTCAAAGCAGGCCTTTTCTACACAGGTCAGTCGGGGTTTTCCCCTTTATTTTTACGTTTCTGTGTGTGAGTGTTGCCTGCAAGTAAGCACGGGTGCCACATGTCTGCCTGGTGCCCTCAGAGGCTAGCCAGGGTGTTGGATCCTGGAACTGGAGGTATAGTTGCCATGAGCCAGCATCTGGTGCTGGAAACAAACCTGACTCCTTTGCAAGAACAGCCAGTGCTCTTTATGCTGAGCATCTCTTTCGCACCTGAAATAGTCAGTATTTTGTGTCTGACAAGTAGTCTAATCCCGGACTTGCACTTTTCTTTATTTTCATTTGTCATAGATCTCTTGGGGCCTCATAAGACCTTCAGCTTTCCATAGTTCCCTCGGTGCTCAGCCTCTGAGCTTGGGGATCCTGAGGTCACTTGATCTGACAGGCTATTCCACTGGCACAAAACTCTACCCGGTCTTAACGCATCGTCTTCTCTTGCCAGCCTTGCCTGAGTGTCATGGATGAAGTGCTCCTATTTCTAGGGGAGGAGAGCTGGCAATAATGTGAGCAGAGACAGGGATTCTTCATAACCTGCCTTGCATAGAGGCTCCTAAGTTTGCTCTTCCATCCTGCCCCAGCTACAAGTATATTCTTCCGATTTACTCCGTAAGCAATTGCTTGTTGGTTGCCTATGTCTGTGAATGTTCCGTAAGTCATCATTGTCCAGGACAGACAGAAATCTCTGCTCTCACGGAGCTCCTACTCCAGATCCTGATGGCAAATCTTTCAGGATGATGGCTTGGGAGAGGTTTCATCAAAGCACACGGTGCACAGGAACCTTCAGCGCCTGTTGCTGACTGTTGCTGACCACCCCACGGAAGGACCAAGAGTCCTGTGTGAACTCTTGCCTCCTGTGCGTGGTATTCCCACATAATCCAACTGGAGGAGCAAGTAGGATTTCACTAGTGAAATCTGGAGTGGAATTCTTGTGAGTTGACAGGTGTACGTGCTGTTGCGCTGACCCCATCTCCTTTTCCTAGGCAAAAAGGACCTTGTCCGGTGTTTTTCCTGTGGAGGATGTATGGAGAAGTGGGAGGAAGGTGACGACCCATTAGCAGACCACACCAAATTTTTCCCAAAGTGAGCAGTGAATTCTCTTGACTTTGAACTCACTTCATCTGTTATTCCCTCACTGTCCAGGTTTGTTATCTGTGGGTAGTGTCTGCTCACTCTCTGGTTCCCACTGTGGAGGATGCATCCATGTATCTTCATTTCTTTCCTCACATGAGAGTCTCTCTGTCTAGCTAGACATCATAGTTAAATCTTAATTTAGGTTGGGTCAATATGCACACAGATTTCTCTATGTAGCTCATGCTACCTTAGAAATGCTATGCAGTCTGTGTTTAGCTCCTCAGGTGTGTTTGGTGTGCAGCCAATGCATACCTTAAAGTGTTCTAGATTTATTTAAGTATAATTATTAAACTTTAAAATGTAAAGTTTTAAATAACCATCTGGTCTTGAAATAGAATGGAAATAACATCCCAAGTCCTTAAAATATTCTTTAAAAATGTGTTGTTAGTGTATATTAATTATATAAAATAATGTCATTTTAATATATGTACATTTATGACCTTTACACACAAAAATATATATATTACAGTGTACGACAATCATGTCACCACCATCCTTCCATTTACCTTATCTTATCTCCCTCTGTCTCCACTTAATCCTCTTCCTTCTAAAATCATGTTTTAGAGCAGCCCAGGGCTACATAGCAAAACTTTTATTCAACTTAAATAAATAAATAAATACATACATAGAATATTTCCATTTAATTTTGAAGTTAGAAGACTAGTGACAGCAGTGGTTACTTTTTTTTCTTTTTCTCTTACTTTTTAAAGTATTTGACTTTATTTTTTTATTGTTATTTTTATTTTATTTTATTTTTTTAGTATTTGACTTTATGTCCATGGGTGTTTTGTCTGCATGTATATCTGTGTACTACTTGCATGCCTGATACCCACAGAGGTCAGAGAGAGGGCATCAAATATCCTAGAACTGAGTTACAGGAGGCTGTGAACTGCCTGATGTGGGTGTTGGGAAGCAAACCTGAGTCCTCTGCAGGAGTAGTGACTCTTCTCCCACGGAGACATTTTCAGGTTATGCAGAAAATTGTGGAGAATGCGGGGGCTGTCTTCTCAGTCCCTGGGGTGGTAAGTAGTGAGGCAATCTAGTTATATTTAAAACTTGTTTTATAATGTGTCGATGAAGTTTTGTTTTGTTATAATTACAAACTAGCATATGTAATGCGTATCTAATGTAATTACTTATCTGGTTGAAAGGACAACAACAATAAAGCCTAGTTGCTGAGCGCTAAAGTCAAGAAGTCAAGGTCTCCCAATGCCTTAGAGGCCACTGCGCCACTCCCTTGTCCTGGTTGATGCTGTCCTCCTCATGCAGGGGCAAACACAGTCCTGATTTTCAGTTCACTGTCCTTTTACCAAACACACGCACACACACATCTACATGAACCTTCAGCTTTGCCTGCTCTTCTTTGGTTGTCTTTTGTTTCTTTTTGTCTTAGCTCTATATTTGCTGCATGTGTGTCTGTATGTCTGTTGGAGAGAGAGAGACAGACAGACAGACATAAAAGGAGAGGAATAGAAGGAGAGTGAGAGAGAAAGATTGAATCCAGAGTGTCATGATTGCTAACTACACACTAAACCAGTGACAAACTCCAGAAACTCTTCATTTACCCATATTTCCCCCTTAGATGAACCAAAAAGCGAGAAGCACATTGCTACTGAGCTATAGCTCCAACCCTTATATTGTTTGACACAATATTCTATTATGTCTACAGAGAGAGTCCTAGCACAGTCATGGCTACACAGAGAACCTCTGTTTTGTTTTGTTTTTGTTTTTGTTTTTGTTTTTTTTTTTTTAAAAAAAAAAGGAAATTTAAGAAAAGATTTAACTGTGTAGCAGATCTCGATTTTCAGTATAGCTCAGATTTCCCCTGAACTCCCATGTTCTTGCCTCCATCTCATGAATACCAGAAGAGCAGGCATGTGCTATCATAACACCTCGCTTAGCGACTCTTTGTGTTGGGGAAGGGCAGCTGGAGAGAGGTCTTTGTGGCACAGTGTCAGATAACCCGGGATGGCCTCCAACTCAGTGTTTAGGAAGGATGGCCTTAAACTCATCCACCTGCCTCCACATCCCAAGTGCTGGATGACAGGCATGCTCCACCACACCCCAGATCTTGTTTAGATAGACAATGACAAGATATAAAATGATCACTGGTAATCACAACCATATCCTTTCATCCAAGTGTCTCTCTAGGACACCCCAGGGCTCTTAGTTGCTAATGGGAGTCTGGAATAAACATAAATTCAGACCTTAACAAGAACAGAATTCCGGAGACTTACAACAAGGTCAAAGTGTAGACAGTGAGTGAGGGTGTGCTCATTCCTGAGGGAACACTTCCTCCTCCCAAACTCAGGGGCCTTTGCAGAAGAGGGGCCCAAGAGGTCGGAAAAGCCAGAGGCTGTAGAGGACTTTGTCTTGGGTTTGTCTTGTTTTGTGCACAGCAGGGTCCTTCCCTCAGGAACTCACAGTTGCTGTGGTTGCCTGTCCATACAAGCCTGTGCCAAATCCAGCCAAGCCAAGCCCCACCTGTGGGAGGGGAGCTGTTGACACTTGTTTCTGCTGGAGTCAATCTTCTTCAGCCCGTGGGCCTTGAGGTTTCCTGACCTCTGCTAGATGGCCCTGTGTCCACTCACCCATGAGCAGCACTAATTGAATTCAGTTAAAAGAGGATACGAAGCTGGGAGGGGACCTGACTTGAGGAGGAGTCTGGGGAAACTGAAGAAAGGCAGTGGGGTTGATATAATCCACATACATTGTACACACATCTGTGATTTCCAAAGAATAAAATACTTTTTAAAAAAGAACAGGCTTCCAAACCGTGGCTCAGAAAGCTCTGCACTTTGATCAGCGATTATGGATGAACGAGAGCAACACAGGGAAAACCTCAGCTGAGTAAACAAATGACCAAACTGAGTAAGAGGGAAAAAATGGCCGAGGTGGTGCCAGGTGCCAGTCAGGCTCCTGGTTCTGAGATGAAGTTGGCTTGGTCTTGTGTGGTCTTATTCAGGTAACCACAGATGAGGTTTCATGAATGTGATGGTCAATAATGCTCAGCAGGCAGCATTTCACAGCACTTCAAACCCTCTTTCCCAGATGTCCCCAGACCCTCTGTGTGAGGTTGATATAGACGCCTCATTCAGAGCTGAGAACTCGATCATCAATTATTCTCTGCACTGCAGTGAGAAGCTTATCTAGCCAAGGTTCAAAGCAGCATCATTCTTTGCATAAGAACATAAATATTTAGAAGGCAATTTGACAGATGTCCATTAAGCCAGATAGCATTACTAGACCCTGCCCTGCTAAGACCTTTATAGACTTTCTGGGCCATGGGCTTCTGACCAGGTTTAGTTTAGGTTTTTGTTTTCTTTAGTTTAGGTTTACTTTCTTTAGTTTAGTTTCTTTAGTTTAGGTTTTGTTTTCTTTCATTTTGTCCCACTGTGTTGCCCTTTCTGTTCTGACCTTGCTATTGTAGATAAGCGCCCTTGACCCAGAGATCCACCTGTCTTTGATACCCAAGTGCTGAGATTTACAGGCCTGCACCACCTCACCCAGCTTGACCAGGTTTAGAGAATCTGTGAAGCAGCCTCGGGTCCAGTTCAAAAGCAGTCGGTTATCCCCAAAGATTCAGGCCAGTCTTCACCATTGGCCTCATCTTCGTTGGCATGATGGTGATGTTGTAGACTGCAAAGCCTCTTCCAGTACTGTGACAGGGAGACAGCAGGGAGGAAATTCTGAGTCAGTTCCAGCTTGATTCCTCTCTATCCTGAAAGCAACATGCTCTGTGTATTCAGAAATAGGTCTGTAGTTCTGTCCAACTTATTTTGTGAGACAGGTCTCTCACTAAACCTGGAGCTCGCCAGTGAGACTTACTGGCTGGTTAGTGAGCCCCAACGGGCTTCCTGTCTCTCCTTCTCTGGCACTAAGATTACACTGTCCCTATTGCCTCGCTGTTACACAGATGCTGCAGATCTGAGCCCAGTCTCCATGTTTGCCCAGCAAGCATTTGCCAACTGTTCCATCTCCAAGCCCTGGATATTGTACCTTAAAATTTTATTTGTGTGATATCTATGTTTTTATACTTAATGTGAATTTCATGTAGTTGGCACACTTGGATCTTGTGGGTTTGTTTCTGACAGTTTGACAAGAGTTGATATGGTTAAAAATTATTGTTAACCAAATTCTTAATTGTACAATTTGTTTAGTATTTTTTAATGTCCTTTGTTGTTCTTTTTCCATGACTCTATAGAGTTTTCTCATATTTTAATCTGTGAATTTTTATTTATTTTTACCTTGTTCACTTAGGTAATGTGTGTTTGTGTGTGCACTGTGTTCTACATAGGGCCAAAGGGAGACAGGGAGTCTCCTCTCCTTTATGTCACCCTCTTGTTCCCTTGAAGCAGGGTCTCTCTCTGAACCTGTTAGCATCCAGCGAGCCCTAGTTATCCTCTTGCCTCTGCACCCACAGTGCTGTGTCACTATTTTCTATTCTTTAAGATTATTTCAGCTGGTTTCACGGACAGGCACTAACTCTGTTCTCACCCCAACACATTCCCCGAATATCCTCACCATTACTTTACAGACCACATGCATTTTTACTAGAACCCATAGACTGAAGGTTATTCAGGATGCAAGACTGACAGAGTCACTGAAAATCTTCACTTTCTGCTTCATGCTTAATGTTAGACTAGGTTGCCTAGCAACCTCTGATGTCATCACCTGCCTCTGCCAGGTGCAAGCCAGGCATGCTCCAGATATAAAGGACCTGCCCACCACTGTGCGCTCTCTCTCTCTCTCTCTGACTTTCTTTTTTATTTATATTTTTATAAATTACAGTTTATTCACTTTGTATCCCCGCTGTAGCCCCCTCCCTCTTCCTCTCCCTTTCCTACCTCCCTCATCTCCTCCCATGCCCCTCCCCAAGTCCACTGACTTTCTTGCTTTTTCTCCCTCCCTCTGTTTCTTTCTGGGGCACCCCTCATCCCTTCTTTCTTAACCCTCCCCCTTCCACGACCGACTTCCTTCCTTATACCAAACATGCTGGGGCGGATTTGTTATTATAACATTATTGCTGTGAAACTCGATGGGCTCTTCGGGTAGTGTCTGGGCACATGGGAACGCCTCCCACCTGTCGCGCCACCCGCAACAGATCTGCGCTCCAGATATAAAGGACTAGGGAGCGCCAGTGGGTCTTGAACTAGACACTCACTCGTTACATAAGTGGCTGGTGTGGGTTGACAGAACCATCTCTGCGAAAGAAACCTCTAAGCTAAAGTCCTCACACCTGGTCCTGATCTTCATGTTTTTTAAAAAGCAAATACAAGTCCTTATCTCATGGAACTATTTTATGACTTTTACTTTCTCTGCATAGTTGCGTATTTCTTCAAAACCTGAAGTCCTCTGCAGAAGTGATTCCAGCCCCTGACAGCCACCATGCACTTCCGGAATCCAGGGTAATGAGCCCCGCCCCTTCTCTGACTCAGCAACACGTGATCATGGGATTGAAGGACAACTGTCAATTGTAAATGTATCATAACTAGATAGAGTCCACGAGAATCTAAGAAGCACTATCAAGTGCCACGTTAGACAGGAACTTCACAGTGAACGAGGGAGACACAATATCTAGCTTCATGAAATGTACAGCCAGCCCTTCTCCTATAAGAAGTCTATTGATGAAATTTCAGACTTATTCCTGATAACATCCAGACTAAGCGGTCTATGGCCTACTGAGGACAGTAGGCATGACTTGTTACTTCTGAGATGTGCAAGGCAAGTTTCATTTCGTTTCATTGGAGTTTTGTTTGGAACAGAGTCTCACTGTGTAGCTTAGGCTGACTTTGAACTTGCCGCGTTCAAATCCCAGACTGGCTGGGAATTTATGATCCTCCTGCTTCACTTTTCCAAACGCAGAGATTACAAGTCTGTGTTTTGTGATTTGATGTGTGTTCTTTACTGCAATTGAGGAGATAAAAACAAAGCTCCTCTCATGCTAGGCAAGGAATCTATAACCCAGGTACATCCCTGGCTAGCAGGCAAAAGGCCAGTAAAATCATGAAGTCAGAAGTCATGAAGTCTGTTTCTCTGAGATACAATCTAATATCAGTTCACTTGTGAAACAAGCAGCCTAGATTGTCATTTTGTTGCAATGGTAAGTATGCTGGTTCACACCCCACAGAAGAAAGAACAAAGCTGGGTGCCGCGGCTCACACCTGGAAAAGAGTACTCTGGAAGCTGAGGCAGGAGAATTGTCAGGAGTTCAACATTAGCCTGGACAATAGTATAAGACACCGCCTCAAAATCAAAACCAAAACCAAACGAAAAACACCAACAAAACAATGGCGAATGTTAGGGTTCAGGAGTAGCCCACACTGACCAGACTCAGATGAAAGAAGCATACTGAATGCCAGACAAAAACTGACCGGCCAGCGCCACCTCTGGCCTCAGGAGCCAGGCAGTGATGCTGAGCCATTTTCAAAGTGAGTGTTCAAAGGGAAAAACCACAACCAAGCAGGAAAAATCATTTTTTCAGGTATAGTGTGTTGATTCAACTGAGAAAAAGTAATTTTTGTTTCATGTTCATTGTATCTAGGTCGCTAGAAAAAGTACTTTAAGCTGATTGGCTGGAATTTAGGGTGGGGGAGTTCTTGGGGGCTTTCCAGCTTTCTGGGAGTAAGGAACATAGCAGGATGTTTCGATCTTACCTCTAACAGAACTTACATTTATCTTTAACTCAAGCAGAACATGCATTTATCATCTATTGTTTTATTCTAAACAGCAATTATTGAACTATTGGAGTGGACCCTGGTCTCAGGCACGTAGGCCTGAGAACTTGAACTCAATTTTACCTTATGATCAAAACGGATACTTGGAAGTAAAATGGCTTCTGATATGCTAAAGGAGACAGCAATTGTTAACAGAAGAGCTACAGTTATGCTAAGAACTACAGTAGGTCTCAACGGAGGAGCTATAGCTATGTAAAAAGTTTAAGCCGATTACAATAGAGAAAAATAAAGGAAAACAAAACAGCAGAGCAATTTTGGGTTCCCTTGATAAATCTCTTGTATTTGGAATTTTTATTTCAAATAATTAATTAGATCCTGACTGCAGTTTTTCATTCCTCCTCTTCTCCCAGCCCTTCCCCCACACCCCTATCCACTCCTCCTCTTTTCTTCTTCAGAAAATGGGAGGCCTCCTGTGGATATCAACCGCCTTGGCATATCAAGTTGTAGTAGGCACATTTTCTTCTGTTGAGGCTAGACAAGGCAGCCCAAATAGGGGAAAGGGGTCCAAAGGCAGGCAACATAGTGAGAGACATCCCTTACTCCTGCTGTTAGGGATCCGACATGAAGACTAAGCTACACAACTGTTACGTACATGCAGTGGACCTAGATCAGCCCCATGCATGCTGCCTGGTTGGCGGTTCAGTCTCTGTGAGCCCCCGTGGTACTAGTTTAGTTGATTCTGTAGGTTTCCTTGGGGTGTCTTTGACCCCTCTGGCTCCTACAATCCTCCCTCCCCTTCTTCTGCAAGGTTCCCCAGGCTTCACCCAGTGTTTAGCTGTGGGTCTTACATCTGTTTCCATCAGTTGCTAGGTGAAGCCTCTTTGATGACAGTTATACTAGGCTCCTGTCTGCAAGTATAACAGAATATTATTAATCATGACAGTGGTAGGCTCCCTCTCATGGAATGGGTCTTAAGCTGGACCAGTCATTGTTGAGCACTCCCTCAATTTCTACTCCATTTTTACCCCTTGTAAGTTGGACAAATTGTAGGTCGAAGATTTTGTGGCTGGGTTGGTGTCCCAATCTCTCCATTGGATGTCTTGCCTGGTTACAGGAGATGGCTCGTTCAGGCTCCATGTTCCCCATTGCTAGGAGTCTTAGCTAGGTCACCCTCATAGATTCTTGGGAGGTTCTATTGCCTTAGGTTTCTAGCTTGTCCCAGAGAAACCCCCTATTTCAGTTGACTCTCCCAGTACTCCCTCCAACCTCCCCACACCTGATCCCTCCTGTCCCCATCCCTACCTCTGCCCTGACCCAGTCTCCTCCCACCATCCACCCACAATGCCTATTCTATTTCTCCTTCTCGGTGAGATTAACACAACCTCACTTGAGCCCTCCTTGTTACTTGGCTCCTTTGGGTCTGTGGATTGTATCAGGATTATCCTTTACATTGCAGCTAATATCCATTTATAACTGAGAACATACCATGTTTATCATTCTGGGTTATCTTACCAGGGTGGTCTTTTCTAGTTCCATCCATTTGCCTGCAAATGTCATTCTGTCATTGTTTTTAATAATACTCCATCAGGCAAATATCCCACATTTTCTTTAGCCATTCTTCCATTAAAGGGCGTCTAGGTTGTTTCCAGTTGGCTATTATGAATAAAGAGGCAATGAACATGCTTGAGAAAGTGTCCTTGTGGTAGGATGAATCATCCTTTGGGTATATGTTCAGGTGTGGTATAGCTGAGTCTTGAGGTAGATCTATTCCCAGTTTTCTGAGAAACTGCTAAATTGATTTTCAAAGTGATTGTGTAAGTTTGCATTCCCACCAGCAGTGGAGAAATGTTTCCCTTGCTCCACGTCCTCACCAGCATGAACTGTGGCTTGAGTTTTTGATCTTACCCATTCTCAAGGGTGTAAGATGAAATCTCAGAGTCGTTCTTATTTATATTTCCCTGACGGCTAAGGATGTTGAACATTTAAGTGCTTCCCAGCCGTTAGAGATTCCTCTATCAAGATTTCTCTGTTTAGATCCATACTCCATATTTTAATTGTGTTATTTGGTTTGTTGATGTTTAGTTTCTTGACTTGTTTATAAATTTTGGATGTCAGCCCCTTTGTCAGATGTGGGGCTGACATTGGAAGTGCACAGGATGTAACTCGGATATCATATGGTTCCCTAATAGACACAAAAACGTCTTCAGCTCTGAATAAAACTAGGTATAGTAAGATGATTGGAGTTCAAGAAAAGGAAAAAAAAATGGTATCAGAGCCAAGGGTGTGTGTAGGCTCATGCCTATAATACCAGCAGTTGGGAAATGGAGAAAGGCAGACAAATACTTCAACGTTACCCTTGGCTACATAGGGAATTCCAGACCAGCTACACTACCTGACACTGTCTCAAATAAAAAAAAAAAAAAGTGTGTGTTTAATAATCTGTCTGCATCCGTCCCTGTGTATGGTATTAAACATGTAGTTACTAATGACTAAGCAGGAAGGAATGCTAGATGAACTTTGCAGGACTCTTCTTGTCCTAGACATTACAGTTCTGATAACTCACAAAGTCCTCACCCATACAGAAGATGTGTGTAAAATGCATGAACCATCTAGGAACACGACTACTGCACACATGTGCAATTTATTCTTTCATACCTGGACTATGCCTTCCTTTTATCAGAATTGAGCAGGCTGGGTTTAGAAGATGTTTAGAAGATCCTCAGTAATAATACAATGCCCACTCTTAAATCAAGACCCAGTTATGATTTAATAAAGGATTTCTCTTTCAAAGGAAATCACAAGTAAAAGCAATCACGAGGACCCAGTTCATCCCACCGAGGCCGGTAAGAACTTGAAAGCACATGGGATTCTGTGTATTTGTACATTGCACAGGAAAGCATATTTCTAATTGTCTGAGGAGCTCCTAGAGGAGAGCACTGAGGTGAAGGGAGCTGTGGGTGAGAGAGCGCTCCTGGGGCATCTTGAGAGTGAATGCAGGACTACCGACAGCAGTCCTCATGCCAGATCCAAAGCAGCCAGTGTTAAAGGCATCCTGCAGCAGGCTGCTCTCCTGAGGTCCTAAAGGGAAATTAGGGTGCCAGGATATCCAAGTCCCTTTCAAATGAGAGGATTAGACATAGTACCCTACACTGATGCTATGGAAAGATCTGAGAGGGTCTTAGGGTTTGGAGGGGGTCATGGGAAGTGGAGGAGAGTCCTAATCCACTCTTAGCAGACAAGCAAAGCAATCAGAGAGATGTGAAGGTACACCTTCCTCTGCCTCCCTTCTCTCCACAGGCTTGGCTCCGAGGGAAGCCCAGTGGTTTCAGGAGGCAAAGAGTCTGAGTAAGCAGCTGCGAGACGCCTACACCAAAGCCACTTTCCGCCACATGAATTTACCAGAGGTGTGCTCCAGCCAAGGCACTGACCACTTGCTTGGCTGTGATGTGTCCATCGTTTCAAAGCACATCAGCAGGCCAGTGCAAGAGGCCCTGACAATCCCTGAGGTCTTCGCCAATCTCAGCTCGGTCATGTGTGTGGAGGGGGAAGCTGGCAGTGGGAAGACAACCTTTCTGAAGAAAATAGCTTTTCTCTGGGCATCAGGGTGCTGTCCCCTGTTGAACAGGTTCCAGCTGGTCTTCTACCTCTCCCTTAGTTCCACCAGACCAGACCAGGGTCTGGCCAGCATCATCTGTGCCCAACTCCTAGAGGCAGGAGGCTGCATTAGTGAAGCGTGCCTGAGCAGCAGCATCCAGCAGTTAAAACACCAGGCGCTGTTCCTGTTGGATGACTATAATGGGGTGGACTCGCTCCCCCAAGCCCTAGAGACACTGATTACAAAAAACTACTTGTCACGAACCTGCTTATTGATCGCTGTCCATACAAACAGGGCCAGGTCCATCCGTCCATACCTGGATACAATTCTAGAGATCAAAGAGTTTCCTTTCTATAATACCGTCTCTGTATTACGGAAGTTCTTTTCACATAATATAATCCGTGTACAAAGGTTTTTCAATTACTTTGGAAAGAATGAACATCTGAGAGGAATTAACAAAACTCCTCTCTTCGTAGCAGCAGTCTGTACTGACTGGTTTCAAAATCCCTCTGACCAGCCCTTTCATGATGTGGCCATTTTCAAGTCCTATATGAAATACCTGTCCTTAAAGTACAAAGCTGCAGCTGAGGCCCTCAAGGCCACTGTGTCCTCATGTGGACAGCTGGCCTTGAGGGGGCGTTTTTCTTCATGCTTTGAGTTCAACAATGATGACCTCACAGAGGCCGGAGTAGATGAAGATGAAGACCTGACCACCTGCTTGATGAGCAAATTCACCGCCCAGAGACTGAGACCAGTCTACCGGTTTTTAAGTCCTCTCTTCCAAGAATTTCTTGCTGCCATGAGGCTGACTGAACTCCTGGGTTCAGACAGACAGGAAGACCAAGACCTGGGAATTCATTATTTGAGACAAATTAACTCGCCCTTGAAGGCTCTGACCACCTACAACAACTTTTTGAAGTATGTCTCCAGCCACCCTTCATCAAAGGCAGGGCCAGAAGTTGTGTCTCATTTGCTTCAGTTGGTGGATGAGAAAGAGTCGCTGGAGAACATGTCTGACGATGAGGATTACATGAAGCTACACCCGGAAGCTTCACTGTGGTTGGACTCTGTTAGGGGATTGTGGCAGTTATCTCCTAAACTTTTCTCTTCATTAATTTCAGAGTATTTAGTGAGCATTGCTTTAAACTTTGCTTATGAAAGCAACACAGTTTCTGCATGTTCTCCATTTATTTTACGATTTCTTCAGGGGAGAACACTGACTTTAAAAGTATTGAATTTACAGTACTTTGGGGAACACCCAGAAAGCCTGTTATTACTGAAGAGTATTGAGGTCTCAATAAATGGAAAAAAGTGGGTACAGCAAATATATTTGTCATTAATAGAAAAAAGTTTGGAAACATTACAGCCACCAACTGTAGATCAGGACTATGCATCTGCCTTTCAACCCGTGAATGAATGCAAGAAAGATTTGGCTGAAAAAGAAGAGATCGTGAGGAACTATGCGGATATCCGACACCAGGCCCCACCAAATATCAGTACTGGCTATTGGAAACTGTCACCCAAGCCACACAAGATCCCTAGGTTGGAAGTTGCGGTGGCCAACATGGGCCCAGCAGACCAAGCACTGCTCCGGGTCTTAATGGAAGTCTTCTCAGCTTCACAGAATATTGAGCTCTGCTTGTCCAACAGCAGTGGCTTTCTTGAAAGCATCCACCCGGCTCTGGAGCTGCATAAGACCTCTGTCACCAAGTGCTCCGTGTGCAGGCTGGAGCTCAGCACAGCAGAACAGGAGCTGCTTCTCACCCTGCCTGCCCTGCAGTCTCTTGAGGTCTCAGGGACAGACCAGTTACCAGGTATCCCTGAGTGTGCTTTCACAGGCAGACTGGTAAACTCTGTTTTCTTGTAGGCGTAAGGTTATTGTGTAATTCAAGTTCTGATTTCTGTACTCCCCGCATCTGGTTGCAGCCTTTGTTCTGAGCATCTCCCGCCTCAGTATTGTGTAAACATGCTCCCCAGTTGTTGCGATGGGCTAATAAAGTAGCTTACAGCACAGAGCTGACAAGTTATCACTCTACTATTACTCCTCTCCGCTTGTCTGGCTTCCTCCCCATCTAAATCCCCAAGATACTTGCACTTGTGGCATTCTCTGCTCCAGCTGCTCTCTCCTCGTGCCTCAGGATGAAGAATTCAGATGGAAATCTATAGAGGCTCAAGATTTTAAAAGGCTTAAGGAGGAAAAACAAGTTGTGGCTTACACTCACCATACGTTGAACAAATACTTAATAACTGGGCCACATGGAATTGCGTAACTCCAAAAGATTGGAGAGATTTGATGATAGCCATTCTAGAGCCTAGCTCTTAATTGCAATGGCTGGCATGGTGGAAAGATGAGGCTTCACTTATGCATTAATGAAATAGGACTAGAGGAATTGATATTGTCAAAGATCAGTTACTACATGAAGGCCCATATTCTGAATTAAGAGTACATATTAATTACCCTTAATGACGCTGTCCTAAAACAATGCTGTGCAATAGCCTTATATTCTTGGACAAGGTTGAACAACAGGGACAAACTGAATCAATTACAAGGGTAACCTAACATTCAAATAAATTTTTTACTAATTTTTCCAGTGAGTAACTAAAGCTCTGAATAGAACAATATCAGGTCTAAATGCTAGAAAAATTCTACATGGATCTCTAGCTTTTGAGAATGTTATTGCTGAATTCAAAGGGGCTATTAGACCGTTGAGGGCAAGATCTGAATCTCTTCGTGAATGGATCAAAGCTACTGGAGACATAGAAACAAATGTTCATGATTCAGTTATAGTTGGATAAATAGATACAGGAGATATCAAAGTACAAAATGCTCATTGCTGTGGCTGTGAAAAATCAAATAATTCTCTAATGGACTGTGAGAAAACAGTTCCTAAGGATAAATTCTGTTATAATAGCAACAATTCAGGTAAAAGTTTTCCTATGAAATGTAGAAGATGTGTAAGGAATGGTTATATGGCTCATGAATGCAGATTATCCAAGGCAATTCCTTAATTTCAGAAAACTGACTAAGGGACTTCACTCAAGGTCTGACAGAAAAAACAACATGAACCACTTGTTTCCTGCCCACCAAAAAAGAATTATTCTAAAAAAAAAAAATAGAAAATTCAAGGCCTGATAGGACAAACAGGGCTACTAAAAACTTAGATAAACCATTTAAAGGAGATAAAGATGTTCCTAAGGGATAAAAAACAAGAGGCACTAAAGGCGAAAATACAGATATTTTGGCAAACACTATAAATGATAAAAGGCCAAAATTAGAATTACAGTTAGATATCATTGAGGTGGAAGGATTAGTGTCTCCTGGAGCATATGTAACAATAATTTTCCAAGACTCCTGGTATCCAATTTGGCCACTTAAAAATGTATCCACACAGCTCCTGGGAATTGTGTCACTGTCTCAGGTAAAACAAAGCCTAAAATGTCTTAAATGTGTAGGGCCAGAAATCCCAACAGGAAAATTAAGGCCATGTATGACTGATGCAGCCATGAATTTACGGGGGAGGGATTTGTTGCAACAATAAGAAGCATGGAATGCCATTCCTCCAGCTGCAGGGACAAGCCATAAAATCAGGGATGTTCCTGACAAAGGTAGTAAAACTGTCGAAGTTGTCCATAAACAGAACACAGCACAAGCTGATTCTCCACGGTCATGGAGGAGTCCCTGCTGACACAACAGCAATGGCCTTCCTGCTAAGGCTGACTAACCAACCTATTCGAATTGAACAGTGGCCTATGAAAAAAGAGAAATTACAAGCAGCTTATAGACAAGAGCTGAGTGGAGGAGAGAATACGGCTGGACTTCCTGCCCCCGGGGGGGGGGGAGAGTTAGAGGAGGAAGTAGGGAATTTCCAGCCATGGGTAGAGGTCCAAGAGACATGAAGAGAGAGCAGCTGGAGCAGAGAATACCATAAAGTGCAAGTATGTCAAGGATTTACGCAGGGAAGAAGCCAGACTAGCCTAGAGGGTTAAGAATAGAGTAATAACTGCTCAGTATTGTTGTGTAATTTGCGTTATTGACATACTAGGGGACAACTGGGGAGCAGTGTTTACCCAACATGGAAACAGGAGATTCTCAGAACAAGGGTTGCAACCAGATATGGGAGGGTGTACAGAAATCAGCATTCAAATTACATAACTTTATGCCTACATTTTCTCATCCTTAGTTTTAGATGAATGAAACTTCTCAGTTTCATTTCTTCATAAATGTTCCTTTATAGGAGAAATTTAAACGCTTTCACAGTTTGGGGCAGTGCATAGATCAATGGAAGGTCCTGAATGACAGAATGGGTTTCACATAATTCAAGAATAGCTTCAGTGTTTCATTGCTTGAGAGGTTTGTAAGGGCACTTGAACTGCTTGTTATTAGTCAATGTTGGACTGTATGTGCAATGTTGCTGAAGAGATATCTGCATTCTGGGTGCGAGAAGGAGGAGGGGGGTTAGCTTCTCCAGAAAAGGAATTAAAAAGTAGGAACAATACAGTCCTACTTCTGTTTCTGTTGCTGTAATAAAAGATTCTGACCAGAAGTGACTTGGGGGAGGAAAGGGTTCATCACATCTTATACCTCCTGGCTAGCACAGTTCACCCCTAAAGGATGTCGCAGAGGGAACACAAGCAGGAACCTGGAGGCAGGAACAGGAGAGACCAGGGAGGACTCTGGTTTCCTTTCCATGGCTGCTTACATATCTGCCTTCTTCTTCAACTCCTGACCACTTACCCAGAGCAGCACCACCATCCCCCCTGAGTTGGCCTCTTGCTCATCAATCATTAATTTAGGGAATTTTTTCCAAATTTAGGATCCTCTTCCCTAATAACTTTAGCTTGTTTCAAGTTGACAGAAACCAACTAAGAAAAATATCTCCTATTAGTTGTGTTTAACGTTAGGTAATATTTGGTTATTTTCAGTACAGGCTTCATCTGACTTTCATTAAATTTGTTTATAGTTACTTAGAAGTTTTGATAGTCCTGTAAATGTTCGGTTTTTTTAAAAATTTCATAATTATAACTAGTCTAGTTCTTGTCTTTAGCTGTGTGTTACATGCTTAGGAATGCTTTTCTTGTCTATATCTGAATGTTTGTTTGTTTGTTTGTTTGTTTGTTTGTTTTTTAGTGTGTGTGTGTGTGTGTGTGTGTGTGTGTGTGTGTGTGTTTGCAGATGTGTGCATGGGCACAGAACTGTGTCAGAGCATGCGTATAGGGGGGCAGGGACAACCTCAGGAATGCCATTTTTCCCTTCCATCCACCGTGTGGCTCTTAGGGATCAAAATGAGGTTGGCAGGCTTGGTACAAGTCCTTTTTCTCACTGAGCCATATCCCTGTGCCATACACCCCTCTTGTTTAGGAATTTCCTGTTCATATGGCATTTGAGACAGAGGCTCAGTGTTTTGAGACAGGTTCCTTCTATTGCCTAGGCTTCCCTGGGACTTACCATACAACACAGGCTAGCCTTAGAGCTATGGTAACCCCCTTTTTTCAGTCTCCCAGCCACTGAGGTCACATCTGTGAGCCACCACACTTTCTTCGTGTTTAACCTGCTGAGGAAATTCCCCACTGTGTTTCATGGTGGCTTCTTCATTATACTTTTCCACCTACAAGTTGCAAATCTCATTTAGTCTCATTTTCCCTTTGATTTGCTTCATCGTAAATATATTCTAGTAAGTCAGCAGTCTGTCCTATGGCTAGGATTCACATTCTCCCAGTGACTGAATGAGACTGAGCATATTCTCAACTGCTCATAATATTTTTGAGAAACATATATTCAAATTCTATGTAATTTCAAAGATTTGATGAGGCATGGTGGATTGTACTTTTAATCTTGACACTTGTGGGAGGATTGCCATGGATCTAAGGCCAGCCTGACTGACCTGGGCAATAGAGTGAGATCCTTTCTCAAATGAAACAAAATTGGTCTGCTGTAGGAGTTCTTTGTGCATTGTAGATATTAAACCCTTATGTTACAGGGAAGGCATCTCACTGGCAGAGCATTTGCCTACAAGGCCCTGGGTTCCATCCACAGCATGACAAAAATAAATCTATCAAAACCTTCATCAGACAACACTGTTTGAAAAACTTTTTCTCCCATTTTGTAGATTGTCACTTCACCTCTTTATTCTGATGCATGAATAATTGCTAATTTTGATAAGGTTTGATTTATACTTTTTATTTTTTGCTACTGCCTTTTATAGCATATTTAAGGATCCATGGTGAAGCCCACGGCTGTGAAAATTACCTGTTTTCTTCTAAGAGTTCTAGTGTTAGTTGTTATAGTTGTCATTAATTCACTTTGAGTTAGCTTTCATGAATTGGAAGTTAGAGTCCAACTACACCCTTTTCGCATGTGCAAAGTCAGACGTTCCCATGCTGTTGGTTGGAGAGAAGCTTTATTTATTTCATAAGTTTAGAGATCAGTACGGGGCTTTCCCTGTAGTTTATGATCAGCAGATACTGTAGCTGACAATATCTTCATGGCTGTGCTTCCTACACAGATGTTAGGAAGTCTGAGAAATTTCATCCTGAAAGCATGAAAATGGCTAAAGATGACAGCACAGCTTACAACCTCCACTGGGGACCTTGAGTGATGGGAACTATGTGCTGCTTTCCAGATCGACTCTTTGCAAACTTGGACAAGTTCCCGGGCCTGAAAGAACTGTCTGTGAGACTCCATGGCAAAGCAGATGTGCTTTCAGTCCTTCCTGGAGAGTTCCCAAACCCCCACCACATGGAGAAGTTATCCATCCAAACGTCCACAGAGTCTGACCTCTCCAGACTAGGTAAGGATGGTGCTTGGATCTCCAGCTCGTGTCTCAGCTGGAAAAGCTACTTGGCTAGTAATTGTTAGAACCATCATTAGTTAAACCTTCCCTGGGCTTGACAGCGTGAACTGTTCCCACATGGGAAGGTGTGGGAACAGCATCTTCCTCCTTTAGAGGGCAGAGATTTATTTGTTCCCGACTCTTTAACATGTGGGGACTGTTCTCAGCCCTTCACAACCGCTGACCCAGTCTTCACAGCCCCTGTGTGAGAGAAGGTATGATGATTATTGCTGATTGTCAGCTGGGAAATGAGGTCAGTGATGGCTCAGGGCTAAGGAAATGTGTCTCCAAACAGAAGGTTTGACTGCATAGCCTGAGCTTTACACTCCTAACACTTACTCTCCTGTTGGTAGGACCCTGCTGTTTGAGGTTGCAGTCTTCCTAGTCCAGATAGCCATTCTGAGTTTGGCACTAGATGAAGGACTTCCTCTTCCCAGCAGGGCCTCCTAGTCTCTGCCTGACCTCATCTGGAAAGTATCTTTAGGCATAGATGCCTCTAACCATATCTGATATATGGCTGTTGGCATAGTTGCCTGCTAGCTCTCCCCTCCCTGTGCCTATATGATAATTAGGTACTGTGTTCTCGTTCTTATGATAGGAGCATCCTGTTTAATGCAAATCAAGAATCCTTGAAGTGCCAATTATTTACACGTATCCTGAGAGCCCTCACCCACTCCCCAAGGAGTATAAAATTGTTCTCTTGAATTAAAATTGAACTGTCTCCCTGAAGTAGTTCCCAGAGGGCATTTTCCATCATACTAGCGGGCTTCAAAGGCCGGCATCTCACCTTTTCCTCCTCCTGCTTTCATTGGCTTGTGGCCAACAGTTCCCCAGGGAGGAGAACCACTGCTGGCGCCTAACATGGGGCGTAACCCCAGCAACAGAGTTCATATGTCGCTGGAAAACTTTCATTCAGTTCCTTATAAAAAGCTATTCTTTCATATGACTGTGTCAATTAGACACAACATGAGCCCAACAAATGTAGTCTGAGCTCTAGATACTTGCCACTGAGTCACTACATTATGAATGTTGTGTCACTGCCTGTTTAATCACTGTGGCTAGAACTGATAGATTGAGGGTCCAATTCTGATAGAAACATTCAGCCTCTAATTTCTGAGAATCTTTCATATTTTACAGTTAAATTGATTCAGAACTCTCCAAATCTTCATGTCTTCCATCTGAAATGTAATTTCCTGTTGAATTGTGAGTCTCTCATGGCTGCGCTTGCTTCCTGCAAGAAACTCAGAGAGATTGAGTTTTCTGGACGATGCTTTGAAACCACGTCATTTGGTAAGACCTGGACAACGTTGACTTCAGATGCTCCTGAGCACAGTCTTTCAATACTCCAGGATTAAAATGCAATGGTGTCGTGGGAACTGTGACCACGCCTGATCTTCAGTGAGGCTTTCACAGCAGTGAAGTGCATCTGTCTACAATTTAAACCTTTCATTTTCAGAGCAGTGTCTTCCACTTAGTCATAGTAATTCTGAATAGCATATCACCTTTCATCACTTTTTAAATACTCCTTATCTCAACAGTACTGCTCTGAGTCATAGGTAATGTGTTTGACCCAACTAAATTTTATTTTTCCTTTCATAGTCAACATATTGCCAAATTTTGTTTCTCTGAAGACATTAGATCTTAATTGCCAAAAATTTCCAGATAAGAAAACATCAGAAAAGTTTGGTAAGTTTATAGAAGCATTTCTTGATTTATTATTTTCCCCCCCTCTTCCTCCTCCTGCAGGGAGCTCACAACAAAGCAAGGTGTGTACAATTGTCCCTTTACTTCCATGACAGTTAGGTCCAGGAGCTCCTGCTGCTGTAAACACTAGAACGTCCTCTACTCTATGATATAAAATGGTGCAGTGTTTTCCCATGACCCCACACACACTCATATCCTTTAAATAACCTCTCCATTGCTTACAGTGCCTAATGCCATGTAAAAAAAAAAAAAATGTTACATTCTGTTGTTCTTTTTTTAATTTTTATTTTATTTTTAATTACACTTTATTTACTTTGTATCCCGCCTCTAGTTCCCTCCCTCCTCCCCTCCCAATTCCTCCCTTCCTTCCCCTTCTCCAAGCATGCCCCTCCCCAAGTTCACTGGTAGGGGAGGGTTTCTTTTTCTTCCTTCTGATCCTAGTCTGTTAGGTCTCATCAGGACTGGTTGCATTGTCTTCCTCTGTGGCCTGGTAAGGCTGCTTCCCACTCAGGGGGAGGTGATCAAAGATCAGGCCAATCAGTTCATGTCAGAAGCAGTCCCTGTTCCCATTACTATGGAACCCACTTGGACACTGAACTGCCATGGGCTACGTCTGTGCAGGGGTTCTAGGTTATGTCCATGCATGGTACTTGAAAATCTGTGTTCAAATTTTATGGTTCTGATGCTCTCCTTGTGGAGTTCCTGTCCTCTCCAGATTTTACTCTTTTCCACTTCTTTCATAAGATTCCATGCACTCTGCCCGAAGTTTGGCCATAAGTTTCAGCAGTCTGCTTTGATAGTCTGCAGGGCAGAGCCTTTCAGAGTGTGTTGTTCTTAAAGTAAGGAAGAGGGGGAAATGTCTGGATATGTTTAGCACACACTTTTAAAAAAAAAATTTGAACCTGTGGTTTGTGGAATGTGCTGATACAGAGGGTCATGCACCAGCCATGTTGGTCCTTTGGAGGACACCATGGTGATACTCAGTCTCACCGCCAGGTACTATTGCTCTCATGCATCCTCATGCTTAAACTCATTAAATGCAATACTCTCAGACTCACTGACACCTTAGGATAGAAGCTGGTCATGGTGGCACTGTGCACCTCTATTGTTGGACACCCATTCTAGATGTGCTCTACCTGTTCTGTTTCAAAGGTTTCAGAATCTACACAAAAACTTCTATTTATGTTAAGAAAACTAATCTGTGATAAACCATATTGAACACAATGATAAGTATAGAGAGTTTATATACTTTTTTTTTTTTTTACTTAAAAAAATGTTAGAAGGCCAGGTGGTGGTGATGCATCCCTTTAATTCCACCACTTGGGAGGCAGAGGCACATGGATTTCTGAGTTAGAGGCCAACTATTCTACAGAGTGAGTTCCAGGATAGCCAGAGCTACATAGGAAAACCCTGTCTTGAAAAACAAACAAACAAAAGAAAGTTTAGAAAAATAATATGGTTTCACGGGCAACACTAATGGGGAAAATGGAGACAATGGTGATACGGGGTGCAGAGCTCTGTCTTCACAGTGCTTCCCAGACTTTTGTAGGAGAGGTGACCCCCCCCTTCCTTTTCCCTTCTGCAGAGGCAGCTGCTGCATGTGTTTGCTTTGGCCTTGAAGGTGCTGGTAAAGCAGCAGGGACAACATCAGGCACTCTGAAGGCTACTGTCATGTGCCTCAGGTTGACTATGTAAAACTCACACTGTGAGCATCAAGTTTCCCCACTGCTGGAAAAGAAAATTACAAAAAAAGCAGAATGCTGGTCAGTCTAAGGAAGCAACGCTTTGAATTCCTGTTCCTAGCTTGTTAATGAAGCCTTAAGGAAGTGGATTATATTTCCTTTTGTAAAGATGAGTGCGCACACAAACAGTCACAAAGTGAATTTCAGGATTTCCCTCACAGAGGTCAGCCAAAATTATAGCTTTTTCAGGAAAAAGGCCGGAGATGGCTCAGCAAATTAAAGGCCTGGCACCAGGGCTGATGACCTGAGTTGGATCTCTGGGGCCCATATGATGGAAAGGAAAAGAGCCTACTTCCAAAAGCTGTCCTCTAATCTCTAAACCCCTAAACCCGTACTATGCTACATGTATGCCAAAGTACATGCACATATGCACTCTCAAGTATGTACACACACACACACACACACACACACACACACACACACACACACGCACACTAAATACACATAGGTCCATGCTGGAGTGCAGTGCCAGCGGGTTCAGAACCTGAAGGAGGAAGTGTGGAGTCAGTGAATGAAGACTTGAATCAAGGGATGCAGTTCACACACTGAGACACTGAGACAGCTCAGGCCACCCTTACTTATACACCCATTTTTTAACAGCTGAAAGGTTTTACATTCATTTTCTCGTGCACAGTCTGTTTTAAGACCTTCCTATATGCAGCAATAACATGCACACTGTACTTTTCCCTTCCTTCTCCTCCGCAATCTCCACGGTTTCCTGCCAACCCATGAACTGTGTCAAGAAAGAGGAAACAGCTTCAGCAAGCAGTTATTATTTAACCCAACACACTGGTACTTAACCAAGTGACCATGGTTGGCAGCAATTGTGGTTGCAGTAGAAAGAGATGATAGATTACATACACAGGAAATTCTGATTTAATTATTGGCAACTGGCGTCTTCTCATACCCTAATCAGGATATTTAATTCCTTTAATACCCAGGGCTCTCTGCAAATTAGCAACCTGAATCAATTCCTCACCCTTGCTTGGCTTGCCTCTGAGTGTTCCTATTAAGTCTTGGAACTAGAGATCCATCAAGACCTTCCTAACTTTTTGGTAACCATGTAGCTATTGTTTGGAACAGGTCGGTGGGCAAATTGTTGTCAGAACCAAGTTTCTATGTGGAGAGAACATCCAGACAATAGCTGATGTACCTAGACCAGGCCCTCACATTGGCTCAACCACATCATCATTAACAAACTCCCACAATCCTCAGAGACAAACCAGAATTAATCACAGCCTGATCTGAGCCTTGCAAATGCAAGGCAAAAGTGAACCAAGCATTCCCTCGGGAAAGGCCAGGAGATTCTTCACTAATATCCCCACAGGTCCTTGTCATGTGGAGACCCAAGTCCTCAGGCCTTGTAATAAGGGGAGCCGCCAGCATCACACGCATCATTCCCAGAAGAGGCTTGGGCGCTGCCAAACGTAATTTAAGCTGCTTTTCAAATGTCAAAAAGAAAGAACCACAAATTGGAAATATGTGTGCAAACTCATGGTTTGTTATTCCATAAACACACAAGATCTATATACATATATAGACATCTGGGTCTCTACATACAGGTATCTCTCAGGACAGTCACAGAGACCAGAAAGCACTTTTCCAGTGTTCAGCTGCTCATTTCTTTTCTTTTTCTTTTTTTAATTTTGTATTAGTTTATTTACTTTACATCCCGAGGGTCGCCCTCCCTCCCCTCCTCCCAGTCCTCTCTTTCCCCTCCTTTCCCCTTCACCTTTTTTCCCCCCAGAAAAGGGGAGCCCCCTTCCCTCCTGTATTAACCTTCCCCAGCACATCAAGTCGCATCAGGTCTGCTCTTATCTTCATCCCCGGAGGCCAGGCAAGGCAGCCCTACCAGGGGGAAGTGATCCAAAAGCAGGCAATAGAGTCCATATTAAAAAGAGCACCCCCTCTATTCACCAGGTGACCCACGTGAAGACCAAGCTGCCCACTGGCTGCATGTGTGCAGGGCCCTAGGTCCACACCATGCTCCTTAGTTGATGTCTCAGTCTCTGAAAGCCCCCATGTGACTGGGTTAGTCGTCTCCGTTGGTCTCCCTATGAGGTTCCTGTTCCCTCCAGGTCCTTCCCTCTTTCCCCCAATATTTCCTCAATATTCCCAATATTCCCCAATATTTCCTAGAGTTCCGCCCCATGCTTGGCTGCAAGTCCCAGCATCTGTCTTGATCTGCTGTTGGCTGAATCCTTCCAGAGGACCGTCAAGTTAGGCTCCTAACTGAAAGCATAGCAGAGTATCATTATTAGTGTTCGGGCTAGCTTTCTACTGTGGGGTGTGCTCATTTCTTTTCTATTTTAAACAGTTTTGTTTTCTGGTCACAGAGCTAGGATAGTTTCTTGGGTAGATCTTAAGTAACCCATTTGAGAAAGAACACTTAGAACGTGGGAGTGGTTCTATGTGCACCTGATCACAGCTCCTGGGAGGATGAGACAGGAGATTATAAGTTCCAGGTCAGCCTGAGCTATAGGCTGAGACTTTGTCTTTTAAAAGCCAAAATAAATCATTTAACCCAACTAAATGAAGCTTACACCCTGTGCATACTAATGTAACTACCATAAGGGCATATTTTTTATACCCAGCTTTGCTGGTTTAAGCAGATATGACAAGAAACTTCCTGAGGTTTCATAGGTGGCCCAGTAGAGCTGCGGGCTACCCATCTTGCTGTGATTTTACAGAAACGATGGAGTGAAAAGAAGGCTCAGTTATTTGGCATGTTTGTGCCTGTGTACATGTATGCATGTTGGGGACACAGGTATGGAACCCAGGGTCTCAAGCATGCTAAGCAAGCACTGTGTCTTTGTGTCGACTGCCCAAATCTCTGGAGTTGCTTTCTAAGTACTCTTTCCTGAAAGAATCAGAGTCTGTGGATACATCGTTCATTCAAGAACCGGAACAGGAAAAGCCAAAGATGAATCTGGAATATTGGTTCATGCCAGGAAGTTTTCAAAATAGCTTCTATGGGTCCTCAGGAGTAGACTTAGTGATCATGTGATCTACAGAATATCCTGCTAAGTAAGAGTGAACTTGGGAAGGAAGGCTTTCACAGTAGTGTACCATGCTTTTAGTGTCTAGTGTGGGTCTCCTCGGTGTGAGATCACTGGGGTGATAGCAGGAGGAGGGCTGATAAAAAGGGGGTCGAATCAGAAGAGTGACCTGACGCCAGAGGAAGCTTGGCTGTGGGAGAGAAAGTGGAAATGAGGAGACAGCCAGGACTTGGGTGAAGAGACAGGTTGGGGAAGATGCAGAGAGCAGCAGGGGACAGCTGTGTGCTGACCCCTTCTCTTGCTCTTGGAGAAGACCATGATGTGTAGGACCTGTTAGCGGTGGGGCCTGAGTAGGGAACACCTGGGTCACAGCTGCTCATGGTGGAACAGCAACAGAGGATGGCTTTGTTGTGTCTTCCACAGCACTGGCTCTGGGTTCTCTCAGGAACCTGGAGGAACTGCTTCTTCCCACTGGGGACGGGATTCACCAAGTGGCCAGACTGATTGTCCAACAGTGTCTGCAGCTTCAGTGTCTCCGAGTTCTTGCCTTTCACCACACCTTGGATGACGACAGTGTGCTGGAAATTGGTGAGTGTAAAAGCCACTAACATCACTGGAGCTGCCTGCTGCAAGTGTGTACAAAAAGTGTGTGCAAACTGTCCAACCTACTTCCTCATTTCATCTGTCATGCTTCTGCTTCTCATGCCCTTTTGCAGATTTAGGTTCATCCTGGTCAGACTGGGAAGGTCATCAGCATCCTTTGGGAGCTATAGAAGCTATTCAGTCTGTGTTGGGGACTGAACCCAGTTCGTCACTCATGCGTGCTGGGCCACTGCACCACAGCCTAGTCGAGTCTTCTTTATGACACTTGGTGTTTCACAAACCTGGCAGTATACTCTATTTATTGCTTGAGTGATTACAATATGTATGGGAAGTCTGCACTATAGAGCCAGACAAGCTTCTCCAGTTTACAGTCTTGGGGATTTTGTTTTCTGAGTTCAGTTATACCAGAATTAGAACACAGACCAATGCCAGAAGCCCAGGCTCAATCCCCAAATAAAAAAAACGATTAATTGACCTCTGGCACCCTGTCTAACTTCTTTATAGCTCCAGTTTGTTTTTATATCTTCAAGCTAGGTGCACAGCACATATCAAGTTGTAAGATCTTTCTGGTAGACCAATGCTCTTTACCTGTGGTGGCACTTCATGTCTCCTGCTCACTTCTTGTGTACTAAACATAGGCATCCAGAATCATTTTTATGTCTTTTTCCTGCCCTTTAATCTATGTAACAAAATTTAAGGTGAGTCTCTTCCACAGTTAATTAATAGATGAACCTTTTAACCTATAGTTATAGATTAATAGACTTAAAAGTTAACCCCAGGAAAGAGATTACTTGGTAAAAGTGCTTGCCTGACATGTATGAAGCCCTGGCTTGGTCCCTAGCAAAAACATACAAACAGGCATAGTGGTTATAAGGGCACACATCTATGATCCCAGAACTCAAAAGGTGGAGACAAGAGGATCATCGTCATCCAGGTCATCATCCTTGGCCACATAGCAAACTAGAGGTCAGTATATGCTACAGAAAACCCTGTCTCAAGACAAACAAAAAAACTCACAATCACCAGAATAATACCTGATACAGGCCGGAGTTTGCAGAGAGGGCTCCGTCCGTAAAATGCATTCAGTCGATGCACGAAGCTCCTTTAGTGTGATACGCAGCAAGCAACCCAAAGAGGGGTGTGATGGAGCTGAGGACAGGAGAATCCGTGACACTTACTAGCCACACAATCCAGTGGAGTCTTCAGTCTCCAGGTTCAGTGAAAACTGGTCTCAGAAAGTAAGGTGTAGAGCAACTGAAAAGACATCCACCATTAACCTCTGGTCTCCACACACACCCCATATGTGCATAATACGACCCCCCCCCCACAGAGACATAGAAAATTTAAAAACCCAATCCATTAATCTTTTTATTTGCATTTAATATACTATGTTATATTATGTTACTATAGTTGAATTGTCATCTTTTTTTTTTTTAACAATGTCTGCTGATTAATAGTTCAATCTGGACTTTCTCTTTTTAGTCCTCAATGGACCTGAACTTGTGATCCTCCTGTCTCTGCCTCCTCAGAACTAAAATGACAGAGATGGTGTGTCAACCCTCTGTGTATTTTTATTTGATATTGGTTTCTTTATTTCTTTTATAGGATATGGGTGGTTTTTTCTCTGCTTTTTTGCTTCCTACATTTATTAGCTTATTAATTGCACGTATTTTCTTCAGGGTGGTTTGATAGTGTAAATGTAATTCTTATTTGTCCGATGTTATCATCTTGGAGGCTTACTGATGAATAAGCTTACCCTTTCTTGCTTTTTCTGAACTCTGGCTGGCTGGTTCAACTCAGCTGTTCTGGCTTAAACTCCTCTCCTAGATGACTGCTTTAGTCTATCTTCTCTCAGCTTCCCACTGAATTGCTGTACTTGGCCTCAAACTAACTCTGGCAATCTGTTCTAATCTTCTGGCTCCTTCTCATTCTCTGGCTTCAACTGCCTCTGTTGACCTGTACTGAACTGCATGAACTCAGGAACAAACTCAACTATACTACACTACTTCCCTTTACCAGGACCCTTTTCCTTCTGTCTGAAGGATTCTGTTGGTGTTTCTTCTACTCTGGGTTAGCTAGTCATGACTTTTCTCCCATTTTAATGATGAGGAAATGCCTTTTGCCTTCATATTTGAAAAATTTTTCTAGTGCATTCTATTTTGGAATTACTTTCACTTAGGTTTCTGGCCTCTGTACCGTTTCTTTTGTTTAGTGTCAGTTCTCATGTTATGATGTCCTTTAGGGTGAAGTGTCTTTTCCCCTACTCAGAAGCTTTTAAGATCTTTATTTTTCAGACAGAGTCTCACTATGTAGCCCAGGCTGGCCTGATCCTGCTTTGGCATCCAGTGCATCAGGAACTAGAGGCTTTGCTTTGTGGAAGTCAACATAAACTCCATTTTGTCTTCCCATCTGTTGAAGCTCTAACCCCAAAGTGACTGCATTTGGAAACAGGGGATTTGTTGTGGCCACCACACCAACTAACACAGCAGCTGTGGAGCACATGACTAGAACTGGTTACTCTCCTTGGGGTTTGTAGAACTGATGGGGAATGTAGCTTGGTAGCTTTTTGTCAGTTTTAGGGCATTTTGGTCAATACACTCTGCCCAGTTCTCCTTCACCAGTTGCTTCTGCATACAGCTGAAGAACTCGGCCTGATTTGGGGGTCAGAGAAGGTTTCTGGAAGTGAGATTACTGATAAGACTTTATAAAGATGGTGGACACACAGCTGGGAAATGAGACATTAGGGCATTTTGAATAATAAAATTACTTGTGTCCTAGAGCCGGGTCCATTTGAACAACTTTCAACAATAAGCACAAAAGTGGAGCAAGAGGCAGGAGTTAGCTCCTGAAAAAGAGAGCAGAGAGGACAGGAAAGGTACTCCTGGAGTGGGCATCATGGGTGCGTTGCAAACACTGGGTTTCATCTTGTCACTGCTCAGTACTGTTACTCTACAAACGATATTTAAAGTGGTGATTAAACCAGGTGTATTGGCATGTGCCTGAAATCCCAGCTCTCCGAAGGCATAAGGAAGGCAGATCACTCTCTGCAAATTGAAGACCAGCCTGGTCTGCTCTGTGAGTTCCAGGCCAGCCAGAGCCTCATAGTAAGAGCCTGTCTAAAAAATGAATAAATAGAATAGAATAAAATAAAGGTAATTTAGCCAGGCATGGTGGTAGTACAGCCTTAGAATTGCAGCACTCACAGGCTGAGGAGGAGAAATAAGACATCAGGTTGGGGCTGGAGAGATGACTCCGAGATTAAGAGTGATTGCTCTGTAACCATGAGAACCAGATTTAGGACTCTGGAGATTGCTGGCTTCTAGCCTAGTTGAGTAAATGCAAGGCTCAGGTATCGGGACAGGCCTCTGCCTCAAGGGAAATGATGTAATATGATAAAGACAACTGATGCCTTCTTCTGGCTTTCCCAGGCATCATACCCACCTATACAGTGTGTATATTACATGTACATACACATAAGACTTTGTCTTAAAAACAAAGAGGGAGGGTAGTAATTTATGATTGTCTCAAGAGTTTCATTTCTCTCCCCTTCAGAGGAAATCTGGGCAGCATTCACTTGGATGGCTTCTTTCTTTCTCTTTTGTTTTGTTTTGTTTTGTTTGTGTTTTCCAAGACAAGGTTTCTCTGTGTAGCCTTGGCTCTCCTGGATTCGCTTTGTAGACCAGGCTGGTCTCGAACTCACAGTGATCTGCCTGCCCCTGCCTTCCAGAGCATGGGGAATACAGGCATGTGCTGCTGGGCCCAGCTTTGTATAGCCTCGTTCATCTCTGTTTATTATAAATCAATATTTTGCCTTACTCCTTTCTCTTACGTTAGGTCTCAGACCCAGAATCTTACATTTTGAAGCAATAACCTCTGACCTTCTCCCTCTTGAGAAAAGTCCATCATTCAAAGCAATGACTGACACATTAGGGCTTCTGTCTTTAAAGTCAAGCTATAGCAAGATTCTTGGTGAAATCAAACCTAACACTTGCCCAAATTAGGGGACACAGTTGTGACAATTAAAACTGAAGCAAAAAACACTGCTAGCAAAAACCCCACTTCCAGTCATAGACTTGGGTTGAGAACTTACTTTGGCCTGCCCCAATTTCCTCCAGAGCTCTAAGGAACCAGGAAGTCATTTGGGCACACTGGAGCACAGACACAGGGAAAAGACAAGCTTTTTGGAATAGCACCTACCCTTCTCTGCAAAATGGGAGACACTGTTGTCACAATTTCTCAGTCCCTTGTACTATAACCTGTTCCTTGTGCCCCGCCTTGGCGTATGTCCTCCTTTGAGACCAGAACAGAAGTCCTCATTGCCCAGACAGCTAAAATGTTCTGTTCTCGACTTCTGGTTTCTTCTTCTGCCTTGCAGTTTGGCCAGGTGGTTCCCTATCAACTACGCAGCTGTTCAGGGCTTTCAAAGAAATATCTTTAAAACACATTTAAAGCCAAGCATTGTGGTATTTCCTTTAATCCCAGCTGCTGTCAAAAGGCAGAAGAAGGCAGATGTGAGTTCTAGACCGGTCTCAGCTAAATAAGTGAGTTCTAGGACACCCAGGGCTGTGTAGTGGGACCTGGTCTTGGAAAAAAATATGATTAGCAATTTTCATTGGTGGTGGGTGTGAGGTTACTTACAAATAACTTTGTAAGTTTACGCAAGTCTTCATAGCACTGTGTCTTCATGAATATTTTTGTCTGCTTTCTTTCCAGCCAAGGCAGCAGCCAGCAGAGGCTTCCAAAACCTTGAGAACTTAGACCTTTCAATGAATCACAAAATTACAGAGGAAGGATATAGACGCTTCTTTCAAGCCCTCAACAACCTGCCAAACTTGCAAGAGCTGAACATTTCCAGGCATATCCCAGAACGAATCCAAGTGCAGGCCACCACTGTCAAGGCTCTGAGCCAGTGTGTGATGAGACTGCCCAGACTCACCAGGCTCAGGATGCTCAGCTGGCTCCTGGATGAAGAGGACATGAAAGTGATGAACGCTATGAAGGAAAGACACCCTCAGTGCAAATGCTTGATTATTCACTGGAAATGGGTAGTGCCATTCTCTCCTGTCATTCAGAAGTGAAGGATGCAGCTGAAGGCTACTGACAGTTCTACAAACCCAATATTCGAATACATTTTACTTTAACTGACTATGGGATAATCCCAGCATTTAGGAGACTGAGACAGGGAGATCAAGAGGTTGAGTTCACCCTGGGTTACATAACTAGTCCTTACTTTAGACCTAAATCAAAATCAAACTGTTTAATAACTATTGCATATACAAGAATTGCTAGGCTGGTAACTGTTTGAAAGCCTGCATGCCTGCATTGAGCTATGATGAACAGTGCCTTGGCAGTCCTTACATAGTCATGTTTAAAGATTAGAGCTTCAGTCAAGTTCATACAGAAAACCCTCCATTTCCAAGGTCAACCAGAAGGGAGGGGCTGGGGAAAGAACACTGATCTATGTAAAAGGCACAACATGGAAGGAGTATTTGATGGAGGTTAGAAACAGTTTTAGTATTGAATCAGTCTCACACATGACGAAGCACAAGGCGACTTCACCACAGGATGCAGCTGACTTTCCAGGACATACTTAGTCTTTGCAGGGCTTTTGTGTGTACGCCAGCCTTGGTGTGGCCATGCTAGCTTGCTGTCATCTCTCATTTGACAACACGAGGGAAAATACAGGCTTAGAGATGATTTTGTTCTAGAGGCTCTGGGGAGACATTACATGTTATGATAGCTTTATAACTTTTCTGGAAATTCACTCTGTTCAGGGTATAATCTGTTCAGGTTTCAATCTTATACCCTGAATTTCTGGGTATTTTGAACTTGATTGTGATAATTATTTGTCATTTCATAACTTTCGCCTCTCTAGAGGCAGTGGACCTGGAAGAATATAACCAATAAATAAGGTAGACTAAAGTCTCATGCACTGGCCAATTTTACTCAGAGCATCAGACAATTTATACTCTGATAGACAAGAAAAAAAAAAGTACTGAGTAAAGCTCTCATGAGTTTAAGCTGTATATAACCATAAGGACAAGCTGCATTGTAGCAAAAACATTTTTCTGTGAACAGCAATTCTCAGCCTCTGGGTACTGACCCCTTGGAGGTCAAACAACCCCTTCACAGAAGTTACTCAAGACCATCAGAAAACATAAATATTTATGATTCATAACAGTAACAAAATTACAGTTATGAAGTAGCAATAAAAATGATTTTATGGTTGGGGGTCACCACAACAGGAGGAACTGTACTGAAGGGTCACAGCACTGGGAAGGTTGAGAACTGCTGGTAGAGAGGCATAGAAAGGATAGTTAAAACATGTAATAGAATAGCAGCAAACAATGCGTAATCTGATGGAAACCCACTCCTCTTCACTACATCTGGGAGGGGCACAAAAACACATTCCAAGAACAATTCCATCTTTTGAAGACACTGACGTCACAGACACTTGTTTTCTTGGAGTGTTCTCATAAGCACTCAAGAGTTCTCACACGACTCCCATCCTTAGACCATATTCCAACACATAGTGTATAGAAAAACACCTATACACCTTAAATATATACGCTTTCTATTTTTGCATTATGAAATAAGCTTGGAAAGGTTAAACATAAAAAATAATTAGCATTGGTTATCTCTGAAGACTGAGGAAGGTGGCATTCTTGATTATTATTTTTCTCCTTTTTGTATTTTTTTTTTGTTTTATAATTGCTTGTTACTTTAATACTTAAAGTAAAACTTTAGGGTTGGAGTGTAGTTCAAAAGTGCCTACAGAGTATTCTTGAGACCCTAAGCACAATCTCCAGAACTGCCAAAGAATACATAAGAACTATAAAACTTAAGTAAGCTAGGGCTGGAGGCTCAGCAGTTAGGAGCACTGGCTGATCTTCCAGAAAACTCAGGTTCAATTCTCAGCAGTCTCATGGAGGCTCCACACTGATGTACATACAGACAAAACACCCATTCACATACATAATTTTTATAATTAAATAAAGTATGTCGTCATCAAAACGACAGCACATCCTCCCTCTGGGGGATCTGATCTCTCTGCTTATCTGATATGTCAAGACTTTTGTAATCAGAAAGGTTTTACATGTTATATCAGAGTCCACTGAAGACCGAAATCATGACGCTATTACCACAGGGAAGTCTGAGGAAAGTGCGATGCAGTCGTGAGCTCTGAGGACTGGGATGAACAGAAACTGGCTTGAAAGGAGTAACTCTGACCACACTCAAGCTCTTCCCCCTCGCCGAGAAACCCTGGTGTTTAGAGCAATGCCTTGCAGGACAAAGCCATGACACCAGAGCTTGCTGGGGCCCTGGAGCTGCAGCCTGGGATCTGCTGGGCTGTATTTGGTGCAAGAGGCCTCAGAATGCGCAGCCAGCCATGTGTGCTGCCCCGGATGTCTGCGGATGGAGCCGGCACAGGAAAGACGTAGCAGGTGTTTCCTGAGGCCAGTGAGGAACCCCGTTAGTAGCTCAGCTGCTGGTAACAGGACGCTTAAGATGCGGGCTGCAAAGCAGTCACTGAATGTGCTAGTGTGAGAAAGTCCTCCCTACCGCTCCAGAACCAGCAGAAGCCCTGGCTCCCTCGGTGTCTCAGCAGCACCCTCTACTGACAACACTGCATGCAGCTTTGAGGGACCAGAGTTCAGATCAGGAAGCCTGTACTGCATGAACGCTGAATTGGGAAATAGGCAATGCCGTGGTAGCTGCTTGAACTCATTATATGTAGTAGCACAGATGGGACAACCTAGGTAAGCTGTGTACAGCAGCACACGAGTGTAGCGCAGCCACTCTGTAGGCTGAGGCAGAAGTTCCAGGCCAGCCTGGGCCATCTAGAGAGACACTGTCTCAAAACAACACTGAGGAAGTGCTAGGGATGCTGCTCTGTGGTCTGGCGTTCCTAAGGCCCATAGTACTGCAAAGTCAAAAGAAACAGGGGCTAGAAAGATGGTTCTTGCAGAGGACCCAGGCTCAATTTCCAGCACCCGCATGGCAGCTCACAGTCATCTGTAACTCCAGTTCCAGGGCATCCAATGTTCTTTTCTGGCCTCTCTGAATACCAAGCAAACACATGCACATGGTACACACACACACACACACACACACACACACACACACACAGAAAAAACACCCATACCCATAAAACAAAAACAAAAGCCTTTAAAGAAAGAGTTCTAATAAGAATTCAATGGTTCTGGTTTATTCCTCAGCACTTACAAGGAAAGAACAAAGCTACTGAAACGTGTGTTTCTGATCACATACTCCATATACCAACTCCCTGAACCCATCCAATGGGCTGCCTTTCTGAACACTGTATCTTCTTGGAACATCTGCTTTATTTTTAAGTTAATAAAAAAAAACCAGGAAATCAATTTTACATCAAAGCATAGTATACATCGAGCACAAGTGAAACAAGTAACAAGAAATAACTGTGAACTCATGAAAATAGATATTAAATATTTTATTAAGCACCAAAGAAAACAAGTCTAGAAAACAGCTTTCTCTGGAAGGGTACTTCACAAGCAGTGGTTGTTTTTATTTTCATGCTATCTACTTTATTTGGGTTCTTATACCTCTACCTTCCTTCAAACTCCCCAGCCCTAGGTAAGAGAGAAATGTTAGAGGGGAAAGAGGAGGTAGATCTCTTTAGACTTAGCTTGTTGGGGCAAGTCCAATCTCCATAGTCAGAATATCCAGCAGTCCAGCAAATGTAGCAGCAGGACAAACCAGGAGCAGCAGTGGGCAGCAGCTGCCTCCTTCTTTCTCAAAGCCCCATCCCTCTCTGGGCTTTGGCATTTATACCCTCTCAGATCCTCAGAATTAAACTATCTGCAGCTGGCAAAGATAATGCCCTTCTTAGAGCATGAGACAATCATAGTTAACAGCTGTAGACAAACTAAAGCAGCCTGGTATCCCACACCTGGGGTTAAAACAAAATCATGTTTATATAACTGAGTTTTGAAAGAAACCAAAACTTCCACTACAGTTATGTCCTCTCCCCCAAGCTTTTACCTCCCAGTCCACCACGACAGAGACCTCCACACTGATACATTCAGTGACTGCGTTGCAGTCCACATCTTACTTGTCCTGTTACTAGCAGCTGAGCTACTATTGGGGTTCCTCACTGGCCTCAGGAAGCACCTGCTCCACCTTCCCTGAGGCATCACTCCTGCTTTCCTCCTTAGAGAGCTGCAGCTCAGCCCTCTGCTGTTTCCCCTCTCTGACCACATGTGTGGCAGGGGAAGTGGGGGTCTGAGTTCTCCTGACTTTGTCTCTGTTAAGTGCACGTCCTGGACCACCTCATCCAGCTCAATGGCTTTGAGTTCCAGGTCTACACCATCTCCTCCATCTCCAGCTCTAGCCCGAGACTATAGATATACCTCCAAAAGGCATTGAAATATCACATCTCCAAAGCTAACTCCCCTTCACCAAAGTACTCTTATTGCACATTTTCATCTCTTAAAACTCCTGCTTTATTTCTCCACTTGCTTTGTGAAACCCATGAAGTTATCCTTAGCTCTCCTCTTACGCCACATATAATCTGACAAATCCTGACAATTCACTTACAAAATACTGTGGGTTCCACATGAGTAGCCCACTTCCGTGAAGTCTGTGGTGCATCTTCATCATGCAGCCAGAGGTTCCTCGTGGAGGTCAGATCATGCACTGCCTCTGACTCACTCTTCTCCACGGGGCTCACAGTTCAAGGAAAATGCTGTGGAACTGTCTACACATGACCCTTGGCCCCTGCTTATTCCCATCTCCTTAATCTCATCTTCCTTCCACTCCTTACTGGTCCTTGAATATTCCACATACATTCTTATTTTTTTTGAGACAGGGTTTCTCTGTGTAGCCCTGGCTGGCCTGGAACCTGCCCCATAGCCCAGGCTGGCCTCGAACTCACAGAGATCTGCCTGCCTCTGCCTCCCCAGTGCTGGGACTCAAGGCGTGTGCATTTTTTATACAAGGGCCTTTGCTCTTTGTTGTCTTTTCCTTTTCCTGAGATGTTCTCTCATGCCATGGGTTAGAAATGTTTTGAGTATTCCTCAAATGTTCATGTGTTAAAATGCAACCTCCCACTGTGAACTACTCGGAGTGGGGACTTGACCTACTGTGTTTGCAGCTGGAGGTATTTAGGTATTGAAGGTATTTAGGATAAAGTCATCAAGATGACACTCCAGCGGTTGGGAGCACTAGCTGCTCCTTCGGAGGACTGGGGTTCATTCCCAGTTGGTGGCTCGCAACTGTCTGTAACTCCTGTTCCAGGGAACCTGACACCCTCACACAGAAAGACATGCAGGTAAAACACTGATGCACATGAAATATAAACAAATGAAAAAATATGAAGCTCCCGCTGAATCCTGGTGGTTTTCTGAGAATCCAAATATGAACACATACACACAATATATGCACTAATCATGCCCGTTGCCTCTTGCAATATTATGCCTGATTCAAGCTCAGCACACTAGACAAAATCATCACCCCTGAAGCTCCAGAACTGTGAGCCAAAACAAATCTTTCTAACTACTCCTCAATAGGCTACTTTCCACTTTGTGAGAGGCGAGACTGCACATGTACACATGGGCATACATATGGCCATTTCCACGTGCCCTTTGTCTTTGTCACTGCCTGCATTCCTCCCTCGAGAGCTTGGGTGTGGAGTTAGGCTGACGGCCAGTACACTGGTGATCCTCCTGCCCTTACCTAACCGTTACCCGTGCTTTTACTCACCCGAGCATCTCCACTGCCTTGCTCTCTCTGCTTTACTGTATGAGATGTAATCTCACTATGTTGGCCAGGCTGGTCCCAAATGATAAATTCTACCTCAGCTTTCCAAGTAGCTGGAACTACATTACACCAACATTCAATGCATCCTTCACCAAGAGCAACTCCCAGCATTTAAACAATGTTGAGTATTTGCTGGAATGAATGACCTCAGTTCAAATAAATGTATTAGGTGCTAAAGGGAGTTAAAATTAGTGTTAATATCTAATGTCTGGTTAGGTTTAATGGAAATGTTAATAATTAAATTTAGCCTCCCAATTAACTAAGTTATGCTGAATCTATAATAGCTAGTAGTTAAGAAAGGTAATGTTCTCTTCTAAAACCTCAAGTCACAGAACATATTTTGCAAAGCTACTTACTAGGTATTGACAATTCATTAATTTAATCATGCTGACTTGACAGCTAACATGCTAGGCACAGAGGGAACTTAGTTAATTTAGTTTACCTAGCCAAGACTTAGCAAAGGATAGCATTTGCCATATTCTGTTTTTAAAGTAGTGGAGATCACATACAGTGCCTTGCACGTGTGCTCCACCAATGGGCTCCATCTTCAGCATAAAATGTTGATCATATTTAACCTCCAAAAGTAAGTAAACCAGGGAGAAGCCTTTGGGTGCTTGAACATTAATCCTTACCATAAGAATATAATGGAGGTGGTACCTGGAACGGCAAGGCCATGATGGGAAGAGAATGGCATGGGCAACTGGGTCAGGAAGTAGACATGATTAAGGAACATCATGGAGAGAGTGGGACACTAGGACAGAGAAAGGGAGGTGCAGAGAGAACAGCATGGCTTCTACAAGACAGAACTCAGTTAGGGTGTGGTAACACCTGCCTGGGAAGCCATCTTTTGGGAGGCTTGTGAATCACAAGCAAGCCAGGCTGAAAACAAGACTGTTACAATGAAGAACAGAGCTGGCAAGGTGGCTCAGCAGGTGAGGGCGCCTGTGTGGTAGTAACTAAAATGGGCTTTGGGCCACATGATGTTTATTAGCCCTATAATTATCGAGGCAGTATCATTTAACCCACTATCACAATAAGACACAGGCACCTGTCAAATTTTATAATTTCCTCACATTGGGCCAGGCAGATATTTCACCTACGCTGTCTCAATAGCCTCACCTTCCACTTCCCAGCCCCCATCAAATGCCATCTGCTTAACCATTCCTATCTGAGCTACCTTCCACCCATAATCTTATAAATACTTGGCTTATATTTTTGATCTTGGTGTTTTCTCCATCTGACCATCCTTGGAGTCCTTCCTCCTGGCCAACGTGGTTCCTTCTCCACCCTAACCCATACTGGTATCCTCCTTCCTCCTCTCTTCCTGTCTGTGTTCTTCCCATGATTTTCCTCTTCCCCAAGCCTGGGAACCTTAGCCACACCTACCCCATTCTGCCCTGTCCAGGTTTTAGGCCTTTAATCAACCAATCAGGTATAATGTCTTAGGCAGCTTTACACAAGGATAGGTTTATCCAGATCTTGAAGGCCAGTAATTAGCATCAAAACACAAGCATCAGACCAACCTCCAACACACCAGGCACCAGATGACCTCAGTTTAATCCCTAGCACCTACATAGAAAAAGAGAAGACTTCACAAGTAGTTCTCTGACCTTATATTTGAGCCACAGAAAACACACACACACACACAACCAGAACATACCCTGGTTCCTGCCTGGTCAGGATAGCCCCTGCGACTTGAGTTAGCTTTTGTCCCCCTATCTTGGATTACCAATTTGTTCTACTTTCTGCAATTACCTTTTACCCAAGTAATAAGTCTGGATAGTTTTCTTTCTGTATCTTTAAATAGACTCAATTTCACTGTATATATCCCAAAGGAAAATATTTATAAAGTCAAGACTTTTTAAAAAAGGACTTTTATTTGTTTTTAAAGGCATTAATAAAAATCTTGACACACTAGGAAAGTTACAGTCTACAGCTGTGCTCAGACAGTTTCGACAGACTGGCTTCCATGCATTACATCTCCCCGTTCGCTCCTCAATCCACTTATGCTCTAAACACGCTCCACTGATGATTCAGGCGTGGACCCCAGAATGGGAAAATGCTGATGATGTCACTCAAACAAGAGAGTCCACAAAGATGACGGTGACACTTCTGTTCTTATGGACCAAGGACACCAACGTACCATCTCCTAGGGAGAGAGCTGAACCTGAATTTGAAAGAAAAGTCTAGTTAGTTATAAAGTACAGAAAAAGAAACTGCATGGGCACTTATGTATACAAGTGTGGAAGTCAGAGACAACTAATAAGAGCTGTTTTTTTTCTTCCACCCTGGGGACTGAATTCAGACCATCAGGCCTTTGGCCTCCAAAACAATCTTGTCAGTCCCAGGTCATATTTTTAAAAAGAAGGCAAAGAATAAAATATGCTAATATAAACATAATATTGGTTTAAAAATTAAGAAGTACTATATTTGATCTTTTCTATTAGAATTTAAATATACTACAAATTATCAAATCTTTTTTTATTTTTCCTCATTAAAAAGTAGTGACTGAGCCAGGCATGATGGCACAGGCCTTTAATCCCAGCACTTGGGAGACAGAGGCAGGCAGATCTCTGTGTGTTTGAGGCCAGCCTGGCCAATAAAGTGAGTTCCAGGACAGCCAAGGCTACAAGGGAAACCCTGTGTCATAAAACCAGGAAAAAAACAAAAACAAAAAACAAGCAAACAAACTAAAAACAGTGACTGCAACAGCATAATGAGTATTGTTTTTCTTTTAATATCAGTTTCAACTGACACATTTTGTGGTTAATCTCGGCAGGTTTCTTGAAGTGTGAGATCAATGAATAACAATTCCCAGTGATGTTAAAAATAACATAAAAGCTTTAGGTAATACTTGTAGAACTGTTTTTGTTTTTTTTTTTTAATTTTCCAAACCATGTTTCTGTCAGAGTAAATGAAAGTGAATGAAAATGATGAATTTTGTAATTTAAGTTACTTCTGATTTTATATATATATTATATATATATTAAATTCTTTATTAATTATACTTTATTTACTTTGTATCCCTCTTGTGTTCCCTCCTCCCGTTCCAATCCCTCCTTTCTTCCCCCCACTGCACGCATGCCCTTTCCCAAGTCCACTGATAGGGGAGGTCTTCCTCTCCTTCCTTCTGATCCTAGTCAATTAGGAGTGCCCGAATTGTCTTCTTCTGTGGCCTGGTAAGGCTGCTCCCCCCTCAGGGAGAGGTAATTAAAGAGCAGGCCAATCAGATTATGTCAGAGACAGTCCCTGTTCCTATTACTATGGAACCCACTTGGACACTGAACTGCCAGGGGGTACATCTGTGCAGGAGTCTTAGGTTATCTCCATGCATGGTCCTTGGTTGGAGTATGAGTCTAAGGAAAGACCCCTGTGCTCAGATTTTTTGGTGAATATTTTTTTATGAATATTTATTTCAATGTAGTAAAACTAGAAATTAGTTACTTGGATTACAATGGATTACAATGTTAAGTGTCTCTAAAGTTAAAAATGAATTAAAATGTTTAGGGCCTCCAGAAAGTTACAAATATATATATATATATTTATATATTTATATTTATATAAACAGCTACCATTCCAGGGCCATGCCTGTTTGTTGCAGGATAATTGATTACACTGTGAACCCCGAAATTCTGTTATTTATTAGAAAAACCTGTTTCTAGTGGTGTGGTGTGGCTTTGCCTTGCCACACACCTTTAATCCAAGAGCTTTCTGCTTGAACACTGTGAACAGAATTAAATAAGGTCAACCACAGTAAAGAGGCAGAGCAAGCAACCAGTTGATAGGAAGTGATCATAGGATTATTAAGAAAAAAACCCAGAGAGTAAGAGGTAGTCAGGTGGATGGATAGAGACGCACAGGAAGTAGAAGGGAAGGACATTTAGTTTAAAGGAGGTTGTTTGAGACCCTTGAGAGATGTCTGCTGAGAAGGAAAATCAGCTGGGTGTTTTCTCTTTCTGATCTAGCAAGGCTTTCACCATAACATCTGGCTCCCAAGCCTTCCTTGGTAAAACCAAACGATGGAGATTTTGTTAAAAACACCTGTTGGGAGGTAGAGGCAGGCGAATCTCTGGGAGTTCAAGGTCTACAAATCGAGTTCCAGGACAACCAGAGCTACACACAGAGAAACACTGTCTCAAAGAACAAAAAACAGAAACAAAGAAAGACAAACAAACCGAAACAAAAAACAAAACAAAACCTACCTGTCTTCTTTCTGCCATGATGATCATGGACTAACCCTCTGAAATGGTACACAAGCCCCCGATTAAATGGTCTTTTATGAGTTGCCTTGGCCATGGTGTGCCTTCCCAGCAATAGAGCAGTGACTAAGACAACAGATAATACAGTGCACTGCACACTGCATTACTTATCAGAAGAGCAGGTGGGTCTGCAGAGATGGCTCAGTGGTTAACAGCACTTACTCTTATTCTTGGAAGACCCAGGCAAGTTATAACCACCCATTTAGAACAAGTTTCCTGGGATCCAACGCCCTCTTCTAGCCTCAAGGGCGCCAGCCATGCACATGGAACATAAACATACATGTACACAAAACCTCCACACACAAAAAAAGTTTAATCTAAAAAGTACATGTGGATCTGGTGGCAGAATATTTGCTTACTACTTTTGTGTGAGGACCTCGGTTTAATCCCTATCACACCCCTCACCCAACACGCACACACAAGCACCCGAGCCTGACTGGGCAATGATACTGCAATTATCTTCACACTCTACACCAGATGGTAAGCCAAGTACAGTGGTGCAAAGTATAATCCTTGCACTATGGATACTGAGGCAGGCAGCTTGGAGTCCAAGGCCAGCCTAAGAGTCTTTGTTTTGTCAACATAACCAAACCATCCAGCAAGTATTTGGAAGATGACACTTTGACACCATGAGAATTTGATTATGTGGGGATAATTCAATATTTAATCTAATTTTTGACAGACTTTAGTGGGGCTGGAGAGGACACAGCAGTTAAGAGCACTCACTGTTTCTCTAGACTATGAGTTCCATTCCCAGCACCATGACAAGCAGCTGACAACCACATGTAACTCAAGTTCCAGGGGATTCAACACCCACTTCTGTCGGCATGAACCAACCCGCCCCCAACACACAGGGACACACGCACATGTGCAAATCCAAAAAACCCCAAAAAACAAAAACCAAAAACTTTTCCTATAGTTTACATAAACATTAATTTGTAAATGTTCAAAACACTCATTTCCCACAAACTTTAAGAGTTATACAAGAAAATAACAGACTTACTGCTTAATTTGTGGGTGAGCTCTTTCCTTCCTTTTTATTTTGTCTGAAACCCTGTAAAGAATGCAAATAAAAAGTTAAAAGAACAGAGAACACACTAGATAAATGTGTGCATAAACATTTCAGGCCAAGTTTGATGCCCAGCCTGGTGATGCAGGTTTGTGAGCCAGCATCAGGAGGCTGAGGAAGTAGGACTGGGAGTTCAAAGTCCCAGTAGTCCCACTGTGTAGTCTTCAGCTACACAGTGAGTCCAAAGCCAGCCTGGGCTACAGTAAACCCTGCCTTATGTAGGGAGTGGTAGCCCATGCCTTTAATTCCAGCACCAGGAGATAGAAGCAGGCAGATCTCTGTGAGTCCAAGGCTAGCCTGGTCTCTCTTTTAAAAAACAAAACAGAACAAAATGAAGCAAAAAAAATAACCCATAAGCTCAACTTAGTGATGTATGCCTAATGAGCCAGTGCTTAGTAGACAAAGCAAGAGGACTGTGATTTGAAAGCCAGTCTGGGCTAGTACAAGGCTTTCTATACAGAAAGACGCTATGCAAAAACAAACAACAACAAAAACCCACGAGACTGGGAACAGTTTGGTGCTAGAAAAATAGCATATTCATAGCAACATATTTTTTAAATTTAAAACATTTTTATTTTATATGTATGGGTATTTTGCTTGCATACACAGAGTACCTGTACAGGCTAGAAGAGGACATGAGATCTAGCAAAACTTGAGTTATACACATTGGGAGCAGCCATGTGGGTACCAGGAATCGGTCTTCTAGAAAAGCAGCCAATGCTCTTGACTGCAATGACATCTCTCTATCACAGAAACATTTTTACAGCCCCAAATTGACAAGATAAATAGTCATTAATAGTAGACTGGAGTAGCCAGGTGTGGTGGCACATGCCTTTACTCAGGGAGGCAGAGGCTGGTGGATCACTGTGAGTTTCAGGTCTTCAAAGACCAGGACAGCCAAGGAAGGCTAGAAAGAGAAACTGTCTTGAAAACAAAACAAAAACCAAGACAAAACAACAACAACAAATAGTAGAATGGATAACAGATCACTTATGTATTTATATACAATGGAAGGTAAGAGCTACACCTACACACAAGATTTAAACACTGAACTTCAAAAAATGGCCAGGCTGGGATACAGCTCAGTGGTAGAACTTGGGAAGCATGGGCAAGGCCAAGGATGTGATCCCAATACCCACAGATAAACCACGTCTTGAAAAAACACAAACAAACAAACAAAACCAGACATTTGAAACGAACTACAATCATATTCAGGAGGGCTGATGAAACATGTCAATTTTTAAACTTTAAGGTAGTCTTAAAAGCTGCCTTAAATTTTTAGGCTCCATAGAACAAGCCACATTTGTAGTCATTCAAGAGCTGGTTTAGGTGCAAAGCTCAGCAGTGTCTACCTTCACAGAACATGTCAGGAGATTCCCAGGGAACCCTTACCATATAGTAGCCAGTGTGATAGCCGCTCATGTACCAAGAGATCAGCATACTGCCCAGAGCATCAGTGTCGTCCAGACCATCTGGAGATATGGGAGGGGGTGGAGGAATTATCTGGAAATGGAAAAATCCACTTAGAAAACAATGAAATCCAGGGATTCACTCTACACAGAAAATAGTGGATATTAATTGAATCTTTCCCACACCCCAGGGGATGCCTTCTACTTAATTTTTTTTAAATCTAGCACTGGAAGAAAGCAAACCATAATAAAAGACCAACAGATTTAACAAGGATCAAAAAAAGTTACTAAGAGTGTCTTTGTTCCATTATGAAGCTATGCATGAGACAAAACAGAGATTCAGTTTTCCCACAACACACACACACACACCATTTTCAAGGCCACTGAAAGGAAAAATTTGAGGTAGGACTTCTGCCTGACTTCTACCCAAATACAGTCTGCCCAAAAATATCCTTTTAACTACTGTTAATATCTTAAAAACAACAACAACAAAATGTTAAAATCCCATTAGTGCCACAGGCCTTTAATCCCAGCACTAGGGAGGTAGAGGCAGGTGGATCTCTGAATTCACAGCTAGTTCCAGGACAGCCAGAGCTTTTACACAAAGAAAGCCCATCTCAAAACCAAACCAAAGCAAAGCAAACAAACGAAAAACCTTAGGACAAAAAACAAAAACCCCAGAGTAAAACAATAACAAAGAGATGTCCATGAGAAATGACACGCCAAGAAACTTGCACCCATGCTGCAGGAGACGCAGCACCTCTCTCCTCCATGTGCTGAGGACAGTCCTTTCTAACAGAGAGCAGCACCAGTAAACTGGATCCCAACCACTGAGGGAGGAAATATGCAAACCAGAGCTTGGAGACGAGGCTGGGAGAGCACTGTGTCTGCGTAACAGAGGGCTTTCAACACAAAAACAGATCTACAGTTTTACTCATTAGAATCCAATCTTGGGGTGGCTTAAGGTAACACACTGCAATTCCCTATATTCTCAAAAACTCCTGTGTGTAAGCAATCAATCTAAATTCTTTTGTACTTACTGGTGGGCCTGAAGGGAACGGAGGCATCCATGGCAAGAAGGGGGGAGGTGGAGGAGGTGGCGGTGGAGGCCCATTGAATCTTAGACCTGGCTATAAAGAATAGTTCAAAGTAGTTAATATTTTAAAGGAAAATTCCTTTCTTCACTAAAAGAGTATTCAAAACCAAAGTAATAAAATAGGAACTGGGGAGATGGTTCAGAAGCTAAAAGCACCTATATTCACATGCACACAGATATACACAGATACACATAATTAAAAATAAAGCAAATCTTAAATGGTAGCATATAGATTTTTTTTAAATTTCTTTTCTATATAAACATTTAGAAAGTAAATCACAGTAAAGAATTGTAACTGCCTAACAAATTGGAGACAATGTACTTACAAAGATAATTTAATCACAAGATTATATTCTTCCCCTACTATCACATAATATTTTTGTAGATACCCTGTTACTGGGTCCACAAGACACTTCAGCAGGTAAAAGGTGCTTGTCACCAAGTCCACAAGCCTGAGCCCAATTCCTGGGTCCACATGGAGGAAGAGAACCAACTCCCACGAGCTGTTTTTAACTTCCATACGTACACAGTACCCACTCAAATAAAGAAATGTGAAAAAAGAAAACAGAGCTTAAGAGGTCCTGTTACTTATAAGTACATCATAAAAACTACCAAAAAGACAAGAGATACATTAAAAGATTTGGTCATTTCAGATTCAAGAAACTCTATACAATATAACCTTCGATTAGAAAATCATTATGGAAAATCTTCTGCTGTTTTTTAAACTTTCTAAAACATTAACTTACATAGTAGTGTGAGCATGCATGAGTGGCACACGTGCCCTGGTGTTCATGTGGAACCCTGAGACACTGTTGGGAACTCTTTCCTTCTACCCAGAGGACTCCAGGAAACCAAACTCAGGTTAGCAGGCTTGGGGCAGATGCCTTACCCACTAAACCACCTTGTCTCTTCAGAGTTGACAAGCTAGTCACTATGCTCATTTCTCAGAGAAAATTGTAAAGTTTTATGTCATACTTGATTTTTAAAAATCACTATCTGGTGGTTCAGCTGGTAAAGCACTTGCCACACAAGCATTAAAACTTGCCTGCCAGTCCAGCTGCATCAGTAAGCTCCAAGTTCACTGACATAAATAGCATACTCTCTGAGGAAAAATGCTGCTTAGTACAAGGTTAGTTAAGGTTCTAGCCACAACCTAGGCCTATAATACAATTCTTTTTAAAGCTGACTTTTAATACTTACAACCAAAAAAGCCATGAAAAGCGGTTACTTTTTGTCTTGTTTTTTGTTTTTTCCAGAAAGGGTTTCTCTGTATTATAGCCCTCACTGTCCTGGACTCACTTTGTAGACTAGGCTGGCCTTAAACTCACAGAGATCCTCCTGCCTCTGCCTCCTAAGTGCTGGGATTACAGTGCGCTCCACTCTGCCCTGCCAAAAAGTATTTGCATTTTAACACTGTAATACACTCTGGAACAAAGCAGGCGTGGTGGAGGCACAGGATCTATAGAAGCCAGAAGTCAACCTGCAGGAATAGGCTTTTTCCTTCCACCATGGCAGCCTCATCCTCAAACAATACATAATGTAATACAAAATTTTAAAACTGAGAGTTCACTAGTTACTAGCCTACTACCCCACGGCAGTGTGAAGAGCCTTTTACTCCCAACACCCTCACTATTGCACTTCCTTTTAAAAGATTCTGGTCTGGAAAAACTAGTTTCATAGGAAAGCTATAAATTAATGGAAGAGTTAGGGTCCTAATATTAATCATTTCCTACACATAATTTTCTGAGCAGAACATTTACCTTTCCTGGTCCCAATCCTGACCCTGGCACTGGGGGTGGTGGAGGGAAAAATGAGTTCCACGGAGCAGCTTTGGACTTGCTGTGTGGTTTGCTTCTGAGAGATCTAGAGGAGTTTTCACTGTCATCTGTTGATGCTTGACTTTCATTCTTTAAAAAGAAAAACAAACATTTTGTTATACAAAGGTAGAGTACTTGCCTAGCATTTGCATGGCCCTGGCCTTCTTTCCTAGCAAAAAGAGAAATGAGAGAACAAGAGAGAATGAGAATGTTATTTAACGTCTTGGTAGATCGCAGTGCCAACTGATTATACTGCTTTTCTCGTATTTAACACGCACGTCAGGGACAGACGATTTCATGACCTCACCTCTTGAGCGCTCTGCTCCACATTATTAACTCCCTCACAGATTGGGGAGAGTAGATCAGACAGATTCTGCTCCTCTCTGTTTCCATAGCCAGTATAAACCACAACACAGGTTTCTCTCTTAAGATCAACTGATGCAATGGTAGCTGGGTAAATGCAGCCATCTTCTGACCAAACGGCAGAACATTTGTCCCCAACTTTCCACTATAAAAGAAACAAAAGACACAGACATGCACATGTTACTTCCTTTGAAAAGAACCCTAACCCAGCTCTCCAACTCAGATTCCAATCCCCCCATCTACTCAATCACAGACACTGTTCTTAGTCATCTCTGTCCTCTTTTCCCAGTCTGATGAATGGCTGTAATGTTTTCTATCCAACAGTATCCAGCACTCTAGCTAAATAAGAGCAAATGCTCACCAAATACAAATATCCTTCCCTTCTGGTAATGAGTTAACTAATGAGGCATCAAACTATTCAGTCCCTGCACACACACAACAAATAAATAAATGAGAAAAAAATATCACTTGGTCTACAGGGTTTCGCTCTGCTTCAGTGAGCTTAATGTGCGGGTGCACAGGGCTGGGCCTGTACCAGGCAGCTGCTCTGCCAGTGCACTGTTCTCCTACCTCAGGTCCCCTGCTTTTGAATTAGCAGACCTAGTTATCCAGTTACCTGGTTTCCCATAATACTTTTTCAATGTTGAAAGGGGGAGGGGCGACCCTTCCAGATCAGCCACACAGCACATACTCAGAATGCAAGGAGCTCTGGGTGTAATACCCAGCACGTGTGTATATATGTACACTACCCACATGTGTGAATAGACACTGCTAATTCAGTTCACAGCTCTCAGGTACTCTAAATAGCATCAGCAACCCTTCCCCTCAGGCTGGGAAAGACCCTATTTAAATAAATAAACAACCTGTTTCAAGGGAGTTGTGGCATTCTTCTTTTGGTTTTTATTCTTCTTAGCAGGTTTCCTCCTAGCTGTGCCTTTTGGCTTATCTGAAGTTTCACACATGTCACCATTCTTTAGAGCATTCTATGAAGACAGTAATAGAAATGTGTTATGTAGGGACACATTTTAAGAAAAGTCAACACTAACATAACAGGTCCCATCACCTCAGTTTCTTTATTTATTTATTTTTCCAAAATGTATGATATAAAAAAAATAGAAAAAGAATGATTAAAAATGTCATGGCTAGTGGAAGTTTTGATTTCTTGAAAAACTCAGTTGTGTAAAAATGTTTTTGTTTTAATCCCAAGTATTGGATATGGAGCTGCTTTTAATTTATCAAGCATAATAATTGCCTCATGTGACTCAGAGAGAGGCGTGATCTTTCCCAGCTGCAGTTTGTGGAATTCTGAGGACTTGGAGAGAGTATAAATACCAGAGCCCAAGAGAGCAAGTATGATTCAAGAAGGAAGAAGGTTGCTGCTGTGTCTGCTATTCGCTGGTTTGCTGGATATCCTGATGACTGAGATTGGTATTGCCCCAAAGAACCCAACGACTAATCAGTAGGAACTAAATCTAAAGATGTCTACCTCCCCTTTCTCCTTTAGTCTTTCTCTCCTACCTAGCATTGGAGTGTTAGAATTTATTAGAAGGGATAAAAAGTGGAGAAGGGAGGTAGAGGCATAAGAAACCCCAGGAAAGTAGATTAAAAACAAAACAAAACAAAAAAACAAAACAAACAAACAAACAAAAAAAAACATGTGCTACACATACCTTAAAGGAAGCCACAGCTTTATCATAAGCTTTTATTAATGCTGTGTCATCCCAAATGTCAGAATCATCACTCTGAAGAGGGAAAAGAATACAAACAATTTATGATGTGTCTAATTAAAAATATACAATAGAAATCACTGGGGATGTAGTCCAAAGCCCCAGTTCAACTCCTAGCACATATCTATAATCCAAACACACAAAATATATGTTATAGAGGGAAACATTTTTAGAAAGTCACCACTTTCTAATATTACAGGTCCCATCACCTAAGAAAGCCTTAAGTTTACTCAGCAGTGGCAGGAAGATTGCCAAGGCAAGACTGGCCTGGGCTATACAGTGGGATCCAGGACAGCTTAGATTACAGCATAAGACCTTGTCTCAAAACAAACAAAAAACCCCATGAACTACAAATTATAATGTCTCATATCTGTAATCTATAATCCCAACACAGAGCCAATAGGGTTGCCAAGAGTTGTAGGCCAGTCTAGTCTACATATTGAATTCCAGGCCAATTTAGGCAATCCTGATTCCGAAGAAAAAAAGAGCCACACAAACTTCAAAACCAGGTGTGGTGGTAGACCCCTTTAACCCTAGCAAATGGTAGGCTGATGCAGGTCAATCTCTGTGATTTTGAGGCCAGCTTAGCCTACAGGGTGAGTTCCAGGTCTGCTAGAGCTACATGATGAGACCTGTCTCAAACAGAAACAACAGAACAACAACAAACTTCAATAAATAAGATTACCCCTGGGATTACACACATGCACCGCCACCCTGGGCCTGAAGAAGATATCTAGATAACAAATAAGCACAGGAAACCCTGTGGCTTAAGGAGAGAACCACCAGGGCTATGCTGAGGCCAAACGGCAAAGCTTTACTCAGGACAGGAGCTGCTGGGCTGTCCCCAAGAGAAAGGAATGCAGCATTATCAAATGTTGAATTCCCTTCTCCCACCCTACACTCCAAGCAGAAATCACTTACCATGCCATACTAAGACTCAGTTCCTAATGCTTTAAACTTTGTGGGTTTCTTTTTTTTTTTTTTTTTGGATGGAGTGTGCTGTTGCTTAGGCTAGCCTCAACCTCACAATCCTGCCTCTGTAGCTGGGATTGGTCACAGGCGCGGTCCAACAACTTGTCGGTGATTTCCCCTCACATTTAAAAGCGTTTGTTTTAGAGTCTCACTGTAGTTTAGGCCGGTCTCGAGATCACACTGAGGGTAACCTTGAACTCCTGACCCTCTTGCCTCCATCTCCCAAGTGCACCACCAAGCCTGGCTCTGATGTTCCCTCTCACCCACTTGATATCCTAGAAGTCTTCCTCGTCTTCCCCACGTACGAGTGCACTGCACTCAGCAGCAACTTTTCAACTACTCAGGGCAACATTAGTTATCCTTCTCCCTTAAACTTTATCAACTGTTATCTGCGAAACTTGGTCCTTCTGGTTACAAAACTTTATCCGGAATCCAACATTTTACTCTACACTCGCTGATCTTGACCTAAATTTGGAGCATTTCAATGACTCCTAACAGGTTTCATTGCTTCAGCCAGCCCGTCCCCGCACACTCCCTCACGGTCACACAACACCAGAGCGTGGCTCACAGCTTTCCAGGAGCCCAGGCTGCACGGGCAGCCGCCTGCGGACGGGGGGGCCAGCCTGTGGCTCGAGCGAGTACGCACAGGTTCGGTCACGGGCAGCGCTCCGAGCGCTGGCGCCGGGCTGCGACCTCACCTGGCCTGTGCCGCGACGGAACAGCACCGCGTCTTCCTGTTCCGAGACTGCGCCGCCGCTGCCCATCGCCATGGCGAGCTACCACGGACGCTGCCGGGCTCCCCAGTGACGACTTCCGCCGCGCGGGGCTTCTGGGACCGGAAGAGAACGGTGGCCCGGAGGCTGCTCGGGACGTTCCGCATCTCTAGGCAATGGTACGGTCCCAGCTCAGGCCTCTCACAGCTCTTCTCTCCTTCTCTTACCCCCGCTTCCCCTTCTTCTAGCGCTTTCTCGTCTCCCTCTCATTTCCTTCCAACGTACTTTCCTCCCTCCACAGACCCCCTCCCGTCTTTGTTCGTTCTTCAAGTCAGAGTCTCACGCCACAGCTTAGCCTCGCTAGGTAGCTCATGCTGACCTTTCACTACGTTTGCTTTCTTTTTTAAAAACAATTATTTTAGCATAAAGTAGGGTAGTTATTTTAGCATAAAATAATGGTGATTAACTTATAAAATAGAGGTACTACGCCAAGATGAAGCTATACAACAAGGGCATCCTGTGTTTGTTGGTTCTCGACGCACATGCCAATAATTAAATGATGGGTTCGTACAGTGCCTTCCATTGCAGCGTTAGGTGTTCATTTCCCAGGTGAGGGAGGTCGACCATTTCCTTGGTCTGGCATGTCTGGTAAGTTCTTGGTCTGGTTTTCCTGATGGGATTTTGATACACCCATGTGCCGCCATAGTTTGGATTCATCCCAATAAACTTACAGATTGACTCCCTTTCCTCTCTCAGGAAAAATGTTACGTATCGTCTGTACTAGATAGTTCTTGACAAATGGTGCTATTTCTGGTGTACCCAGAGGCCACAGTCATCTTTTCTCAAAATGGAGTCAGTGGGGTTTCCAGACATAGGATATTGTAGGCCAATCAAAGGTTCTGCATGACATCCTGTCTCAAAATAAAATGGATTCTCTCAGGGCAGGGCACAGCCTAGCAAAAAGCTACTGTTTTATACAATATGGAGCAACTTAGAACAGGGCATTTCCAATAGGGCACCCCAACAGTACCCAGTGAAATTTCTGAGTTCTTGTGTCCCATAGTAAAAAAAAAAAATGGGACAGGGCCACACCCAAAGTGATGGCAATGGAGGTCATTTGTAAAGAACGAATGTTCCTAGCTATGGCTGTGAGCAAAATATCTGGGACTGATAACCTAGTGTCCTGCCATAATCCTCTGGATTGTGGTTCCAGACATCTTTTTAAGGAGCTGAAAGTGATCGTTCTTCTATAAATTCTTTGTTAATGAGGGAGTGGTCTGCCTAAGAAGGACCATAAACCTCCCTCATTTACCAGTTGGCTAGAGAGGAGGCTTTGGTTTTGTGTAGTAGGAGTTGGGATCCTTATCTCATAAGGCCTTTAGTTTAAAACTGTCATAACCAAAAGGTAGAAATTTTACAAGACTGAAAATACGATGCTTAAAGCCAGGCATGGTGGCACGCACCTGTAATGCCTGCACTCAGGGAGACAGAGGCAGTCGGATCTCTGTGAGTTTGAGGCCAGCCTGGTTTACAAAGTGAGTCCAGAACTGCCAAGGCTACACAGAGAAACCCTGTCTCTAAATAAACAGACAAATAAATTAAAATGTTTAAGCAAGAGTAACATGATAATACTACCAGTGGCTTCAGAAAGAACCAGAGCTAGAAAGTTCGCCTCCATACTTGTCCCAGGAGAGCCATCTTTGTCTAGCTGTTCTCTGGGATATCACCCCCCCCCCCCCAGAAGGAACTGGTGGTGTAGAGCAGTGGAACCTTCCCACATTCATAGTGGAATTGAAAAATGGCTTGGCTATTAAAAATCAACTATTTTTGTGGTCCAGTAACGTGTGACTCAACACCTAACAGCAGGGATTTCTGTTCTGAGAAATGAGAAACATGACAGGCTATTTTCTCTTCGTGTAAACTTCTAGCATACTTATATGAACCAACATGCCTACATGCTTTGCTGTTGCTGCTGCTGAGGATTTAACTGGGGACTTCATGCATGTGAAGCATATGTTCTATCACATGTACTATCTATCTCAGCAAAGGGCTGTACCGCTGGGCCTTTATAGTCCAGGTTTGTCTCAAGTTCATCTTCCTCAGCCTCCTCAGTACTGGGATTACAGGAATACAGTAGCACTGTGCCCAGCATTAAGCAATAAGGATTTTATGAGACAATTGCTAAATATGTGATCTGTAATTGACTTCAAAGTCATTCCATGGCAAATAACTGTACCTTCAGAAAGTGTGCACATCTCACGCCTAAGACATCCTATTGCTAGGTATTACTCAATAATTATGATTGCTTATGATCACCATATTTCTAATACATAAATGTTTATATGGGTCTGTGTATTAGCAGTAAAATGTTAGTTTCGAATGCATAGTTTTATTTGCATAGCATTATGCAAATGTTAGTTTCAATTCTCAGTGTTGCATGGAGAAAAAAAAAAAAAAAAAAAAACCTATGCTAGTATTATTCATAATATGCTGGGAACAATGCAAGAGTCTGTGAAAAGCAGAATGCCCTAGCTAAGTTAGGGAATATTCACACAAAGGAACACTGTGCAACAATGTCTCAAAAAAACAAAACCCATGACTTAAACCAAAAAAAGTGTGTAAGCTGAAACCTGTATGAAGTTATTTAGAATGTCGATCTCTGCTTGTTGTTCTTCTTCTCAGTGGTTTTGTTTATTTGAGACAGGACCTTGATAGGTTGCCCTGCCCCATCAGCCTCCCAAGTCCCGACCCTGAGCATACACCACCATGTCCGGCTTAAGTGGGGTTTTTATAGACGGGCCATCTCTAAAATGTGTCCCAACCCAACTTGTAATTACTAATAGGGATTCTAACATTCAACAAAACGAGCCCATTCAAGCCAAGTTAGACTATATAAATGACGGTTTAATGCTTTGGTTAAATGTGCACCTCAGATCTGCTTGTCCCAGATCTGAATCCTAACAATTACTACGTAACAAATTTGTTAGCACATAAAACTGTATGAGGCACTTTAATAAATGTTCTGAGTGTTTTTAATTGTGACATTCAAGATATTTTACTTGAACTTTAGTGACGTATTTTATTTTTTACTGAAGAATATAAGCTTTTCAGTTTTATTTTTGATTGTGTGTGTGTGTGTGTGTGTGTGTGTGTGTGTGCATATGTGCATATGAGTGCAAGTGCCCAGAGAGGCCAGAAGTGTCCGATCACCCTGGAGTTGGAGTTACAGGTGGTTTGAGCTGCCTGACATGGGTTCTGGGAACTGAACTCAGGTCCTCCGTAAGAGCAGTACATTCTTTTAACTGCTGAGCCATCTATCCTGCCTGTTTGTTTGACACAGTGTCTCACTTTGTGGTCCCAAACTTATGCCAATGATCCTGCCGAAGCCTCCTGAGTCTGAGATTACAGATATGACACTATACCTGGCTTGTTTTTGTTTGTTTTGTTTTTTTAAAAAAAAAGGTCATTATCATCTAAGGAAATCATCTTCCCTGTTTAAGATGCTCCTCCAAAAAATCCTGACAAAGATGGTAGCATGTACAAATCTCATAATCTGCCAAGTCTATATTAGGGGTTTATTGTTTGGGGGATGTTTGTTTTCATTTTATTTGTATTTGTATGTATGCAAGTGTGCTTTTCTATGTGTGCACACTCCCCTTAGCCCATGGGAGAGTGCCCAAGGGTGTTAGATCTCCTGAAGCTGGAGTTACAGTTAGGTTTGAGCTACTTGATGTAGGTGCTAGGACATGAGGAACCTGGAAGAGCACCAAGCACTCCTAATTGTCTGGATGTAAACGTGTTTTTGTTTATTCCCAGGTGTGGGATGTGGACTGGTTCAGATGGTCCACAGCAGCAGACTATTTGCCTTATGTAGGCTCTTGAGAGGGGCTCCTTGCCAGCTGCAGATAGTTTAAATCTGAGGACTCTGGAGAGAGAATAAAGGCCAGAGCCCAGAGAGTGGAACAGAGAGAAAGAACAATGCTTTTGCTTCCCCCTTGTTTCTGTTGTGAGACAAGAAGTTGAAGATCTCCTGAAACGAGGATTGACGTAGCTTCAAGAATCCCAATGACCCTAACCAGCAGGAAGCAGCTAAGAGAACTGTGCCCCCTCTCCCACTAACCCTTTTTCTCTCCTGCCTGGTTTGGGGGTGTTGAAAGGGATTAGGGTGGAAAAAGGTGAAAAAGATACAAGAAATGTAAATAAAAGTTTTTTTTTATAAGTATGCCAATACCTAATCACTGAACCATCCACAACCTCTCATGTCTCAACCCTTTAATTGCTTGACATTTGTGTACTTTCTAATTTATAACAACTATCAAATCCTATTAAACTTTTATTTAAATCCTCTTAAACTTCTATTATATTTATATAAATTCTTGTAGTAAAGCCGCTGGATACAGAGCAAAAATTATATAACTGGAACTTAGTTTGTGTGTGGTGCTGGACATTGAACTAGGACAAGCACTCTGTTGCTAACCCCAGCCCTGTCACAGAAAACCTAATGATTGGGGCTCAGTAAGGTAGAAGCACAGGTGTGACAATCTGAGTTCAGCTGCCGGAGCCCATGTCAAAAAGCTGGACGTGGCGCTGTGCATCTGTGCTCTCAGCACTCATGCTGCAAATGGGAGGCGGGCATACAACTGCCAGGACAACGGTGCAGAGCAGAAATGAGACCCTGCTACAAGCAGGAGGTAAGAACTAACTCCTCCAATGTGTCCTTTGATCTCCTTCAGGTGCCATCACACACACAGAGTTGGGGGTGGGCAGTGAGATGGCCTAGTTGATAAAGGCACTTTCCACCTGGCTGAGCTCAGTTCCCGGAGCCATAAGGTGGAAGGTGAGAGATGATCCCCCTAAGTTGTCCTCTGATCCCTATTTGCCTTTGTAGCACACATACGCAATCCATAAATCTTTAAAATTTTAAGAAAATTTATAACAAGCAAAAACTTAAAAGATCTACTTTAGGCTAGCGTTCACGATCCTAGAACTCAGAAGGCCAAGGCAGGAGGATTGCTATGTAGCCTAGGCTACAGAATGAGACTGTTTCAGAAAACAAAAAACAGAAACAAAAACATCAGCCAGGTGCAGTGATGCAGGGCTTTAATCCCAGCACTTTGGAAGGCAGAGGCAGGCCCATCTCTGGGAGTTTGAGGCCATCCTGGTCTACAAAGGGAGTCCACGACAGCCAAGGCTACACAGAGAAACCCTGACTTGAAAGACAACCAAAAGCCAAATCAAACTACTTAACAAAGTGTGAAAATTCTAGGTTTATACGCGATCCTGCTCCTGCATCACATTGTGCATTGTCGTTTGCATCTCAAGTAAGTCGCAGAGGTCACAGTTTGCGTGCTTGCTCCCCAGCTGGTGAACTACTTTGGGAGGCTATGGAACCTTTATAGGATGGAGCCCACTGGAAGGGTCAGGTGGTTAGAAATGGCACTTTGGAAGTTAGTCAGGTTCCTGTCCAGATGTGGACTGCTGCTGTGATGTGAACAACCTCTGCTATGTGCCCCTACTACCATCAACCGAGCTGCTCTGCTCTGCTTTCTGGGAAAGAGTGAAATCCTCTGAAGCATAAGCCAGTTTGTTCCTCCTTCAACTTCTTTGTCAGGTACTGTGGTCCTGACGATGAGAATGTAACACACTGCCGATTTAACAAATTGCATACATGTTTTTTTAGATAAAAATAATATTCACCAATATGTTACATGCATGGTCAGTACTTTATTCTTTTGAAGATGGTCTTAAAACATAACATTAGTAAGGCTGAAAAGTACAGTTTAAAATGGACAGTTTTATAAGGGTAAGTTATAACTCAGGTAATAGTCACCGAGACATTTTGATCTTAGAGCTTATGATGCATCCCACTGGCGACAGCACCAGGTTTTTCAAAAAGCTAGTCATCATTTTTCTCTTATCTGCATAGATTTCTTCTCATTGGCTACCTTCTGCTTTTGTTGCATGATCTCTGAGTCCCTGCAATAGAGAAAAAGGTATGAAGTTTTCACAGGAAAACTAATATTATGCTCTCATTGTTTCCTATATATAACCCCTTTGGTACATTAGAAGAAGACATGAAGTCATGTTTTTCCATTTCTACAGATGGAGACAAATAGAAAAGCAAAGACTGGGAAGGCATTCAAGTCAGACCTTACTTTGAATGCCCTGCTACTCTGGCCTTGGGAAAATAACCTCAAAGCTCTTTTATTTTGGTGGAAGGAGGGAAAGGAAGGAGACAGAATCTCACTGTGTATCCATGGCTGCCCTTGAGTTCACTATGTAAACCAGACTGGCCTCAAACTCCTGGAAATCCACCTGTTATGGCCTCTGCATTTAGGAAGTCTCCCATATGCCCTAACAGACACCTAGAACTACAATATAAATGTCACAATTCTGTGGGGTTTTTTTTTTGTTTGTTTGTTTGTTTGTTTTTGAGACAAGGTCTCATGTAGCTAGGGATTGCCTTCAAGCCAAGAAGACTTTGAGCTCTTGATCCCCTTGCCTCCAATTCCTTAGTTTTGGAATTACAACAATCCAGCTTTTTACAAATCCAAAAATAACCAGCACTTAAAATTGGATTAAAGAAATACATGGTATCTGAAAAATGTTCTTAACTCTTGTCTCCCTGGTTGAATTTCGACATGTCATGTAACTAAGACCAAACTACCTGAGCTAGGAGATCCATGAGTTAGTGGGACCCATACATATATACATATATATATGTATATATGTATGTGTATATATATTATATATGTATATATTATATGTACATATTATAAAAAATAAATTATATACATGTGCAGAGATCCTAGGTCAGACAGACAGGCTCCCTGATTGTCAGTTCAGTCTCTGCGAGTCCCTAAGAACCCCTTTTCTTATGATGTCCTTGACCCCTCTGGCTGTGACAATTCTTCCTCACCCTCTTCTTCAATATTCCCTGAGCTCTGCCTAGTGTTTGTCTGTGGGTCTCTGCATCTGTTCCTGTCAGCTGCTAAAGAAATCCATTCTGATGACATTGTGCTAAACTCTGGTCTTCACAAGGACCAAATATATCTGGGCACAGGGTCTTTTATTTGACTGTTTCTCCAAACAAGGACCATATATGGATGCAACCTAGAAACTCTGCTCAGATGTAGCCCTTGGTAGCTCAGTATCCAAGTGGGTACCCTAATAAGGGGAAGAGGGACTGTTTTTGACATGAATTCAATGGCGGGCTCTTTGACACCCCGCCCCCCGAGGGAGGAGCAGCCCTGCTAGGCCACAGAGGAGGACTTTGCAGCCTGATAAACCAGTATCAGATGAAAGGGGAGGAGGTTCTCCTCTATCAGTGGACTTGGAAAGGGGCAGGGATGAGATGAGGGTGGGAGGGTGGGATTGGGAGGGAAAGAGGGAGCAGGATACAGCAGGGATACAAAGTTAACAAACTGTAACTAATATTAAAAAAAAGAGCCCCCCCCCCCCAAACACAAACACACACAGAGGCAAAGAAATGATTTAGACCAGAGTTCAACCTGTAATTCTTAACACATCAAAAAACAGAAAGGGGGAAGATGGCTTAGCAGTTAACTGCACTTGCTGCTCTTGCAGAGGACTCAAGTTCAGTCCCCGGAACCAACATGGTGGCTTACAACTGTCTGTAACTTCAGTTCTAGGGGATCCAATGACTTTCCTGACTCCATGGGCATCAGGCATGCAGGTGGCACACACACATACATACAGGCAAAATACTCGTATACATAAATAAATTTTTACAATCTCTATAAAAAAGCAGCACAAATACCAAGGTCTGGCCATTTCAAAATCAGGGCTCTTTCCTATGTTAACACCTAAATTAAGAAGGAGACTTTAGTTCAGTATTGGCTACTTCTGTGATAAGAAGACATTTCTATAAACACACTGGAAAAAGAAAGGAGAATCTACAGAGGAATGAATTAAGTGGGAAAGAACAGTGAAAGTTACTTTTCTGTTTCAAATCAAGCTCTGCAGTATTTGCTGTATGACCTTAGTAATTACCCAGGTTCAGAGTCACAAACCAGATATGGCAGCTATTTCCTGGCACAAGAATTGCAAAGCTGATGCAGAAGAATCACAAGTTCAACTGTATACTAGAGTGAAACTCTGGGTCTCAAACCAAACCAGAGCTTCACTCTCCTCTTCACACTGGTGTGAAGACACTTTAGGGTCATAATTGATAGAGATAATATGTCACATCTAGCACATTTTAAGGGAGTGGACATTTGCTAAACAAACAATGGCTGTTTCTAAACAGGTTAGAAATACTCATTTCTAACCTGGCGACAGTAAAAAGAACATTTCAGGGTCATTGATCTATACTCTCTACTCCAAGGTGAGCTAACAGAAACTTAAAGCAAGTTTATTGCTTTTTTAGTACCTGTCACTGGGGCTGGGGGGGGGGGATGTCTCAGTAATTAAAATTCCTGCTGTTCAAGCACTAGGACGCAGGTTTAGAGCTTTTTACCATGTAAAAAGCAGGGCATGGTAGTGTGTATCTAAAACCTCAGTGCTAGAGGGGCAGGGCTTAGACTGGCAGATCAGACTGTCAAGCCTAGCCAAATCAAGGAGAGACCCTGTCAAAAATTTAAGGTGGATGACTGAGGAGGTAGCTCAGAGGTTAAGAGCTCTGTCTGCAATTCCAGAGGTCCTGAGTTCAATTCCCAGCAAAAACATGGTGGCTCACAACTATCTAATAAGATCTAGTGCCCTCTTCTGGCCCGCAGGCACACATTCTGGCAAAACATAATAAATAAATCTTAAAAATAATTGTTTAAAAAAAGTTTCAGGTTGAGTGTGATGGAGGAAAGATATTTGACACCAACCTCTGGCCTCCACACTCACTCATCCACTCATCCACTTATAAGTACTTGAAGAAGCACATACACACACATAAACACACAGTAACTATCATAAAGGAAAAGGAAGAGATACTTAAGGTGTGAGGTCTCTGTGACCACAAAGGCCAGCAAAATAACAGCTGCATGGGGTAAGAAAGCACTTTAGCCAATGCTGGTTCAAAGTTTGAGAGTCTATGACTCGGTAGTTTATTTTAGGCATATTGTAGCACAGCACAATCTGGAAAAAAGATTAATTAACTTAATCTGTGTACACAATAAAGCTTAAGACATGACTACATTAAAATTCTTAGTAAAGTACAAGTGACATTTTCCATAAAGATAGGTTCTACAGATTAACCAAGGAAATGGGCTCATGATTAACAAGCTCATGATAAGGGTGTAGAGGAGGATAGACCTACAGACTGACTGAGACAAACAGGCTCAAGATAAGGGTCTGGGGGAGCCTCTGTGTCCTAGCCACACAGACAGCACAAAGGTCACCAGGCTATTGTCCATTCACAGCCTTCGGGGCAGAAAGTTTATACATCTTTCCCTCGGTAGAGATAAGCCTGTGTGTTTAACGTTCCCGCTTCCCCCAGTGTTTATCTGTGTACATTCCTCCTACATTAAGAGATTTGATCTCATTGTAGTTTAACATAAAAAAATTGATTTAGTGTGTTTGTAGGGTAGGAGAGAAAAAGTGGGGATCAAACTCAGAGCTTTATATATGCTGGGCAAAGGCTCTACTGGATGATGAGTTTCATCTTCAACCCTATCACGCTCCCTTAACCACAGAGGGTCTCCCTAGCCTGGCCCTAAACTTGAATTTGATATAAACTGAGAATGACCTTTAACTTCTGACTTTTCTGCTTCCACCCCACAAGTGCTGGGATTACAAGCTCCTGTCACTCTGGGTTTTTTGTAGGACCGAGATTGAATTCAGGGCACTGTGTTATTTTCAATGCCCAGTCTCATCTCAAAACAAATTAAAACAGGGCTGAGAGTACTGGCTTTAGTAGCCATCCGAGTTTCCAAGGTTATCTCCATGTAAAAGGATTGAGACCAGTAAGAAGGCACACTGAAGCAAACCTAACTTCTCAAGTTCTGCTTGAACAATGAAATCTCACTTTCGAGTTTGGAGTATATGTAGCTCAGCGATAGAGCTAAATGAAAAGATCCTCAGTTAAATCCCCAGCACATGAAGAACATTTTAAATTTTAGAATGAAGTTAACTTTTTTTTTCAGTGCAGGGGAGTGAACCCACGACCTCAGGCACCTGAGGCATGTGACACTGAGACGTGTCCATCACCAGCCTAGGTTCTTGTCCTCATGAAGCTTGTGAGGGGGATGACATTCATGTGCTCTGGTTACCACTGTTTGTTATAATGATACAAGTTATGACTTGAAATTAAATTTTTATTGTGTATGTGTGGCCCTGGGGATTGAACCTGCAGCTCAAGTGTGCATGTGACCTAACACTGGACTGTGTTTCCAGGTCCTCTCCTCCACTCTGAAAGATAGGAATCCGCAACCTCATTAACAATTTTCTTTGGAGGATGGCCGGCAAGACACAAATGCATGCATGCGCGCGCACAGTAAGTGTAAACAAAAATGAAAGCGTTTCTCTTTTCTTGAGACAGTACCTTGTCTGTCATGTGGTGGCCTCCGCCTCCTGGTTCTCCTACACCATCCTCTGAGTCTTAGGACTACAACTGATCAGTACTATGCCCGGACAGTAAAGCGCTTCTGCAGCAGTTACGTACTACTTCCACACAGTCATCTCAAGCGCTGGCATCGGAACCCAGGGCCTTACACATGGTGGGCAAGCTCCTCAGCACATACCTGCCACTTTTTTGAGACAAGGTCTGTAGGTTGGCCTCTGAGTAGCATAAGGTCTTATATCAATCCATGTTTAAACATTCTCTCCAGCCCTAATGGACCCCCAGAAGCCCATACTTTGGCTTTGATATTTTCAGAACACTGATCTCTATATCAGAGTCCCTCCTGAATCTAACTCCTTGATGCAAGCTGCCTGCTTTGGAAACACTGTACCTCATGCATCTAACAGTGCTTATAGATGGAGGATATTTGTTATTTTCTACCTTGTTTTTGTTTCTCAGTGTAACTGAGTCCCAGCTGTCCTGGACTTGTTTTGTAGACCAGGCTGGCCTTGAACTCAACAGAGATCCACCTGCCTCTGCCTCTCGATTAAAGGGGAATAAAATTCTTACAGTTTGTAGGAGCTGTAAGCTATGCTCTACAAACAGACGACACCTTCAGGGCTTGAAATTCTTCCTCCACAGGTTGGGATAATGACTGCGCATGGTTTCAGTGTACTCGGGGCTACACAGATACACAGTGTTAACCCGTACTGTAGGCGAGGCTCAGTTCTAGCAAGGGTTTCAACATGTTCTCCATTCATTCTGAAAATACAGCAGTCAAACCACAACTGATGTGAAAATTGTATTAGCACTACTCACCTCTGCTTTCTCTGAGAGGTAGTCAAGCTATCCTCTTTCCTTTTTCCTTTGCTAATTTCCTGGGTCTTTTTCATGTTTTTCTGGCGGGCAAGTTCTCTTTGATTTCCACCTGCAATGATAAACAGTCATGCTCTTTTCCCATCCTCAAAATTATTATTAATATTAAAGTCACCTTTACATGAGTCTTAAAGTCTTGTTTATATTTATTAGTAAGAAAGCAGGGAATCCAATAGTTATTACCAGGTTGACAAAGAGGAAGCTTAAGTGAAAACACTCAAGAACTTAAGTACATTATCACCTCAGCAAAGCGCCAAGTAGGGAGGCAGAGGCAGGCAGACCTCTATCGGAGGCCGACCCGGTCTACAGAGCAAGGTCCAGGGCGGCCAGAGGCACACAGGGAAACCCTGTCTAGAAAAACCAGACCAAAATAAAAAGAATAAATAAAATATTTTTTAAAATAGCCGTTCCAGGGTTTATGTACACGGGCGACGGTGGAAATAAATTCTGGCTTTTGATGGGTGTGTGAAGAGAGACGGAGAGAAGACCCCCCTCCCCGGCCCCGCCTCCATCCCCCGGATCGGTTTGCCGGTTACTAGCCAGCAGAGGCCCAAACAAAAGAGCTGGAGGGGACCCTGGGCTCTTCAGCAGGCTCCTGCTTTCAGACCTCGGGCCCCGCCACAACTCGGCAGGGCCGTCCGCTGGGCGGTCGCGCGCGCTCTCCGTGGGCGCGGACCCCACGAACACCCACACCCGGGAGACGGGCGCCTGTCCCGCCCTCCTCCTACCGCAGCGGCGGGGCGCCGTCCCTCCCTCAAGCCCCGCGTCCCTCGGGCGGCCCGCACACTCACGGGCCATGCCGACCACCGGCCGGAGCCCAGGGGACAGCGACCTGGGGAAGCAACGGCTGGCGCCCGCTGGGCAGCCGCGGCCGCCGGGCGCCGAGGAAGGGTGAGCCCCGCAGGAGACCTCGGGGCCGCCCCGCCCACCGACCCACAACAACCGCGGCGTGGCCGGCGAGCCACTGCGCGTGCGCGCTCGGGACCTCTAGCCCGAGAGCGGCTGCACCGCCCCGCGGGTTCGCGTCCCGTGTTGCCGGCATCCCCATGCTAGCAGCGCGGCATTTAATGAGCAGGAAGCGCGGTGCGCCTAACTTTCCGACAAAGAGCTCCAGCGTTTCTTCACCCCCGCCACACCCCCGGAGGCAGAAAGGGCGAGAAGGTGACTGAGCCCTCTCTTTCTGCAGCTACCCGGAGGTAGGCGGGAAAACGACCCAACGAGGACGGAAGAGGCGGATTTCACGCAAGCTCCAGAGCCTGTTCGTTGCACATTTATCCCGATGCCCTCCACCGGAGAAGCAGAAATGTAGGGATTTGAAGCTCTGGCGTTGGGTGGGAAATAGCTCAGAATAACTTCACAACCTACATAAGAGCCAAAATGAGTGAAAACGCTTGCATAGGGCGGTGGTGGGGTGACTTATGGGAGGGCGCTTGCCCAGCCTGAGAGACAGCCGGAGATCCATCCTCTGGATTCCATTCCTTTAGCTGAGACTTAATTTTCTTACCTGTCCATTACTACAAACTGAGATGGTCAAGACACCCGAATTTGCCTGTTTTGTTTTTTAAGTTTTATTGTGGAATATTTTAAATACATAGAAAGTATAGATGATGCGGTGGTGCACCCTAACGTACTTATTACCTAAGTTTTACAGTTATTAACATATAGCATCAACTAGTTTAGAGGAAGTGTCGAGAGGTGGAATGACTGGATTGAAAGAGCAGCCCTAAAAGAGGAGAAAGAAAAGAAAGAAGGAAGGAAAAGAAAAAAGGCTAGTTTTAACAAGTAGTATTGTTAACTAGGGTACATTATTTCATTGTAGAAATTCCCTTTAGCTGTAAAACGAGGAGGCGATTTTTGTTTCTTCGCTAATGGATTACTATGAGTCTGGTAAAGTGACAATGACGGGCGTTCTTCCCAGAACCCGTGTTAAGAGGACTGTGGTAGCTGCCTGACAGTGACCCCAGAGCTGTGGAGGCAGTCAGGTGGATCCCTGGGGCCCAGAGGCTGGCCATCCCAGTCTGCTGGGCGAGAGAGCCTGCCTAATCAAATGTGGACAGCTCCTGAAGAATGACACCTAAGGCTGTCCTCTGACTGCCAAGTGCGCTTGTGCACACACGAAAACACACATGTGCATATAAGAAAAGAAATGCCTGATCAAGTGCAGTATACAGTATACTACCTATTATTTATTGTTCTTTTAACCTCGGAGAGCCTCACACACTTGTTAGCCTCCAAATTATACCCTAGCCTGCTCAAAACTTCTGCTCGGCAAACTCTTTCTTGAGTACCAAAGGCAGAAGGAGGAGTCTCTGACCTCATTGTACCTAGAGATAAAAGATCATCTATGGATCAGGAATATAGCCCAATGGTCGATACTTGTTTAGAGTATGCAAAACCCTGGTTTTGAATCCCAACACCTAAAAAAAAAAATCACATTAAGAAGAAAAAGGAACCCAGTATGGTGGTAGTGTGACTGTAATCTTGGAAGACTGAGGTGGTCGGACTGCACAGTGAGACTCTCATGCTCAAAAAAAGCTATATATAACTATAACTATATATATATATATATATATATTAGTTATAAAATAAATAAAGTTTATTTTTACATGTATGGGTGTTTTAACTGTCTATCTGAAATTATATATTTTTTGAGTTGTGGTGGTTCAGGGATGTTCACTGTACATACAGAATACGTTGGAAGTTTATGCTGTGAAGTCTGGGGATCGATGAAGGAAGACCGCAGGCTCGGGTGGTATGCAAAAGCAAAGAGCACTTACTCTGCAGGAAATTTCCAGAATGCAGGGGCCACTATTAGGATGTCGACCCCAAAATGAGCATGCAGGCTCAATTTAAAGCAATTAGGGAGATTTCCAGAAGGAGTGAGGTAACCTTTTACTTGATTGGTTAGTAGTGACTCAAGAGGTGGGGGTGGATTTGGGATTGGATAAATGTTTAGGAACTTCCTAGAATTGCTAAGGCCTTTTCCTCAGGTTTGCTGAATCATTATACTTAGCTCAAGCCCAAGTGTTAGCCTTTAAGCTGACTGGCTGCCTATGAGCTGTGGTTTTTCCAGAAACTGTTTTTCTATGTTCTGAGAAACAGAAACTCAGGCCTAGTTATGCAAAGTTGAAAATGAAGTCTGTCATGGAGTCCGAATAGCCAAACAGATTGGGGCCTTCTGGGCATGTCTCGGGGGCTTTGGGGTTATTAGACCTCTCAATGCCAGAGGGCCAGGAGTGTGCCTATAATTCCAGAGGGAGAGGCAGGCAGGTCTTGGTGAGTTTGAGTTTGAGGGCAGCCTGGTCTACATACAATGCACAGTTTCAGGACAGCCAAGGCTATGCTGTGAGACCCTGACCCTGAAGAAGATGGAGAAAACTAGACTGTAATGGAAGTTGTGGTTTCTTTAAAAACTCAGTTATGTAAACAGGTTTTTGTTTTAATCCCAAGTGTTGGATATGGAGCTCTTTTAGTTTGTCCACAGCTGATAACTGCCTTGTGCAGCTCAGAGAGGGGTGTAGTCTTTGCCAGCTGCATTTAGGGAATTCTGAGGACTTGGAGAAGGTATGTACCAGATCTCAGGAAAGAATGCTTCAAGAGGCTTCGAGGAGACAGAGAAGGAAGAAGGCTGCTGCATTTGCTGTTTGCTGGACTGCTAGATATCCTGATGACTGAGATTGGTATTGCCCCAAAGAACCCAACGACCCTAAGAAGCCAGAAGCAGCCTAAGAAAACTAGCCTCCTCTCCTTTCTAACCTTCTTTCTCTCCTACCTAGTATTGGGGGTGGGGTGGGAGGGAGGAAAAGATAGAAGAAACCAAAATAAAACAGTTAAAAAGTATCGCCAGCATTAGACTGTTTATTTGTTTGGTGTGTGTGTGTTGGCTCCCTTGGAGCTGGACTTGAGGTATTTGTGAACCACCTGATATGGGTGCTAGGATGCAAACTTTGGTCCTCACAATGAGCAGCAAGTGCTTAACTGCTGAACCCTATCTCCAGCCTCCAAATTGTAGAATTTTTAAGTGACACTAACAACCCACTTCACAAACTTGTGTAACAACTGTCTTGTGATATATGTAATAATAAAAATTGATTTGGGTCGGGCAGCCGTAGAGGTGGCTGAGTGGTAAAGAGCAACCCACAGTGTCTTGCAACAATCCATCACTTCAGAACCAGGGGATCTGATCCTGTCTTCTCACCATCCCAGGGCACAAGCGTGGTGCACATGCATACTTGCAAGCAAACTTACTCATACATATAAAATAAAATAAAATAAAATAAAATAAATCCAATTATAAAAACCAAAAAGAAAAAGAACAACATCTTTATAAAGTTTTTCTTGCTTTATATCTTTACTAGTAGGAAATCAAATCTAAATCATTTTTCTTTTTTTGAGACGGTTTCTCTGTGTAGCCTTGGTAGTTCTGAACTCACTTTGTAGATCAGGCTGGCCTCAAACTCACAGAGATCCACCTGCCTCTGCCTCTCTGAATGCTGGGATTAAAGGAATGTGCCACCAAGCCCAACTTTGTTTTGACTTTCTTGTCTACACAAAGTTGTGATGATGTCTTGGGTTTTTAGGTAGAACACAGGATTTATCAAAGGCCTTGCATAAAAACTTGATGTGGAAAGCTGTGTGTCCCAGCAGTGACTACAAGATTCCTGAGATAGCTCTGGATATCTCTTTCACAAGTACTTATTTATTAATGAAGCCTCAATGTGTAACTTTAGCTGCTGGAACTGGCTATTCAGAAGAGGCTATTTTCAAATTCATGCAATTCCGGTGTCTCAGCCTCTGGAGTGATGGCATTTGAAGATTTCTTGAACATCTTCATATATTTCAATACTGCTGACTGAACCTAAGACCTTGCATATACTCAGTATTGAACTGCACTCCCAGCCTTCAGCTCTCCTGTCCTTGTGCACTCTCTCTCCCCGTCTCTCTCGACTTCTCTCACCCCACCCTGTGTGTGTGTCTCTGTGTGTGTGTATTTGAGTCCTGCCTAATCTACATAGCTACAGATCAGCAGGGCTACATAGTCCCCTTCCTTTCTCAAAAATGTATCCCCTGTCAGCCTCTGGATGATCTATTTCTCCACCCAATACAGTGAGATTTTATTTCCTTCCCCCTTTATACCTTTTATTAATCTCTCTGTCTCAGTCTCTCTTTCTCTCTGTCTCCTTTGTATGGCTCTTTAAGAGGGTTTCATGTTAGCTCAGGCTGGCTTGGATCTTGATACAAAGCTGAGGATGTCCCTAAACTTTTGATTCTCCTGCCTCTATCTCTATCTCGCAAGTACTGGGGTCAAGACACTTTCTACCATGCCCAATTAGGATGTTCTTACAGAATCTTCCTTTCAAGAGAGAGCTTTATGTTTTTCTGTGTCATGGATTTGTATTACAGGTTCACTACTGCTTCATTGCTACAGGGTAAACCTTTGGGTTGCCTATCTTTTCTCTCATCAGAAGGGCCTTGTCAAAATGCCCCACTGCCAGTACCCTGGGACTCCTTATTATATCACCATTGAAATCTCTTTCATTAAATTTAATACATTCTTTTAAAAAAGATTTATTATTTATTATGTATACAATGTCCTATCTGCAAGCACGCCTGCACCAGATCTCATTATAGGTGGTTGTGAGCCACCATGTGGTTGCTGGGAATTGAACTCAGGACCTCTGGAAGAGCAGTCATTGCTCTTAAGCTCTGAGCCATCTCTCCAGCCGCCAATTTAATACATTCTTAATTTTCTTGTTTGTATTTTCTCCCCTGTAACATAGAATGTCTTATTTATTGCTCTGTTGCTATGTCTAGAAGCAGATTAAGAGTTCTCACATTGCCAGGCGAGGTGGCGCATGCCTTTGATCCCAGTACTCTGGAAGGCGGCAGGTGGATCTCTGTAAATTCATGGTCACTGGTTTACAGAATGAGTGCAGGACAGCCAAGGCTACACAGAGAAAGAATAAAACAAAATAAACGAACAAAAAAAAAAAAGAATACATTAGTGTGCAAAATTTAGAGTATAATAATTTTTGACAGGCAATATGTTCTTTATTTTAAAATGTACAAAAGCACACAAATCTTTTTCCTATGAAGTGTTCGATAGCTTCTCTTTCAATTAGGTGGCCTTTGCAATTTCTTTATACAGAATTTCAAATTGTTTTACTCAGTTTAAAATTTCTCAACGGAGGTGAGGGGTTGGAGAGATGGCTCAATAGTTAAGATCATTTCCCGCTCTTCCACAGTTTGGTTCCCAGCATCAACATCAGGAGTCCAATAGCTACCTGTAACTCTTTGGATTCCCTGTCACCCACACGTACTCACCCCTCCACACCCATAGTTAACCCTTTTTTCCCCCTTGTAGAGTATGGTAGCACATCCATGCCTGTAATCTCAGCACTTAGCTCGTGGAGGCAGGAGGATCAAGAACTCCTGACCAACAGCTGGCCATAAGACACCCTGTCTCAAAAACCTAAAACAAACAAGTCCTACGCTCTGGAGATGCACTGGCGGTAAGGCACTGCTCTCATACTCTTTCATACTCTTTCATACTCTTTCATACTCATATTGTCTTTCTGAGATTAGGTATTGCTAGTTAGTCCTGGACGGCCTGGAATTTGTCTTGATCTCTCTTCTTCAGTCTCCCCAGTGCTGGGATTAAAGGCATGCACCTCCAGGCTCTGCAATCTTGCACACTTTGATTCTTCTCGGGAACTTCTTAATAGTCCTATAAAAGATTCAGTGAGATTCCGTGGTAGAGTGCATGCTAATATGCTTCAAATCCTACCACCATGGGAACAAAAAAGCTTGAGCTGGAGGATTCAGCTGCTTCCGCTCTCTGTTTTCAACAGCTCCCGAGGTCTTACAGAAGAAAGAGTATCTCCCTTCGAGTCAAAAAAAGACATCCCTGGTTCACAGGTAGCCGCAGCTAGAGAGCGTTGCAGTTGCTCTGGCTCTCGGCGCCCGGGGTCTGACGTCATCAGCGGCGCGGAGTGATTACGCAATGGTTTCCGGCTCCTTTTGCAGCCGGGACCCGGGGAGGAGAAACTTAGCTATTAGCGTGGCAGGGTCATGAAGAGGAGGCGGTGGCGGGAGAGTGGAGGCGGCGGAGGGGGCACGAAACTGCGGTAGCCAGCGCTGGGCTGTGGTTGTGGCCGTGTCGGGGGACGAGTGTCCCAGCCCTCGGGCAGCGGCCGGGGCTCTGGGCTGAGCGCGGCCGTGCAGCCGCCGCTCCCGGGCCCCTGGCTCCGCCATGTTCCGCAGGGCACGCCTTAGCGTGAAGCCGAACGTCAGGCCTGGTGTAGGCACCAGGGGCTTCGCCGCGCCCAATCCCCAGCGTGGACCGGAGGCTCCCAGGCCTCCGGAGCCTGCCACCGAGCCCGCTCCGAAGCCCGCGGATCCCACGGATGTGCCTGCGGTGGGTTCCGGGGGAGCGGAGCCCCAGAAAAAGGCTCCCGGGAGAAGGTAAGGTCCTGTAGAACGAGTCTGAAGCCAAGCTGTTGGATTTTCTCCACGGCATACCGCTCCCGCAACAAGCTTTTTCTTGGAACTGTATGAAACCACTCGTGGGTGCGACTGCTACGATTCTGTCACGATCTCAAGCTTTCTCGAGGGTTTTACAGGGTTGGGAATCTAGGTTTTAACAATTCTGAATTCAAGAATAGACACACCATCAATTGGCAATTTAATTATTTCTGGAGTACTTTACAACTAAAGCAGTTTGGGATTTTCGTTTTGTGAATATTTGTTTTTAAAAGGAGAGCGCCAGGGTTGCTTGAATTTTTCTCTGCCACCACGCGGTGATGCGGTTGAACCCAGCGCCTCTCGCGTGTTAGGCAAACGACCCGACACCGAGCCACACCTGCAGCATTTGTCAAAGGGAAGAAGCTCGATTGCTTATTTTGGTTTTGAGTGTGTACTCCTTTATAGTTAGTATGTTTCCCGAATTAAGACCCCTGGCGTTAACGTCAGATACCACATTTGGATTTAGGGCTCTGCTACCTAAGCATCTTCAAGTAGGTTGTCCTCAGGGAAAATTTCTTCCTCTGTTAGATGGAGTAATAGTACCACCTTTGGCCAATATTGTGAGATCAGATATGATTACATAAGCTGCTTTGCACATGAGATGGCAGAGTAGTTCCCCGAAGTTAACTAGTTTAAAAAAGGTGACGTGAACTCGGTGCTGTGTCACGCCTTTAGTCCTAGCAATCGGGAGACAGAGGCCAGCCTGGTTTACATAGTGAATTCTAGGACAACCGGAGCTACAAAGTGAGACCCTATCTGAAAAATAAAACAAACAAGAAAAGGTGATGGTACAAGTTAAAGATGTGACAGGGAGCTGGTGCAAACTGCGTTTGCATAGTCACAACATTTCTTGTGTTCATCTGAGTTGGTGCTGTGGGTTATTTTTGATATTTCAGTGGTGCACCATAATTTCAAAGTTTCAAACCTGAATCTGTTTGAAAATTTCTACTTCGAATGAAAATACCAATATTGGTCACTGCTCAAAAGAGTTTGAGATTTTTTGATAGCTATGTAGGAATGCCTGATGATTGCTGTTTTATAGTTACCCATAGGGCATAGTCCTGAAACATGCTCTAGAATATTTTTGTTGACAGTATGTCGTATACATGAATATGTATATACGCATACATACATATACATTTGTTTGACTTTTTTTTGAGACAGGGTTTCGCTGCGTAGCCTTGATTTACCTGGAACTCAAAGAGATCCAATTGCCTCTGTTTCCTGAGTTCTAGGATTAAGTATGTGCCACCATGCCCAACATTTTGTTGTTGTTATTGTTTTGTTTTTTTTTGTAAAGGCAGTTTCAGCTAGATCAGGTTGGCCTAGAACTCACTGTGCTTGAAAAGACACCTTTAAATTTCTGAGGCTCCCGTTTTACCTGCTGAAAGCTGAGGTTACAGATGTGTGCCAGCCATTATGCCTGGTTTATGCCCTGCTGGATATGAAAGCCAGGGCTCTGTGCTGTCCAAGCTTAACATTCCTAGTCCTTGTCTCTTATTTGATGAGATCATTTGTTTTGCTGGTTATAGAAACCAACAGAGTATGCATTTAACACCAAATGGGAGGATTTGTGTATTAATTGTTCTTAGCAACCAACAGGGTATGCATTTAACATCAAATGCCAGTGGTTCGTGTGTTACATTGTTCTCTAAGAGCTACAGCTTTTGGATAGACAGTGGGTGCTAGGGACTGAATCCCTGGGTCTTGTGTGTGTTAGAGAAGTAATCTACCATTGAGCTTTATCTTCTTTTGTTTAAGAAAGACTTTAAAAAACTTTGAGAGATTATTTCATAGGTTAAGGCAGCGTCAATTTTTATGTAGAACTAAAGATAAAATATGATATAAGTAGACTTAAATTCTTGATTTATGCTACCTTTTTAATAATTATTAGTACTGTTACCATTATTTATATGCATTGGTGTGTTGCTTGTACGAATGGCTGTGAGGGTATTGTTCTCTGGGGTTACAGACATGAAGCCATGTGGATGCTGGAAATTGAACCTGGGCCCTCTGAAGAGCAGCCAGGGCTCTTAACCACTGAGTGTCTCTCCAGTCAAAATTTTAACATTAAAATTTCAGTGGATACAAAGTAATTGTCCATAGTTATAGGGTTCAATGTGTTATTTCAGTATTATTCACAATGTGTCACAGTAATAGTCTATCACTTTAAAAGTTTTTTATTTCTTTGTTTTTTATTTCTTTATTGTTTTATTTCCAGGTCTTTTTCTATAATTCTTATGATAAAGAAATGTTGCCAGCCATAGTTATCCTGCCATGCTGTAGTGCATCATTAGAAACAGATGTTGATTCTATTTAGTTCCCTTTTTTTTTTCTTGTTTCTTTTCTTTTTTGAGACATGTTTCTTTTTTTTTTCTTTTTTTTGTTTTTTGTCTTTAGTTTTTTCAAGACAGGTTTTCCCTGTGTGTAGCCCTGGGTTACCTGGAATCACTGTGTAGACTAGGCTGGTTTCCACCTGCCTAGAGAGCACCACCTCACCACCTCAGAGAGCTCCACCTGCCTCTGTCTCCTAAGTGCTGGGATCAAAGGCGTGTGCCACCGCCACCTGTCTTAGTCAAGGTTTTTCTGTGTAACTTTGGCTGTTCAGGAACTGTTGTAGACTAGGCTGGGCTCAAACTCAGATCCACCAGCCTCCCTAGTGCTGTGACCAAAGGCGTGTGCTACCGCCAGGCTATTGCTTCTCCTTTTTAAAACTTTTATGTATGTGGGTGCTTTGCCATCCTGTATGTCTGTGTACCGTGTGCATGCCTGGTGTCCATGGTAACTAGAAGAGGGCTTCAGATCCTCTGGAACCAGAGGTATAGACAGTTGTGAGCTGTTATCTGGGTGCTGGGAATTGAACCCAGGTTACCTGGAAGAGTAGCCAGTGCTCTTAACGTTTAGTCATGGCTCCAACCCCATTTAGGAGTGATTTATATCTAATCGTATCATAGCCAATATTTGATTTAAAGTGACTAGATACTTATTTTATCTTTTTGAGCTAGGGTCTCATGTAGTCTAAGCTAGCTTCTAATTCTGTGATGCTGAGGAAGATCTTGAACTTCTTTCTGATCCTCCTGCCTCCACCTCCTGAGTATTGGGATTACAGACAAATAGCAGAACAACAACAAAAAATACCCAAAACCTCTCAGCTATCTAGTTATTACAAATTGGCTAATTAAACTGTGTTCTGTGACTTAGTTTAGTTTTTTATTTATTTTTATTTTTTTGGTACTTATGTGCTCAGCATATTATTAATGTTTTTGATTGTGCTTAGGAACTGAAATTTGAAAAAGATTAAACAGCCTTTATTAGAATTTACATATACTAAGAATTGATGTTTGCTTAGTTTTTATTTTGTTTTTTAAAGGCTGTGTATGTTTTTGTGTTTGTGTATGGGTGAATGACATATGTGTTCAGGTGGCTGTATAAGTTGGAAAGATCTAGGATTTTTTGAGCTAGAGTTCCGAGTGTTTGTGAGCCTTCTAATGTCAGTGCTGAGCACTTTCTTCGGTCCTCTGGAAGAATAGAAGGTCTTAACCACTAAGCCATCTCACTAGTAGTCCCTTTTCATTTGTTTTGAGACAGTCTTACCTGGTAGGCAGCTTACCATGGTTGGAATTCACTACATAACCCAGACTGGCTCAGACTCATCTACTCAGTCTTATCTACTCAGCACCCCTAGTGCTAGGAATAGAAGAATGAGCTACCACTTCCAGCCAGGAAAATTTGAAACAATTGTTTTACTGCAAGTCTGTTGTAATCGACATAAATTTGAAAAAGTCATTGGTTTTATGTTTGTATTTCTTTTTGTTTTAACAAGAACTTACTGTTTTAAAACTACTGAATAAAAAAGAAGTCATGATGTCTCTCTTTTCTTTTCAATAGTGATGAAAAGACTGGTGATGAAGATACTGTTGAAGAGTCCAGCAAATCGCCCTCTACTGTTTCACAGAGAAGAAAGCGAGTATCAAGTACTCCGAGTCTGGCTAAGCCAACTGTCAGTGCTTCTTCACAGAGTCACCCCTTATCTACAGTTAATCACGATGCTCCACAGCCAAGTCCTACTCCAGCGAAAGAGAAACAGCCATGTTCAGACAGATACCGCATATATAAAGCCCGGAAACTGAGACAAATGTTGAAGGAAGAATTGAGAAAAGAAAAGGTGAGTGAGTAAACTGTGTGGTCCAGGCAATCCTCCTGACCCAGCCTTCCATATCTTGTAACACCACATTTGTCCAGATAGTCATTTTAAAATCTTTTACTCATACTTTTCACTAGTTTAGTTTTGTTTTTCCAGGCGGGTTGTCTCTGTGTAGCCCTGGCTGTCCTGGAATGTGCTCTGTAGACAAAGCCGGAGGGTCCTCAAACTCACAGAGATCCACCTGCCTCTGCCTAAAACAGCTAATTATAGAAAGTCTTATTTTGGTACTATTGGGGTTGAACTGCAGACCTCATAGATATGAGGTGTGTCCTCTAACCTTGAGCTACATTCCTAGCTCCAATAAACAAGAGTATACACTGAGGCTTTATCTAGTGTCAGTTTCTTGGGTTTTAAAAATCTATTAAGAGGTGACTTCTTTTTGAGAAACCCGTAGCCATGCTCTCTTAGGAATGTTTTACCATCTTCAAAGAGCCTTTCTCTTGTATCTTCTTGTGAAGCCCACATTAAAATATCTTTAATTAAAATAAGGGACTGGAGAGGTGGTTTGGTGGTTAAAAGTGCTTGCTTTATCATCTTTGGTACTGGAGTGTGGATTCCAGCACCTATGTGTTGTAATCTCAGCTCTGAAAGATGCTTCCACTCTAGCCAAGATGCAGGCCCCTGCCTCAAAGGAGCAAGTAGAAAGTGTTAGAGTACAACACTCAGTGCCCTTTTCTGGCCTCCATGGGCCAGTGCACAGGCACACATACCCATGCCCACATGTATGTGCATATACACAAATAAAAAGACATCCTAATAACACATCTTTAATAAAATCTCTGATTCACCTTCATTTAAAAAAAGGTATAGGCTGGGACATGGGATCCTAGCACTCAGGAGACAGAGACAGGTGGATCTCTGTGAAATCCAGGCCAGATTGGTCTACAGAGCGAGTCTACGACAGCCAGCACTCTGTTAACACAGAGAAACTCTGCTTCAAAAAACAACAAACAGATGAACAAAAAGCTACTTTTTGTATTCAAAATTATTTGACTATAATATTCAAGTTATAAATGGTTTCTTAAAATTAGGCATAATTATTATGTTAAAGCCCTTCAGGACAGTGGTTTGTATGTTTGAGTTTAGTGTGTCTGAAATTATTCTGTTTATGAAATCTCTGTATATAGAAACAATGGAAAAACAAATTCGTCACAAATGAAAGCCAGAGGCCACCAGATCGTTCAAAAATGACTATGAGAGACTTCATATATTACCTGCCAGATAACAATCCAATGACGTAAGTAAAATTTATTCATGTTTTGTTTCATTGGGTATGTAGTAATATGACACTTTTAGAGTAGAGTTCTAGGTTGTTCAGAAGTTTGTTGGCAAAATTCATAGCATTTGTGCTGTCTTTAAAAGATAAAATTTCTAATAAGATGAATGTAGATACATTTTTCTCCTTTAGTTCTGGGGGTCTAAGCTTATGCTTCTGATGTGTAGAACTCGTAGCCATGTTATATCAAATAACTACTTTCTGTGATGATAATATCCTTCCTTTATCTCCAAGATTAAAAAGGGCTCCTTTATTGTTTTAATTATTGGGGAATTGTGTATTTCTAGTTCTTATTTACTATAATGTCATCAAAGGAATGTGTAGTTTTTTTACTTTATTTCATTAGTAAATAGCAGTTTGAATAATAAGTCTTTCATGAACAAAGCTTTAATTCTTTAATTAAAGTTAGCCTGAGGTAGAAGGCAGATGTCTTATAAATCTGCTAGTTGTGGTTTTAGTGGTGTAGCAGGTAGAATTAGCATATTCTTTAGGATAGGCCTATTTTTTTGGAACTAATTCAATTTACATCTTGGTCATAGGTCCCTCCCTCCTCTCCTTCCCTCTCCCTTATTCCTTAGCTTTAATCCCTGGTGATCTGATAAAGAACAGTGGGTTAATTCAATTTTCATGTGTTGGTTGAGGTTTGCTTTGTGACCGACTATATGGTCAGTTTTGCAGAAGGTTCTGTGAGGTGCTGAGAAAAAGGTATATTCTTTTGTGTTTGGGTAAAAAGTTCGGTAGACATCTAGTTCACGTGATTCATAACCGTTTTCTCTATTTAGTTTCTGTCTTGATGATCTGTCCATTGGTGAGAGTGGGGTGTTGAAATCTCCCACTATTAATGTGTTGGAATCAATGTGTAATTTAAATTTTAATAATGTTTCTTTTACAAATGCAGGTACCCTTGTATTGGGGCATAGATGGTCAGGATTGTGATGTCCTCTTGGTGGATTTTTTCTTTGATGAGAATGAAGTGTTCTTCCCCATCTCTTTTGATGGGGAATTAATTTTGGTTGAAAGTCTATTTTATTAGATATTTGGGTGGCTACTTCAGCTTGCTTCTTGGGTCTGTTTGCTTGGAAAACCTTTTTCCAGCCCTTTACTCTGAGGTAGTGTCTATCTTTGTTGCCGAGGTATGTTTCTTGAATGCAGTAAAATGTTGAATCCTGTTTCCGTAACCATTCTGTTAGCCTGTGTCTTTTTATTGGAGAGTTGAGTCCATTGATGTTAATAGATACTAGTGACCAATGATTGTTAGTTCCTTTTATTGTAGAGTTGATGGTGATAGTGTGTTTGGTTTTGCTGTTGTGAAGTTATCTATATCCTGTGTTTTCTTGGGTGTAATTGACCTTATTGGGTTGGAGTTTTTCTTTTAGTATCTTCTGTAGGGCTGGGTTGGTGCATAGATACTGTTTAAATTTAGTTTTGCCACGGAATGTCTTGTTTTCTCCATCTATGGTGATTGAAAGTTTTGCTGGGTATAGTAGTCTAGGTTGGCATCTGTGTTCTCTTAGTGTCTGCATGACATCTGCCCAGCTCTTCTGGCTTTCATAGTCTCTACTGAGAAATCAGGTTTGATTCTGATAGGTCTGCCATTATATTTTACTTGGCTTTTTTCCCTTGCCACTCTTAATATTTTTTCTTTGTTCTGTAGATTTAGTGTTTTGATTATTATGTGGTGGGAGGAATTTCTCTTCTAGTCTAGTCTATTTGGTGTTCTGTAAGCCTGTGGTATGTTTAAGGGCATCTCTTGAGGTTGGGGAAATTTTCTTCTATGATTTCCTTGAAAATATTTTCTGGACCTTGGAGTCTGGAATCTTCTTTTCCGTCTCTTCTTATTCTTAGGTTTCATCTTTTTATGGTGTTCTTGATTTCTTGGATGTTTTGTGTCAGGAATTTTTCCATCTTACTATTTTCTTTGAGAGACGTACCAATTTCTTCAATTGTATCTCCAATGCCTGAGATTCTCTCCTCCACCTCTTGTATTTTGTTGGTGATACTTACCCCTGTGGTTCCTGATCGCTTTTCTAAGTTTTCCATCTCCAGGGTTTTCTCAGTTTGTGTTTTCTTTATTGATTCTAATTCCATTTTCAGGTCTTGAACTGTTTTATTCATTTTCTTCACCTGTTTGATTGTGGTTTTCTGTTTGTCCTTGATGGCTTCTATTTGTTTGATTGTATTTTCCTGTATTTCTTTGAGAGATTAGTTTGTTTCCTCTTTATATGTCTCTAATAACTGCATAACTGTAGACTTAAGGTCATTTTCTTGTGTTTTGGGTGCATTAGAATATCTTTTGCTTTTGGGGGGTTTTCTGGTGGAGCTATGATGTCCTGGGTTTTGTTGATTGTGTTCTTATGCTGGCCTTTAACCATCTGGTTGTCCATATACTTGGCTGTTTGTTCCTTGAACCTGTGCCTAAGACTGGATCTGTCTATCTCTGATGTCTGAAGTAGTCTTCAGGATGATGAGAGGGGTTCAGGGGAACACTGAATGAGTGTTGGTGTTTTGTATGCAGCCATGCTGTGGGGTGTTTCAGAAGGCAGGGCATGGGCACAGGTGCCTTGAATGGCAGGGACGCGGGCTTCTCAGTCAGTAGCTGAGGGGTCCCAGGTGTTTTAGGTGGAAAGGGGGTGGCGTCAACCTCAGGTGGTAATTGCAGAGGATCCAGTGCCTCAGAAGGCTGCTGAGCTGCCACTCACAGGCCTATCAGACAATGCACTCCTGGGACTCAGACTTACCTGCACTTTGCCCTCTTGGATCCTGGATCAGAGCCACGTGGTCCACAGGGGGACCAGTAGAACTGTGGTTTGGAGGTTGGGATGCTGTCCCAGGAATCCAGACACTGTGGTTGTGGGAGTGATAGGGATCCAGTGTCTGGGTGCTGGAGCGGAGGGTCCCTGGACCTCGAGTATGTGGAGAGGACAGGGCTCACAGTTCGTGACTCCTGGACCTGGGAGACAGCCCCAGGGGGCCTGGATCCAATCATCCTCAACTTCCTAGATATCCCTTCCACTTCAGGAAGCACCAAAGTCGGAGTTTTGGATTCAGCTGCTTGTTTACTCACTGCCCCTTAGATTCAGTACACACTGGTTGCTGCCATCTTGGAATTCCCTAGGATAGGCCTCTTTTAAGTTCACCAGGTCTTTGGCCTTCTTGAAGGAAGGTCTGGAGATGAACCACCTAGCTTGCTTTATTTCCCAGGCCTGAGAGTCTCCCTTCACTAATGAATTAGAGGGTAAAACATTTCTGATTGGGCCCAGCAGATTACTGGTACTTGATGAGTTTTTCAGTGAAAAATTCTTACTATTATTTGTTTTTGGCTGGTCTTATGCTGGGAATCAAGCTCGTCCTCAGCGTTCACTGTTCTAGTTTTCTGGACACAAGTGAAAAGATGATTGCTGAACACTATTAATGAAATACTGCAATGTATTAAAAATGGAAGCTACGGTAATTTTTTCCTTTTTATAGACTTGATAAAATATCAACTTATTAAAAAAGTATTCTTTTATTTCTACTTAACAGTTCTTCGGTGGAACAAGAAAAGAAAACTGAGAAATCCTTGGCGCCTACCCCAGCAAGAGAGTAAGCATCCTTCCTGCCTTACTCTTTTTCAGTGTGGTCCTTTTACTCTTTTCAGTATGGTCCTTTTCTTTTCTCTTTCTTTCTTTCTTTCTTTCTTTTTCTTCCTTTTTCATTACATTTGTGTGCATTTGGTGTTCGTGTGTGTGTGTGTGTGTGTGTGTGTGTGTGTGTGTGTGTCTGGCATAGGCACCTTGTCTGTCTTCAGTTTCCTCTTTATTTAATGAGGTAAGGGCTCTTCATGATTTTGGCTTGTCAGTCTAGTCAGCTGGCCTCTGAAATCCCTTGTCTATGCTTTTTGAGTGCTAGCTGCAAGGCCTGCCCATCTTTTGGGGTTTGAGGATCCAGACTCCATTCCTCACACTTGTGGGCAAGCAGTTTACCCACTGAAGACCTCCTACCCCTGCCCCTCAAATGGAGCTCTCTGAACTTTTGACTGGTTCTTGAAAATACTCATTTAAAATTAGAAACCCTTAGGACAGCTGGGGTTATATAGAATGACTCTGTCTAAAGAGGAGGAGGAGGAAGCCCAGCTGGGCATGGTGACTCGTGGGTCTACTGTCAGCACTTGAAGCTGAGGCAGGGAGTTTAAGGCCGGCCTGGACTACTGAGATGTGACATTAATTCTGGAGAGATGAGAATAAGTGTCTACTCATCCCAGATAGGGGACTGATGACAGACCAGTAAGACCAATACTACAAAAGCCCAACTTGGTAAAACAATAAGGTTTTTTTTTTTTTTTTTTTTTGGTTTTGTTTTTTGCTTTGTTTTAAATTTATTTTTTGAGACAGAGTTGCTCTATGTAGTCCTGGTTGTCTTGAAACTTGCTCTGTAGACCAGACTGACCTTGAACTCATAGAGATCCACCTGCCCCTGTCTCCCAAGTGCTGGCATTAAAGATGTGCACTACCACTGTTCCGTGAACCATGCATTTTATCGGTGTTAATCATCAGGAATATGAGTGAGAAGTTGCTTACAGGAACACAAGTTATTTTAAAGACAGCTGACTCACCAAATCCCATCCCAGCATGGGGGATGGGTCGTGAAAGATGGGAACCTGGCATTGCACAGCAAGGAGGCAGTTCAGCAGGTTGGAGAGTGTCTTTAGATAGCACACCTCGGTTGTCTGAGACTCATCTAGGTAGCTTGGCTTGTCTGAGTGTCTCTTAGTCTTTCCTGCTTATATGCACTCAGGGTAGGAAAATCTAGTGTATCTGGTCAGTTTCAGGGACTTTCTGAAGTCTTTGAGTTGTTAGTTCCTGACCTTAACAAGCTTCTCTGTAGGAACATCCAGTGTCTTAAGCTTCTCACTCAGATAGAAGGTTATATTTTAGAGGAAATTACCATACAACAGCTATTTAGGGAGAAACTGTTTCTGAACTACACACACACAGTTTCATCCTTTCAGAATGAAAGGTCAATAGTATGTGTGATATATATGTAATTGATTTACTTAAGTATTATTTACATATGTAAATCATGATTCATATGTAAATGATTTATGATTTACATATGTGTTTATGTGCCTGTGAGTACATTGGAGTACCATAGTTTGTAGAGAGCATAGGACAGATAGTGTTAGTTCTTTTCCAACATGTGGGTTCCATGTACTGAAAACAGGTTGTCAGGCTTGACAAGTGGCTTTCTTTGCCGTTGAACCATCTCACTGGCCTCCTGAGTTTTAAATAAAAGATGTTCAAATTGAGAAGGTTTTATTTTGAGACAAGGTCTTACTATTTAGCATTGACTGTTCTAGAACTTTGTATGTAGATCAGACTGGGCCTTGAATTTACAGAGCTCAGCCTCCCCTGGCTCTAAGTGCTAGGATTACAAGAATGTACCACTATGCCCAGGAAATTAAGAGTTGTTTGTGGTTTAAAAAAAAAAATAGTAGCTTTAGTGGTAAAAAATTCAAAAGGAATGAATATTGAAAAACTCCACTTTTGCTTCTTTGTGGTTTAAAAGTCTGTATGGTTCCCCCCACCCAGCAACAAATGTTACCATTGAAAATAACACCCTTTTTTTCATTACAATAGATTTATTGATTATGCAGTGTGTATTTGTATGTACGTGTGTGGGCATATGCATACCATGGTGAGTGTGTGGAGGTGAGTTTGTTTTTGTAAGCGATGATTAGTATTTACTATTGATATATCTTCTGGTAGAGCTGCTGTTAGTCCTAAACAGAGACTGGGTTTATTTAGTTAACCTAGAACACAATGCTAGGCAATAATCACTCCCTCTTAAACCTCCAAGCCCTCATAGTTTCCTAACATTTAGATTTTACCCATTATACTTGCTTTTTGTGAAATCTTAGGTCTGGTTCATTCTCCAAGTCGTTCCAAGATCTCTCTCCTACCTCTGTTCCTCCCAGCTCTGTCTGCCCCTCTCCTCCCACTCTTTTCCTATCCTCTGGCTTCTCCCTCTCTTCCTGCTTCCTTTCTATTGCTAGTTGCTTTATTCCTTTCTGTGGCTAGTTGCTTTATTTTGGTATGTTTACACAAAGTTGAGACAGGTGATGCTTATAATAAGTATCACAATGCAGTGTCTGGATTGAAACCAGAGAGTGGGGAGAGAAATCATCATTTGAATGAACAGGGGTAAAGTGTATACATTCCAAAAGAACATTATACCAACAATGGTAGTCAGTGTGCACCCTGGAGATTGGGCACAGGTCATAAGGCTTTGTGACAAGTATCTTAATCCACTGAGCCATCTTTCCTGCTCACCAGTATTTAAATATATCGTTTCAGATTTATAATTTATGTATACTTCAATAAATATTAAGCAGACTGTGTAGTAGAAGTAAGATTTGGATTCATTTTTGTTCTTTTCTTGAAAAACATAACTGGCTGGAAGGAAGAAGTTCTGATGGGCTTTTGCTCATTCGACTACCGGGTATCTGAGCGTTGGACGTGGTAGTGTACCTCTGTAATCCCAGCAGCTGAGAGGTTGAGTTTGAGGTTAGCAGGGCTCCATGAAGAATACCAGGCTAGTTAGGGCTTCATAGCACGAGCCTGCCTCATAGATTCTTTATTTTGCTAAGAAAATAAAGCAAAACTAAAAAAAGATATGCTAGTATGTATATTTCAGAAAGCTAGAAAAATAGATTTTGCATGTTTTTATCATAAAATGAGAAACATTTGACAAGATAAAAATGTTTACCCTGATTTAAACATCATACTATGTTTTTTGTTTATTTCTTGTTTTACTGAGACAGGGTTCTCTGTGTAGCCTTGGCTCCTGGACTCTGTAGACCAGGCTGGCCTGGAATTCACTGAGATCCAACTCCCTCTGCCTCCCTAGTGCTGGGAGTAAAGGCTGGGATTAGAGGTGTGTGCCACCATTGCCCAGCCCATACTGTTTTCATCAGTTGAAATGTCATATAGTTTCAGTAGTCTGTACAGTTTCCTGTGTTTCTGTATAAGTTAAGATATGGAGCTGAAGTGGTGGCTCTGCAGTTAAGAGAGCTGGCTGCTCTTCCAGAGGACCCGGGTTCCATTGTTAACACCCAGGTGTGGTGTCTTAGAACCATCTGTAGCTCCACCGGGCATGCACAGAGTGCACAGGCATCATGCAGACAAAACACTCATGCACAGGAAAGAACAAAATAAAACTAGCTTTCAAAAAGATGCACAGAGAAAAATTTAGCTTGCCTTCCAGTTCTGTTTTTTTCTGTTCTGCACTTCAGAGGGATGATTCTCAGGTGAGCATACCACTACTAACTTTGTAGGGCTGTTCAGAAACAAAGTTATCTGGAAAGTAAGCATAAAGGTTTTTGTTCATTCTGTTGTGACTGGTTTATTTGGTACTCTATTAAGGTAGAATGATAATTTCCTTTCTTTTATTGGCCTCAAACTTAAGGTATACTATGTATAACCAAGTTATGTCTGGTACCACTGGTTTATTTTAAAAGAGAGTAAAGATTCCATATTGTTATTTTTTAAGATTCCTTATTAAATGCTAACAAATATCCAGCTGGTGATGGCATATACCTTTAATCCTAGCACTCAAGATGGCAGAGGCAGGAGGAGCTCTGTGAGTTCGAGGCCAACCTGTTTTAGAGAAGGAGTTCCAGGACAGCCAGGGCTACACAGTGAATCTCTGTCTCGAAAACCGAACCGACCAAACAAACAGCGACTAAATAAAATTTGAAATAAAACCTTATACCTCTCTCATGTGTCCATCTGTCCGTCCATCTGTCCATCTACCCATCCATCCATTTATTTTGAGTCAGGGTCTTAATGTCAAGTTCATATTGACCTAGAACTCTTGGTCCTTTGCATTAATCTCCGTAGTGCCAAGAGTACATTGTGCACTACCATACCTAGCATGTTAACTGTGTCCTGTTGTATTTTCAGTTAAGTTATAGGGAAAGTTTTAAATAGTTGGGATGTTGGTTTTTTAATAATTTGCTTTGAATTCATACCACTTAGGAAATATTATGTATTGTTGCTAAGTTACTTAACTGTTTTTATATTTAGTAGGCAAGAAAATCAGAGTACTCATGATGCTGATGATAATGAAGAAGTGGAAGAGGAGGCGGATGATGGGCCCCTGCTGGTTCCTCGAGTAAAAGTGGCAGAAGATGGTTCTATTATTTTAGATGAAGAAAGGTGAGTTAAGGAAATGGAGGGAAGGTAGGATGTTGTCCTGTGCTCTGCACTTTGGCTTGTGGGTCTGTGTTAATCATCAGTTACTACAAATAGATGTTTCTCAGATGAGGGTTTCATTGATCTGTAAGTCATTATAATGATCTGTAGGTCAGATAATGGTTGACGTAACACTAAGTAATTAGGAACATCAAGCAATTCTTAACTGCTGACTGACTAATCTCTTCATCTTTAAATTTGACTATAATAAATATAAATGCAATGCTGATAAGTTTTTCTTTTTGATGCTGATTTGACATGTCATTGATAAAGAGATATTAGCCCAGGAGATATTTAGAAATGAAAAAACAAAACCAGGTGGGATGCACATGGCTACAGTCTCAGCACTCGGGAAGTAGACATAGGTAGTTCAAGGCTATCTTCAGCTTTGAAGAGGAAACTTAAGGCTAGCCTGGACAACAGAAAGCCTGGTCTACAAAAAGACAGACAGACAAAAAAGGCAATACAACAGTTGTTTTTTAGGTAGGCCAAAGATATTTTAAAGATGCTGTAATATTAAAAACAGGTTGGCATTCATTTCTGCCCCTTAGGAGTCATATTGGGAAAATATACATTTCAAATTTATGTATCTTTTTTCAAATATATGTTATATTTCTGATATTACTTTTCTGGTAAATTTTGGACTATAGACAGTTAAATCTCATCTACTATTGTTTTTCATACTTGTTTTCAGCGTGATTATATTTGAAAATGTCTTTTTTTCAGTTTAACTGTAGAAGTTTTGAGAACAAAAGGTCCCTGTGTTGTTGAGGAAAATGATCCTATATTTGAGCGTGGCTCGACAACTACTTACTCCAGCTTTAGGAAGAATTACTACTCGAAACCATGGTCAAACAAAGGTAACTAGTGCTCGTTAAAGGCTCTTCGCTGTTCTGGTGAAGTGAACTGTTTGAGGTTTCTGACTTATGTCAGACTTCTTGTAAATAAAATGTAAACTGTCATGTTGTTTTCCAGCCAGTTAGTTTTCTTGGTTCCTCTCCTCCCCCTACTATATCTTTGACTTTACCCTAGATATTATTTTAAGAGTTAGCGTTTTCACCATGTATACTGGTGTATACCTGTAATCCCAGCCCTCAGGAGGCAGAGGCAGGTGGATCTCTGTGAGTTCAAGGCCAACCTGGTCTACAAAGCTAGTCCAGGACAGCCAGGGCTACATAGAGAAACCCTGTCTTGAGAAACAAACAAACAAACAAAAACCTCAAAACAAACAAACAAACAAAAAGAATTAGCATTTTAATCATATTGCCTGGAATCATCATCTTTCTCAAACTGTACAAAGAAACATCATTAAAGTGAATAATTGACATTGTTTCTGTGTAAGCACTAACCGTTTATGCCAGTAGATCATTCTGTTTCTAGTGTCTCTAATCATTGCAGTGTTCTCCTTAAAAAATTGTGTAATAAACTTTGTGCAGGCATTCCCCAGCAGTAAAGGAACATGCCTATAATGCAAGCATTGAAGAGGCTTAGGCAGGAGCAACGTGAGTTTGAGGCCAGTCTGTGCTATGAAAAGAATCTTAACCTAAAACAAACAAATAAATAAGCAGATGACAATAGCAAAGCTTACACAGTACATATTTTATGATGATACTTACTCTTTTTAGTATAAAAAACTTTTTAGGATAAAATATTTTTAGTGTATAAAAATTGAGTTTTTAAGCATGCCATGACAAAGGGCAAAGTGAACGAACATATCTGTGCTTCTCTAACTTTTACCAGTTCTGTTTTTTGAGGTAAATTTTGTTAGCCTTGTCACATTTCCCTCCCTTCCTCCTTCTCTTTCCCAATAGATTAGAAAACAGCACAGCCCCCTTGGGCTACTGAGCAGTGTTTCAAGTGCTTGTTTCTTTGTCTCTTTCTTTCTGCTACTCACTAAGTATTTTATTTCTGATAGGTGGCCAAACATAAAAAAGCACCATCAGTTTATATTTTTACCAGTTGTCTATGAAAATGTTATTTTCTCACAGCTTTGCCAAAAATTTTGTAAGTTTTATTAGCTTACAGAAATCTAGTATCCAGAATACTTCTTTATAGTAATATACATTTGTTTAATAGCAATAAGTCCAGCATCTATTTTCAAGTTTTTTAAAAAAATTATTTATTTATTTTTTATTTTTGTTTGTCTTTTTCTGAGGCAGAGTTTCTCTGTGTAGCCTTGGCTATCCTGGACTTGCTTTGTAGACTAGGCTGGCCTTGAACCCACAGAGATTCACCTATCTTTGTCTCCCGGAGTGCTAGGATTACAGGCGTTACAGGATTACAGGTGCCATTGTGCCTGGTTTTGTTTTATTATTTAAATTTAAATATATTTTGATCATATTCTTCCCTTTCTCCAAATTTGTCCAGATCTTCTCCTCCTTCCTCCCCTTCAACTCTGAAAAAAAAAAAAAAAAATAAACAAAAATCCAATATAACAAAACTCCCAAAAGTAAAATACATCATTCAAAATGGAGAACAAAACAAAACAGCCAACCAAATTGTAACCAAATAAAAGCACACGCAAACCTGCAGCATCCATTACTTGTTGGTCAACTATTCCTGAATATGAGATCTGCCCTGGAAGGGTTGATATACCCAGTGGCGAAAACTGATTGTTCCTGTCCCAGCAGTATAAATGACAGTTCTGTTGTTAACTTCTACCCTAGTAGCTATGTTTGCATTCATTAATTTTTAAATATATAACAAAATATAGTAAGGTAAACAAAAACTGTCACATCACAGTTGGACAAGACAGACCAACAGAAGGAAAAGAGCTCAAGAGAGGGCACCAGAGTCAGAGACCTACTTGTTTTCATGCTCAGGCATCCCATAAAAACACAAACTGTGAAGCCATACTATAAGCACAGAGGATCTAGTGCAGACCTGTGCATGCTGTTTCAGTGTCTCTGAGTTCACGTTTTGCTCAGTTTGATTTAGAGGGCCTTATTTTCTCAGTGCCCTCCATCTACTTTGGCTCTTACACTCTTCTATTTATGGTTATAAGCCTAGCCATTAAGGGATGAGTCATCTCTCCAGCCCTAGGCTCTTAAAATCTTTCTGCCTAGTCTTTTGAGGGGTTCCCTGATCCCTGAGGTGAGGGATTTTAGGGCTGAGTGTTCCAAGATCTTTCACTCTCTGATCAATGTGTGGCTGTGGGTCTCTGTATTTGTTCCTGCCTGCTGATGATGGCTGAGCAAGGAAATGATTTATGAGCATACCAGACTAAGGAGTCATTTTATCACTATTATAATTTTTTTTTTCCTTTTAGACCAGTATTTGTTTTTGCCCTAGGTCCCTGGGCTGTCTAGTCTCAGGTTCATGGTCATTGAAGCAGTGTTGGATAGGGATTCCATCTCACAGAGTGGGCCTTAAGTCAGACCAGCTATTGGTTGGTTATTCCCTTCAAGTGCTTTTCATTGTGTTGCTGTTAGCTGTGGGAATCTGTCCCAGGACTGTTCCTTCATTTCTGGCTAACATCTACATAGTTCCATAAACTTGTTATTTTCAGAGACCCTTTTGTCTTGTTTTATTTAATACCTGGTTTGGGTGGCTCTGTGTCCGAGCAGATGCCTATGATGAAGCTTGTAGGGCCATTTGGAATGGAGGTATGAACTTTTTAGTTGTCTCTCCTTCACCTTTTAGGTGTTCCTGTGAGGTGTAGAACAAGAGTCAGGGGTGATGAGTCCAGACCAAATCAAAGGTCTTACCTGGGGCAAGGTACTACCAGGAAGTCTGTCCTTTCAGGTGCAGTTCACAAGCTATGGCTCATATCCCATGACTGATGCAGAACTCAGGCTTAGAATCTTGCACCACTCACATCAGAAGTCCTGGAGCTCATAGCAGTTCTTGTTACCATAGCCTCCTAGTTCTGGGGTTATAGAATGTACCACCACACTTACCAGTGGGGGAGGGGTGGTTTGTTTATTTTAATCTTTTACCGTTTGAATTTCTTTTCAATAAAATTAAGTACTGTATAACTTATTTTAACTAATCTAAATTTTTATATATAGTTTTATATAACTAACTTAGGTTATTTTATCTGAACAGAAAATTAATTTTTGTTAATCTTCTCTTGTTACAGAAACAGATATGTTTTTTTTAGCCATCAGCATGGTAGGAACTGACTTTTCTATGATTGGACAACTTTTTCCTCATAGAGCAAGGATAGAAATTAAGGTAAAGTATACCTACCTGTAACATTTATTGGTTAGAAAAAGTAAAAAAAAATTATTTTAGTTTTTTCTTTTAACTTAATTCACAGTCACTTGTTCTCTTACTATTTTTGTGTGTATGTATGTGTGTGACATTAACTTTCATAAGATTTCTCAATTTTTGTATAGTTATTGTTCCTGAACTTTTAAAATATATTTGAGAACTACTTATAAAGATACTGAAATTAAGAATTAGTGAAAAGAGAAGGTAAATGTGTCAGAATACTTAGAGTAAATGTAGCTTTATTAAGTATTTTTTAGATTTTCTAGAATGATATGAAAAGTACTGAGTTATATATCACTGAACTGACTGTTGTTATCTTTGTCCTCATGTGCTTTGTGTGTGACCTTGTAAACAGCTCAAGTGATGTCAGAGATGTACTGTGTCTGAGGGAATGAGCTTTGCATTGTTGCTTAGAAAGTGTATAGGTTTCCTGGTTGGAAAGTACTTAGGCTCCATCATACTGTGTTACCATAGTGCAATCCCAGTTAATAAAGAGAGATTTGTCCAACCCTATGTCTTTCCCTTTATTTCCCATCTCACCATGTTTGCTACATAACTGAAAGTAACCAATCAGAAAGAATAAAGTTAGGGTATCCTTAAGATAGATAGACTTGATTGCCTGTGAAGATTATGTAGTGGGCATCCTGTAGTGTAGATGTGGTCTTGCTGCATTGCTGCAAGAGGCTAGGAGCCTGCTTGGATTCATTCATTCATTCATCATTCATTTATTCTAGATAGAATTTCTCTGTGGAGCTCTGGCTGTCCATGAACTCATTCTTTAGACCAGGCCGCCTTCAAACTCAAGAGATTGACCTGCCTCTGAGTGCTGGGATTAAAAGCATACTCCACCTGGCCCAGTTCCTGCTTGTCTTCTTTCTGTTCTAAACAATATTAAAGTTCTGTGAAGGCTAAAACTTGGTTAGAGGAAAAACTAATTATCTGATTGATTAATAATGTTTCTCACTGAAGTTTTTCTCTCAGAAAACATTTGAATTCTTCCCTTGAAAGGCTAGTGTAATTCCAGCAGGTCTTTGGGTAAAGTGTAGAAAAGTGAAAATGTGCTGTTTCTAAGACTAGTGAAGTACATCTTGTTGATTTCTGCATGTTGAACTAACCTTATGTTCATGGGATCAATTCCATGGGATTATACTATATTCCAGAGTATTGCAGAGCTTTGCTACCTTTTCTCTTTTTAATTTTTGAAATTATTTTTATTTATTTTATGTGTATGGGTGTTTTGCTCGTGTGTATGCCTCTGAACCACATGTGTGCCTAGTGTTCGTGGAAACCAGAGAGGGCATTGGCTCACCTAGGACTGGAGTTAGACAGTTAAGAGCCACCATGTGAGTTGTGGAAGTTGAACCCGGGTCTTCTAGAAGGATAACCCTTGGGCCATCTCTCCAGCTTTCTTACTGTAGTTTCTTGAGGACTTTATAAAACTTCGTTCATGAGGGATATTGTTTTACACTTTTCTGTTTTCTTTTTTCTGCATGCTGGTATTGAGTGTTTTATTGCTGAGCCGTAACCGTGGTCCCTGTAATTGTCTTTCAAAGTCCTTGTGCTGTCTGGTGATGTTGACTGAAATGATCAGTGGCTGTAGCAATTTAAGATTAGCACTGTTTCTCCTTTAATGTTTGGGACTTACCAGTGAAGCCAGAGTCTTACAATTTTGTGTGTGTGTGTGAAAGTGTTTAGATTATAAATTAAGTTTTTTTTTTTCATATGTGCAGAGACATTCAGGTTTTTCGTTTTATTGATCCTGCAGTCTCAGACAAGGTTGAGGATCACTGGAGCCTAGGAATTTAAGCTAGGCTGGACAAACAGACTCTTTTTTTCTCCACAAATACAAATTCTTGTGTTGCTGCATGGTGGCAGCGTATACCTTTAACCCCTGCACTTGGGAGACAGAGGCAGGTGAATCTCTCTGAGTTTGAGGCTAGCCTGGTCAATGGAATGTGGAGAGAATGCCAGGACAGGTACGGCTGTTACACAGAGAAATCATGTCTTGGTGGGGGGAGGGGAAGGGAAGAGATTCTTGTATCAGTTTTGATGCTAAGCTGTGGAGTTCATGTCTGTAACAATTTCTAACTGTTATTTTAACATTTTTAGGATGTGTAGTGATAACCCTCTGATTTGCTTTCTTTTTTCTCCACCACTCATCTACTTTAAATTTGTTTCCGTTCATGATGTTTTGAGACAGGCTTTCATTTTGTAAACCAGAGTGGCTTCCAATTTGTGATCCTCCTCACTTCGCTGATTAATCTTTCTCTAGGGGCTTATTAACTCTAAAAAATAATCTTACTTAAAAATATTAAAATGTTTATAAAATTTATAAAAGTAAAAATAAAAAACTGTGAAAATCTCGACATGGTGGTGTGTGCCTATAATTTTAGCACTCGAGATATCAGGACAATCACGAGATTCTCGAAGACCAGCCTTGGCTGCGTGAGATCCTGCCCTACAAGCCCACAAACAAATAAGCAAAACTCACAAAACATGTCTGGGGTGATGGCTTAGCTGCTAAGCCCCATGCCTTGCAGGCGTAAATATCTGGGTGTGAATCCCAAGGACCCACACAGAATGTGGGCCATGGTGGTGTGTGTCTGGAGAGGCAGGAAGATGAGGAATTCAGGTTATCTTTGAGTTGCAAAGTGAGTTTGAGGCCACACTGGAGTACATTAGTCCTTGCTGCAAAAAATAAATGAATGAATGAATGAATGAATGAATGAATGAATGAATGAATGAATGAAGATCTTATATAACATATATATTATTGAGTATAGTGTTAGGAATTTTTTAGGTTGATAAAGTTAGTGTAAGCTTAATTGACTAGGTTTTCACTGTGTAGTGGTCAGTTGTTTCTAAGTTATAACCTATTTAGCATGTGTGTGTTTATGAGTGTGTGTGTAGTCCCACTTTATATCTAGTGAGTCTGTGCAAGTAGTAGGATCACTCAAGGGAGTTGGAGCTCTCCTTTTACCTTACGTCAGTTCTGCATGTTGAAATGAAGCTATCGGGCTTGGCCTTTGTACCTACATACACACTGCTTTGTGTGTGCTGTATACCCAGGTTTGTTGTTTTGTTTCTGCTGTTTTTGATAATAAAAATAATATCAGGTAAATTTGTATGAAATTTTCATCTTCATTGAAGAATGTATGTGTGTGCATATGTGTGCATTTGTGTCCACACAAGCTCATTTGAAGGCCAGAAGACAGCTGCTGGGTGTGTCAGTTCTTCCTTCCACCAAGCGTGTTCTGAGGATCAGATGTAGCTTGTCCTTTACCTGCTGAGCCAGTCTTGCCACCTCTTCAGTCCTCATTAAATTTTTTAATTATTTTGTATGTATGGGTGTTTGCCTGTGTCTATGTATGTATTTGTGTCACGTGTGTATGGTACCTGAGGAGGCCATAATTCTCTGTAATGGAGTTATAGATGGTCATGAGCCACCATGTGGCTGCTAGGTATTGAACCCAGATCTCTGGAAGCACAGCCAGCATCCTTACTAGCCATCTCTCTAGCCTGCAATCCTCATTTTTAAGAAACTAAAGCTTTAAGTAACTTAGCCTATTGGCAAAGATACACCATTTAATAGGGAATAGTATGTTTTGTAGCATTTCACATTAATACTTAATAATTAGAAATAATACTTGTTTAATGGCAGAACATTACTATAGATCTTTTTGTTGTTAACAGAATAAATTTAAACGTGAAGAAAAAGCAAATGGATGGAGAATAGACAAAGCATTCCGTAAGTATTAAAGCATTCCTTCACAAAGTATTATTTGTAGAGTTTGAAAAATGATCAGTACTTTGTCTTTGGCTCTAGTGTGTTTAGATTTGTCTTCATATTGCCATAAAAATATGAGTGAACACTTTTGCTCTTTTGGCTTCTTAAGATAAGTTCTCTATATTCCAGGTCAGTCTTTAACTTTTGATCCTTTTGCCTCAGCCTCCAACTGCTGAGATTACAGGTGTGCACCACCATGTCTAAGGTGTGTGTTTGTTTGTTTTGTTTTGTTTGAGACATTGTCTCACTATATAGCTCTGCTGTTCTGAAACTCACTGTGTAGATCTGGCAGGCCTTGAACTCACAGAGATCCATCTGCCTCCCAAGTGCTGCCTGCTTGTGTGTGAGTTCTGTATTTAACAGTATGAGTTTGATAGTTGCTACAAATCTGTAAGCAGAGAACTAAGCACAATATCCAGAAGCAGGTAAGAGAGTTTTAAATCCATGAATTTATGCAGTAGTTGATGACAAAAGTGGCTTTTTCAAAATTGTATTTCGTGTCTATGCATGTATGGATGTGCACAAGTGTGTGGATTAGAGGACAACTTGTAGAAGTTAGTCTTTTCCTGCCATCATGTGTTCTGGGTTAGATTTAGGATGCCGGCCTTCCTAGTAAGTGCCTGTGTAAACTGGGCCATCTCACTGGCCCACGAGTGTTTTTTGTTGTTTTGTTTTTTTCGAGACAGGGTTTCTCTGTGTAGCCCTGGCCGTCCTGGACTCTCCTTTGTTGACCAGGCTGGCCTCAAACTCGCAGAGATCTGCCTGCCTCTGCCTCCCTGCGTGCTGGGATTACGGGAGTGTGCCCCCACACCTGGCTCCCTGAGTGTTTTTTTTTATTGGGAAAGAACTGTGTTCAAGAGGTGGTTTGTGGAAAGTTGCTTGTGGTAGTTCAGTCTTTGAGTCAACGGCACTGATGCCTGCTGTGTTCTGCTTGCTCTTGACCATGTGTTGGCAAATAAGGAGGTGAGAATCTGCATGGAGAGCCCTGAGTTCAAGTGGTGAGGGATATTGATAAGCAAGTTTCAGGTGGTGATTAAGTTCTTAGGAGAGGAAAAAGCAAGTGGGTCTCAATGCTTATATAAGTCCTCTGTGAAGTTCTTTATGAACAGGCAACATTTGAATTTAGATCTGATTTAAAAGAGCAGTAGGAACCTTCTAGCTTCTAGTTAATGCCTTCATTAAAATTATTTTTTTCTTTTTGCAAGTCTACAGAAAGACTTCAAATTTACTGTTTAAAATTTTTTTGTGTGTTTTAGAAGGTACATTCTTTTTATGAACAAATAATTATCAGCATTTTATCATTATGTATCAGTGTTTATTAAGCCATGAAATTAGTGTTAGTGCTAAATTTAATTATTTCTAAATAAAATAAAAAAATTCCTTTTGAAACAGGGACCCACTGTCTAGCCCTGGCTGTCCTAGATCTCTCTACGTATACCAGGCTTGACTCAAACTCAGAGTTCCACCTGCCCCTCAAGTGCTGGGGTTAAAGATGTACACCACCATGCCTGTCTAAAAATATGTTTTATAAGATTTATTTTTGTGTGCATGTATATGTTGAGTGCTTGCATATATGTATGTGTGCCGTGTGTGTGGCTGGTGTCCACAGAAGACAGAAGAGGCTGTTCCATCCCTGGAACTGAATTTAACCGTGTTTGTGAGCCGCTCTGTCTGGTCTGGGAACTCAGTCCATCCCTCTCCAAGTGCACTGTGTTTCAAGACAGGGGTTTCTCTGCGTAATCCTGGCTGTTGTGGCAGCACTTTGCAGACCAGGCTGGCCTTGAGTTCACAGACATCTGCCTGCCGCTGCCTCCCCAGTGCTGTGATTGTAGATGTGTACCACCACGCCCAGCTTGCAGCAAGTACTCTTAACTGCCAGAGTAAAATTTTCTCTCCCCTCCTATCCTAGCCCTGTCTTGCTTGGAACTCAGTCTGTAGACTAGGAGGCCTCAAGTTCGCAGAGATCCATCTGCCTCTGTTCCTGAGTTCTGGGATTAAAGTTGTACACTGCTATGCAGAGCTCAGAATAGAATGTCTTCGGTAAAGTTAGCCATAGGGCTTATTTTAGGGGAAATTAGTCATGTGTAGTTTAGGGACTGTGTAGTGTGTGAGTTTACTTCCTGAGTAGACACTGGTAAATGTATTGGGCTGATGCTCAGGGTTGTGCTGTGTTTCAGGGAAAGTATTTTTAGGAATAGCTTCTGAAAGAGCTGAAATGTTGTGACTAGAGGAACTTTTCCATTAAAAAAAAAAACAAAAAAAAAACAACAAAAAACAAAAAACAGAAACTTTCTACTGGGCTTAATATGTCATCAGAAAATTTCATTTTTGTTTTTCTTTCTAAACTTTATCCTTTGAAGTAGAAAATTAAAGAAAAACTTTGTTTCTTTTCAAGATATATTTTATGTGTATGAATGTAAGAATACATGTATGTTCACCACATGTGTGTGTGGTGTCTGGAAGTCAGAAGAGGGCATGACATCCTTTAGAACTGGGGTTATGGATGGTTGTGAGCTACCATGTTGGTGCTGGAAACTGAACCTCTGTCTTCTGTAAGAGCTGTAAGTACTCTTAAGTTCTCTAAGCTCTGAGCCATTTCTCCAGCTTCCTTTATGGATTTTTGTTTGTTTGTTTGTTTGTTTGTTTTTGAGACGGTCCTAGACGTTTAAGTCCTCTAGAACCACCTAACGATTCTTTGTGGGCTCCCTTGAGTACTAGTTTATTGTTGTGTAGAATCAGAACAGATTAGTATTTAGTATGTACCTCTTCCTGAGGCATTTGTATCTTTGTATGCATTTATCAGAGTTTAGATGTAAAGTTTAAGGAAGGATTTCTCTATAGATTCATTCCTGGTTTCTTTACCAGTTGTTGTAATGTTAAACAGTTGACAGTGGCAATAGTTCTGATTTCACTGCACTGTTTTGCATTTTGTATTTACCTCCTATTTTATTGATGCTTAGAAGAATACTTAGTGAAGTGGTTGTGATAAAGAGGGTGTGTTGTAATTACAAGGCATTGGAGGATGTCTTATTTATCTTCAGTTATGTTTAGGGGCTGGAAATTGCACCTGGGTTCTTGTGCCAGCTAATGTGTGCGCTCTCCCACTGAATTACCTCCTGGCCCATCCCTTGCCACTTAAATAATTGACACACAGAGTTCAAAGTATTCTTTTAATTTTAACACAGAATGTCTCCTTGCAACCAGCACCCTGAGTTGTGCGCACAATATTTTCATCAATTTACAGGCCCCTCTGTTCCTTTGCTTTGGTAGCCCAAGGACACAGTTATGTCCATGTGAATCATCATGGACTAGCTTAGCTTTTTTCAAATCATCTGATTCATTGAATCATACAATATGTAATGCTTGCTGTCTGGTTTCTTTTACTTTCATTTTTTAAATTCACTCATTTTATTGTTTGTATCATTAGTTTGATCCATTTATTAGATTGGTACAAAGTTTTTCACATTGTCAAATTTTCATATTATATTGAATACATTCTTAATTATAGTTATGCGTCATTTTTAATGGACATTTTTCCCTTTATGATCTTGTACTAATGACTTATTGCTTATTGTTTATCCTATGGAAACCATATTAGACAAAAAGTGAATTCAAGATATTCTTTTAAAATTTTTTAAGATTTTATTTTTATGTGCATGTTGGTGCAGCCCATGCATGTAATTCCTATAGAGAACAGAAGTGGCTGTCAGATCCCCTGAAACTGGAGTTACACATGGTTGAGAACTCCTGAGGATGCTGGGAATTTAATCTTTGAAGAGCAGGTTCTTGGTCAGGACTCCTGTTGCTGTGATGAAACACTCTGACCAGCACTACTTCGGGGTTTGTTTGACTTATGCTTTCACATTACTGTCCATCCTTGACCGAAGTCAGGACAGGCACTCACCACAGGGACAGGAGGCAGGGGCTGATGCACAGGTCTTGGAGCAGGGCTGCTTAGTGGCTGGCTCTTCATGGCTTGTTCAGCCTGCTTTCCTATAGAACCCAAACCACCAGCCCAGGGGTGTCCCCGCCTGCAGTGGGCTGGGTCCTTTCCTTTTATTCACTAATTAGGAATGCAGGCTTGCCTACAGCCTGATCCTTACGGAGGCAAATTCTTAGTTGAGTCTCTCTCCTTGTCGATGACCCCAGCTTGTGTCAAGTTGATAAAAACTAGCAAGCACAGGAAGTCAGTGCTCTAACTGTTGAGCCAGCTCTCCTGCCTCTCAAGTGTTTTCTTACCTGAGTTCAAAGTGGATCATGTATATGGAGAAAATTTGCAAACATAACAGTGCATTTGGTCCAGGAACTGTTAAGGAATATGCTATTGCAATAATGGTTCAAGAAGGTTTATGTAGAAGAGGAGAGCCTTGAAGCAGAGGAATGTAGCAAACTCTGAGCAGTTGGTGAATCTGATCGTTTTACAGTTCAGATGTTGCTGTAGAACCGAGTGTAGACCATTCCGTGGTCATTTGGTATTTAAAGTAAGTTGCAAACATGAAAAAGCTCGTCATCATTTTGAACTATTGTTCTGATTCTATACACAATGTACCTTTGTTGTTGTTTTCTGTTTTTTTGAAGCAGGGTTTCTCTGTGTAGCCTTGGCTGTGCTGGAATACACCCTGTAGACTCAGCTGGCCTTGAACTCAACCTGCCTCTGCCTTCCCGGGTGCTGGGATTAAAGACATGTGTTGCCACCTCCCAGCTAATGTATCATTTAATTGGGTTGTGTTGTGTTGTGTTGTGCCATGAAAAAGGGTGGTGTTGCAATATGTAATAAAAAGTGGATAGTATAAGTCAACTAAGCAGCGTGCTGGTCCGACTGAGAAGAAGCTTCAGAGCACTTCCCGAAGTCAAATTTGAGCTCCACTCCCAAAGGGAGACTGTAAATGTTATCTTTTATTCACCTGAGGTAATTGTTATCTTGGATGTTTGCTGCCTCTGTCTGATAACTTTGGCCTAGTCCTGGAAGCTTGTAGCCTCTGTACAAATGTTTTCAGCTTCTGAGGCTTACTACTGAATAAACTCAACCTTTTCTAGTTCTTTTTGAACTCTGGCTGGGTGGTTCAACTCAGCTGTTCTGCCTCAAACTCCTCTCCTAGCTGACTGATTCAGCTTGGCTTTTCTCAGTTTTCTGACTTTTTGCTCTGCTTAGCCTCAAAATAACCCTAGTAATCTGTTCTAATCTTCTGGCTCCTTCTCATTCTCTGTCACGTTCTGTCTTCACCTGTATCTAGCTTGTTTTCTCTTTATCCTTTCTCTGTAAAACTCTCCTGATAAAACTGCCTCCTCTCCCTGGACTCTCTCAAGTAGCCTCTCTTATGTTCTCATGAGAGTTGGGCATATCTTACTCTTTCTCTGATTAGTCACTTTGTCTGCCTCTCAATTAGATGTCACTTTCAAACATGGGTACGTACTTCTATCTACAAACCAATTTTACCTACATTGTTTGGGATTAAAGGTTTATACTAAGGAGGTGTCTGTATTCCAGCCAGACTAGCTGTGTTGCTGGATTAAAATCCCCCTATAGATGGTCTCTCACTAGACGCATAGCTTTCTGAAATTTGATGCAACTATTACATCTTAGAAATATGCCCATCAAATCTGTGAGCTGTGGAACTAGTACTGGTCAACAGGAAGGGCCTGATTCTCCACAGAGCCAAACCTTATATCACACAACCCATACTTCAGAAGTTGAAACTTAAACAAAGTGTGCTCACAGATTTGTTGTTTTGAATCAGGTTCTCATCTGGAGCTTGCTATGCAGGCCAAGGTTGCCTTAAACACATAGAGATCTGCTGCCTTTGGGATCAGAAGTGTGTGTCACCACACCCAGTTCAGGCTACAAAGATTTGCTTTACAATGTTCAACTGACCCTTGCCATTTGACTGTTACTTCAAGTATCTCAACAAGTTTTTTTGTTTTGTTTTTGTTTTTGTTTTGTTTTGTTTTGTTTTGTTTTTAAATAAGGAAAATGTTTCCCAAGAGTTCATTGAATCCTGAGCATGGATTTTACACTACAGTAATAAAAACATAATAAAACAAAACATCTTAGTTTTAATTGGCAAAAAATGTGTTCTTTGGAATGGCTTCTATCTTGATTCAGAAAGATGTATTTGAACCTGTTTATAATGAGACATAAAACCATCTAAAACAGCAGTTCCTTTCTCACCAACCTAGTATTTTAATTTGATTTTTTTTTTTTTTATGCTGGGCCTTGAACCCAGGCCATGCTATGTAAGTGCTGTGTCTGAGCTTTTATACACTTAGCCCTTATTTGTTAAATTACCTTTTTCTTTAATTACTTGAAAGCTTATATATTTATTTATGCTCTGTCTAATAAATAAGTATTTGCTTTGGATGTTGTAATACTTTAAAAACTAGAAAACTTTGTTTTTTAGAAAGCTTTTTTAAAAAAATAAAAAAACTTAAAATTTTTCCTTTTTCTTTAAACAGAGGAAAAACGCCCTTTTGACTTCGATTTTTTTGCTCATTTGCTTCAGAAAGTTCTTGCTGAAGAAGAAAAAAGAAAACAAAAATCTACTAAATGTCAGAGTTTAAAGGAAAAGGCCTCCAAACCACGGAAAAACATAAAAGGTATTGATTATGCAATTTCATTTAATGGTGAATTTGCAGTATTGCCTTCTTAGGAATTAACAGTTTAGGTGTTACTCAGGTAGTTGAGATTATCAGAATGTACAGTTGGAGGGAATCAATAACAATTTATTATTGTTATTATTGCTTTGCTAGTTATCTAGACCAAAACAACAGCTCCCTTTTAGTTATTTTGTTTGTTTTTTTGTGTGTTACATGTATGAGTGTGTGTGTGCATGAATTTGTGCTTTGCAGAGAGGCTTGAAATGGGCTAGAGAGATGGCTCAGAGGTTAAAAGTACTTTGTTGCTCTTATATCTGACTGGAATTTTGTTTCCAACAACTGTGTTGATGTAGCTTTTAACTTCCTATAGCTCCAGCTCTATGGCATTTGATGCTGCTTTCCTAGATACTCATATATTGTTTATGCATACACACACACACACACACACACACGTTTAAAAGAAAAAAGATGTTTCAGTCTGGGGATATAATTTAGTACTTGTGAAAAATGCATAAGATTTCCTGGATTTGATCCCTTGTTCTACAAAATGATAAAGATCCTTGTTTCAGGCAGGAGGATCAGAAATTCATACCTAGTTACATAGTTTGAAGCAACCTGGGATGCATCAGACTTTCTCTGAAGAACAGCCAAACAAACCCAGAGTATACAAAAATATTCTAGAACTCTTTGTTCTGACTATCAAAGTAAATTCTTCAGGCATCCCAGGAATCACTGACACCAAACCCTTTCCTGTGCACATACTGGTGTGTGTATGTATTTTTTTTTTAAATGAAAATGTAAGCTTATAAATATGGCTATATTTCTGCCATTTGAAGTTTTTATATAATATACTTTGAATCCTAATACATTACTATGTAAAAGCTTGCTTTATTATTGCTAATTGCATGTATGAATTTTTTTTTTTTTTTTTTTTTTTTTTTTTTTTGGTTGGGGGAGGCAATGCTGGGAGTTGAACCCATGACTGTGTGTGTGTGGTAATAAGGATGCACTTTTTCCCCTGAGCCATACTCTGGTCCATGCACTGATGTCTTCTGTTTTAGTTTGTCTTTAATTTTTTACACAAAAGTAACATGACTGAATATACTTCTAAACATTTGTCATCTCTTTCAATAAATTTTCTGTAAGTTAAAACAATTTCTCTTGTTTTTAGCAAAAAAAGTAACTAGTGAAGAAGTGACTGATGATCCAGATGAGTCTGTAAGCACTAACATTTCAGACCCAGAAAGATCTCAAAAGGATGCCCAAACAGCCGACGAAGAGCAATCACCAAGTTCATCAGGACAGCATTTAGGACAAGTTATGTTAGAGCAAAAACAAAGTCAAGAGAAGAGGAGGAACCAAGACGAAGCTAATAAGCAGGAAACAACAAATCTTTTAGGAAGTGTTCTTGTTCATTCAAGCCCTCCTGAATCAGAAATACACAAGAGTAAGTTTCAAACACATTCTTGGAACCTCTGTTTTACTTGAAAAGACGTGGCTGGTAATGTGTATGACAGATGCTGTGTTTATGGATAATAATAGTTGCTAATGCCTAAGTGGTTGTATGCTCAGTACTATTATATCTTGTCACCTTACTTTTAGTTAAGGGGGAAAAAAATCACTGTAGGAAACTGAAAAAGTAAAATAGGGAGAATGTTTTACAGATTGTTCCAAAGATGTATTATTTCCCGTGTATTCCCATTAACAATCATTGATAATCATGCGTCTGTTAATGAAGCTCGGTTTTTTTATGGCCTACCTTTATAGGATGCTTCTGAGCCTGCAGTAGGTTAATTTTGAGAAGAGCTAGTAGAATTTGTTTTTAGAGTTATTTTTATAAAATTGTGTTTGTTTCTCAGTTTCTTTCTTAACATGGCTATCACCCAAATGATTGAGACTCTATTATGTCATTTGTTTAACAAGCTTCACAGGACAATAACTGAACAGTTTTTCTATTCTGAAGCTTTTATTCTATTCTTAAGCTAATCTGGCTCCCTGCCAGCATAAATCCCAGAGATACCTGCACTTCATGGCTTTCCTTGCTCCTGATGTCTCTTGGACCTCAGTCTGTGGCTCAGTCCCATACTTCCTCCTCTAACTCCTCCTCCTCTGCCTGGCAAGAAGTCCAGTCCTATTTTTTCCCCTGCTCATTGATTGGCTGTAAGCTGCTTAATTGGCATGTAGTGGGACAATTGGGGAACAGTGTTTACACAACATTGAGACAGGAGATTCTCAGAACAAGGATTGCAAGCTGATATGAAAGGCACCAAAATCAGTATTTGAATAACCTTATACCTACAATTTGCGTTTCTTTTTTTTCCTTCTTGTACTTTTAGAATGTAAAATACATTGAAGGTGTTGCTTAGAGACAAGACAGAACTCTGGAGGAGTCTGGGGTCATAAGAGTTTGATTTAAGAATACTTAACGCAAACAATAAGGTTGGAGATACTCCTCAGTGCAGAGCATGTGCTTAGCACGTGCAAGTCCCTGGGTTACGCCTGGATTTTCTCTGCCTGCCTTCCCCCACAAAAAACAAAACAAAGCAACAAAACTGGAACAACCTTCAGTTAGTTTATCTAGTTTTTACCAATACTATCATTTTCTTTTAAAAATAATGCTATTTTTATTCCTTGAGAATTTCATAGATGTATAGAATATAGTTTGGTCATTTCTAACCCTCAACTCCCCCTCAGCTCCTCCCAGACCCTCCCCAGTGTATCTTCCTCCCAACTTCATGTCCTTTAAAAAAAACAAGCAAAACAAAACAAAACACCAAAATAAAATAAAGTAAAAATAAACAAAACAAGCTTCTGAGTCAGTGTTGCTCATAGGAGTGTCCTTATGGGCGTGGGCTAATTCATTGTAGCATAGGCAACCTACAGAGCCTACAACTCTGAAAAAACTAACTCTTCCTTCCCTAGTAGCCATCACATGCTAGTAGCTCTTCAGGTGAGGCTGGGGGATCTTGTGACTCCCCTCCCCATGCTGGACTGTTGGCTGGCTTGATCTTGTGTTTGTAAATATAGTTTGTAAGTGAAATACTCCTGACATGTCCAGAACACTGATATTCATCAGTCTTCCTCAACCTTTGGTTCTTAGAAACTTTCTATGACCTCTATGATGTTTCCCAAGTTTGGGGGTGATGGGGTTGGTGATTTAGTTGTTCATTTAAGACTGAATACTCAGCAGTCACGTAACTTTCTGCATTTCGACCACTTCTGAGTCTTAGTATTGATTGTGCTAAAACTTCTCTGATGAGGACTGAGAGTTACACTAATTTTTAGCTGTGAAAATAAATACTTAGAAGGCAGTTGATACTATATCCAGTTATCAAAGTGATAGTATAGGTTATCTCTTATGACATCCCTAGACACAGGCTCCTAGACAGTTTTTTTTTTTTTTTCTACCCAAACATCAGGTCCTTCCTGTGTTGTAGTAAATAAAACTGGTATTGGACTATATATTGTTTATTATTTTTGCCTGATTATCATGGCAGCATTATTTAACCTTCTCTAACAATTAATGAGACACAGACACATGTTAGATTTTCTAATTGCCATATTTACCTTGGGCCAGGCAGATATTTCACCTATGCTGTCTCAATAACCTCACCATCTACCTCCCAACCCCCATCCAATGCCATCCCTCTTAACTATCCTCATCTAGGCTACCTTCCATCTATAATCTTATAAATACTTGCTTGTATTCTTTATTTGGGCCATTCCAAGCAATTATTAGAGTCCTAGAGCTCATGTAGTTTCTTCTCCATGAAGAAACCCATCATGGCTTCCTCCTTCCTCTTCTCTTCTCATCTATCTGTTTTCCATGACTCTCTTGAACCCAAAGCCCGGGAACCTTAGGCACGCCTACCCCTTTTTGTTCTGCTTAGGTTTTACACCATTTAATCAGCCAATCAGGTGTGTCCAGGCAGTAACCAGATCTCGAGGGCTAGTAATTAGCATCAGTATACAAGCATCAGACCAACCCCTAGTACTCCTGTGAATCTGGCTATAAACCTAACCAAGAAGCAGCTGTTACCTCTGTAGCATTGGTGCTACTGTTGTACCAGTGGGCCTACCTTGTCAGTTCATTTGCTGTTGCTTGCAGGGTTCATAGCTAGGAAAGACTTGTTAATGACTTTCTTCCTTGGTAGCCTATATAGCACTTTCCAGCACTATGAGAATTAGCCAGCAGAGAGGGGAGTCAGTAATAGTTGAATAGATCAGTCCTGATAGTTGAAGTAACATATATAGAATTTTTTTTTTCTTTTAGATAGGGTCTGATGTAGCCCAAGATGGACTATGATCTTGAAGTCCCCCATCCCCCGAGACAGGGTTTCTCTGTGTAGCCTTGGCTGTTCTGGACTCGATTTGTAGACAAGCTGGCCTCGAACTCACAGCAATCTGCCTGTCTCTGCCTCCCAGAGTGCTGGGATTACACTGATTGTCCTGCTTCTACAGTCTAAGATCTGGGATTACTTGCATTTGCTTTTGTTTGCTGCTTATGGCTGTCTGCTATTATCTATTCTGCCCATTTACCCATTCATTCATTCATTCATTCATTCATTCATTCATTCATGTTTTTTCAAGGTAGTGTTTCTCTGTGTAGCTGTGGCTGTCCTAGAACTAGCTCTATAGACCAGGCTGGCCTTGAGTTTAGAGATCCACCTGCCTCTGCCTCCTGAGTGCAAGGGGTTAAAAGACGGGCACCACCATACTCAGCTTATGATTGTGTGATTTATAAGCATTAGAATACTATTCTCTTGTTGTTTACCATTACAAGAAATATTACATGTGGAGGCCTGTGAGATGGCTCAGAGGGTAAAGGTGCTTAAAGTTGATGCCAAAGAGAAAAACAACTATTGTTAGTTGCTTTCTGATCTCCACATGTGCACTATAGTAAAACACACACACACACAAAGTATTTGAATAAGTAAATAAGTGAAAATTATTTTTTTCAAAGAGATTATATATTAAGGAAAACTTGGTAAAGTGGCAAATACCTGTAATGCCACCACTTAGGCGGTAGATATAGGTCGATAGATTCAGAAGTTCAAGATTGCCCTTGTCTACCTAGTAAGTGTGAGGCCAGCCTGTTACATTAGGCCGTCTCCGCCAAAAGAAAAAGATATCACGCAGAAAGCAGAATAGCTTAGCTCTAAGTTGTAACTCTTTTTCCATCGTAACTGTCAGTGAGTCATCTAAGATGTTGGAAGCCAGGTGTTCTTCTTTATCAGGGTTAATCGTAATACTTTTTATTACATGTATTGATTTTGTGTCTTGTTTGCATGTGGGAGATAGCTTTTCAGGGAAAAGAAACCTGCCATGCACTTCTGACAAGTTGTGTGTTAAATCCCCCAACCCTGAAAGGTTAAGGGAGAGAACCAGCTGCACAGAGCTGTCTTCTGACCTCCACTTGCATGTGATAGGACATGTGGACACTCATGCACACTCACATGCATGCACACAAATGATAATAAATAATTAAAATTTAAAAGTAAAAGAGGGCTGGAGACGCACTCAGCCATTAGACACTAAGGCTTAGAATAACAACAGAATGTCCAAGAAAAAGAAAAAAAAACTGAATCTTAATTGTTAAGTGGATTAATATTTTGTAGGAAAAGACAGATGTTACATGTAAATGCCTTATGTGTTAAAATATAGATATCTTTGCTAAGTTTTGGAGTATTGTCTGTTTTATGTTCCTAGATACATGTCCTTCTGAGGAAAATGAAAGTGAATACAACATGGAATCGATACCCTCTTTTTCACCGAATACAGATGACAGTACAGGGTTAACATCCAGTGAAAAGGCAGAGACGAGAACAGAGCCCATCTCTTCCCCATGGTATTTTCCATCTCTTAACTGGCTTTATCTGCATCTTCTATTGATTCCTGAGAGAGGAGTGTTAAGTCTCCAACTGTCATTGTAGATTTATGCTTCTTTTTCTGTTGTTTTCCTTCACTTTTTTTTTTTATTTTCAAACCTTTTTGTTGGGCTCTTAAATAACCAGGATTGTTGTGTGTTGATCAATATTTGGAAAGATTTGTTTTATTACTTACTTGTGCATGTGTGTGTCTGGATATGTGCACATGATTGGGCAGGTGTGTACAGAGCTCTTGAGTCCCCGGAACTGGAATTATGGCTGATGGTGACTGCCTGATAGAGATGCTGGGAGCTGAGCCTGAGACCTGCAAGAGCAGGATGTACTCCTAACTGCCAAGGTGCTTCTCCAGCCTCTTGGCTAATTTTCTTATTGTAATCATGGTATGTTATGTTCAGGCTCGGGGTGCTTGTGCACACCTAAAATCCCAGCCCCAAGGATGCCAAGGCAGGAAGATTATAAATTGAGGGTTAGCTTGGGCTAACCCAGCAGGGTCTAGGTTTCCTTGGTGTGCTCAACGCAGATACGCACACAAACAGCTCTTCCTTTTGTAGCCTCCCCGGTGCTGGGATTACAGGCATGGACCACCATATAAAAAGCCAGGTGGAGTGGCACATACTGATAACCCCAGTGTAGAGAGGCAGAGATGAGATAGTTTCCTTGGACTTGCTCACCAGCCTTCCTAGACTACTTGGTGAGCCTCAGGTCAATGAAGACCCTCTAAAAAAAAACACAAGGTGGCTATTTTCTGAACAGTGAGAAGAGGTTTCACATCATATACATGTGCACACACAAACATACATACACACAGTATCTTTTAGTGTTATGAAAATTTATTTCTAGGAATTCTTTTCCTCCTGATACATTTTTCCCTTTCTTAGCAAACAACAAGACATCATGTCACTAGCAAGTGAGTACTCAGAGTCGAGTGTTGCAGATTTGCCTGTGTCGGGAGCTGGAAAGGCTGCCTCTTGTGAAGGAGAAAGTGCTGAAAGCACCTGTACAGAAGGGAGACGTCCAGACCTGAAGAACAAGTCACCGTAAGTACTCCATACAGTAAGACGTCTTGTAAACAGTTGATAAGATTATGAAACTTTTTTTTTTTTTCTGGTTCTGAGATTAAACCCAGGACCTCACACATGCTGTCAAGTATTCTAGGATTAAAGGCTGAGCTGTGTCTTCAGCCTTTGATAACTTTTTCTTAAAAGATACATATTATTTTAAATTGTGTGTGTGTAGGTCTGTGTGTGTATGTTTATGTGCATGTGTATGCCAGACCCTCTTGGAGTTAAGTTAGAGACGGTTATGAGCTGTCCTCTGTGGTGCTGGGAACCAAATCCAGGAACTCTTAACTGCTGAGAGGCATTTCTCCATCTCCTTGAGAAAGCTCTCAAATAACATTTAGGGAGTAGAAGGGACTCTTAATGTGTAGCTCACTTAGTAATTTTACTTTGGTCTCTTAATCACTTGTCATTAAAAAAAAAATTGACTTTTTTTTTTTTTTTCTTTTTTTCCCTCTTGGGGGGAAAATAAAACTTTTTGTTTTATTAGGGTAAGGAAAATGTAGCTGTCCATGGTAGCACATGCCTTTAATTCCAGCACTTGGGAGGCAGAAGCAAGGAGGATCTTTGACTTCCAGGCCCACAGCCTGGTCTTCATAGTGAGACCCTGTCTCCAAAAAAAAGGGGGGGGGGATGCTGGGTGGGCCTGACAGCCTACCCATAATTAGCAAGCACTAGGTTTGATTGAGAGACCCTGCCTCAAAGAATAAGGGAGAAGAGTGATTGAGGGAGAGTCCTGACACCAGATTTGGGTCTCTTCTTAGTTATGGCTCTCCACAGGAACAGAGCTTACGGGGTGAACGAACATACATATATACATGCCTGCATGAATGTATGCGTAATGCATACATGGACATATATAGATATACACAAAAAGGAATTTATTAAAAAGGCTTACAGGCTGTGATCTAGCTAGTCTCCAGCAATGCTGTCTGTCTGTGGAAGGTTCAAAAATTCAGTAATAGTTCAGTCCACAAGGCCACATGTCTCAGCTGATGTTTAGTATATTCTGGAATCCTCAAGAAGTAGACTCTAATGTCAGTGAAGGAATGGACTTGCCAGTGAGCACAAGCTCTTCATCACAGAAAAGGTGTGGCCCTGATTTAAGGTGCCTCCCCCATCTCTAAAGATCTGGATTAAAGGTATAGCTTCCTACCTCAAAGGTCCAAATTAAAAGTGGGCCTTCCTACTTCAAATTGTTTAAGAAAAGACTCTGTCGAGGGTATATGTAGCCATTTGGATTTTAGTTAATTCCAGATGTAGTCAAGTTGACAACCAAGAATAGACGCCAGGCCTGTGCAACCACCCACACACAAACATGAATACACATGTACACCACATGTGTATGAAAGGAAAACACCTGTTCAGCTCATGCTTATTTTCAGAGAAAGCATGCCATATTTAGAATAAAAAAATCTAAAATTAATTTTTGAAATAAAATGTATTTGGTTAAACATCAAAAAGTATAAGAAGACACAGAGGAAAGTCTCCTCCATCTTGTCTTCTCTATCTTAACAAGTGACTGTGTTACTTCTTTTAGACACTTCTTAAATGTATATTGAAACAAATACAAGTTTCTTAAAAATATTTACAACCTAATTGTAGCATACTCATATTTGCAGGGTTCCCCCTACCCCCATACATTTCTGTAAAAATTACTTTTTGTTTTCTTTTTTCCTTTTGGTTTTTTAAGACAGGGTTTTTCTGTGTAGCCTTGGCTGTCCTGGAACTCTCTCTGTAGACCAGCCTGGCCTCGAATTCAGAGAGATCCACCTGCCTCTCCCTCCTGAGCACTGGGATTAAAGGAGTGTGCCACTACTGCCTGGCTGTAAGAGTATTATTTTTATAACTTCATAGTGTTTCATTGTATGACTGTATTCTAGTTTGTGTTGTTTGTTCTCTACTCATGACCACGTACGTTGTTTATACAAACAGCACTTAAGATCTTATGCCAGATTGCAAGTATGTTTTTAAGTGAAGGTTTCAAAAATGAAAGTGATTCTGTAAAGGATGTGCATCTGTGTGTGCCTGTGTGGTCGCGAGTGTGTTCCATAGGGCACATGTAAAGGTCTGAGGACAAGTTTGTGGGAGCTGGTGCTGTCTTGTCATGAGTTTAAGGGATTAGCCTCTTGATGGGAAATGGCTTAATCCATAAGCCATCTCTGTATGGCCCTGAGGTTTTGATTTTTATGTTACCAGATTTTTAATTTTTTTTTTTTTTTTACTTTTTATGAAATCTTAGATTTATTTCATCTTAAGTTCATAAAGTAACTTTCCTTGTTTGCATTGTCTTCATTTAAATATTTGATCCACTAGAACTATATTATCAGCATAGTACAAGGGACGGAGCAAGCTCTATTTTATTCCTTACACAATTTTCCCATCAGAATTCAGTTTTTTTTTGTTATGGTTATTTTAGTGTTTTGAGACAGGGTCTCGGTATGTAATCCTGGCTGTCCTGGAACTTGCTGTGTGTTTCAGGCTGGCCTCAGACTTGGAGAGATACACCTGCCTCTTCCTTCTGAGATCTGAGTTTAAAGGTGTACCCCGAGAAACGAATTCTGTGTTGTGTGTTTCAACTTTTCTATTTTGAGACATGATCTGTTCTGTGTTCTAAAATCTTATCTGTTTTGGAATCATTTTCTATTTTGTTTCATTTACCTGTTCATACATTCTTTGGTACCACTGTGTATATAAATTACTAATGTTGATGCTATATTTTTAACATTAGATAGGATAAATCTATTTTTTCAGGGTTTCTTTTTGTTCTTGTTATTCTAATCCTCAGTAAGCTTTAAGGAGCTCTTTTAAATTCCAACTGTCTTTTTTTCCAGCTTTTTGGAGTTTCATTTAATCATGATTACATGTTGCAATGCAAATAAAATCCTCTTTTTTTTTTTTTTTTTCTTTAAAGAGAGACTGAACAGGCAGAAAATGTTAAACCAAAATCAAGAAGTCGGCTCCAGAGACCTAAACCTAACCTGTCCAGAGCAGTTGGGAAGAAATCAGTTGTTTCACAAGATAAACAAGATGAAAGAAGCAAGAATTCACCTTCAGAAACTTCAACTGAAAAGGTGTGGCTCTTATTTTCACATAATCTTTTATGTGAAATATTTTCTAAGTAATCACAAAATATTTTCTCAGTAATCACAAGTAAAATATTTAGCTTGTAATTTCAAACTATTGTTAGCAATTGAAAATCATAAAAACCAAAAATTATATTTGTTTTTATTAGTCTTTGTATCATGTGTTTACTTTAGAAGGTGGGCTATAACATTTGAAAAAAATATGACAAATTTGATGTTTGTTTGCTATTGGGGAATATGCCTAGCTCATGCTAGGCAAACATCCTACCACTGACCTTCATCCCCCAGCTCACTTTTTTTAATTGCATAAAATGGTTATTCACAATATTTCCTGTGTGTGTGAGATTTCATGTTTGTGTTGCATGCATGTGTGGGTACATACGTGTGCACATGTGTGTAGAGATCAAAGGTCAGCTTCAGTGTTGTTTCTCCATCTGGCTTGCTTCTTCAGGTGGGTTTTCTTTTTTGACTGAGGCTTTCCAGTTAAGCTAGCATGGCTGATGAGTGGTATCCTCCTTTCCAGCACTGTCTCACTGGCCACAGGTTTTTTTTTTTGTTTGTTTGTTTTGGGTTTTTTTTGTTTGTTTTTTTTTAATTGTTGTTAAATTAGTAAGTAAATAATTTTGTAAATGTGGTTTTATTATTTTTGAGTCAGGGTCTCACTGTATAGCCCTGGTTGGCCTGTAAATCAAATCATTGTGAAGACCAGGCTGTCCTGGAACAGAGCTCCAACTGCGTCTGCCCTCTGCCTCCTGAGTGTTGGAATTAAAGGGATGTGCCACCATTCATGGCAAGTAGGACTTTCTTGTGGAAAAAAAAATTGTTACTGTTGTGATTATTGTTCAAAGTATTGTTCAGAGTATTTGTATGACTGTTACTATGTACTGCTAAAAGAGTCTATGCTATGATCTGCATTAAATAAATGTTCCTAGGCTGGGGAGATGGCTCAGCAGTTGAGAGCAAGTGCTGTTCTTTAGTAAGACCTGGATTCTGTTCCTAGCCCTCACATCAGGTAGTTCACAACCTTTTGTTCCAGGACAGTCTCACTTCTGGCCTTCTCAGGCACACGCACACACAGGCATACAAGTAGACATAGATAAATAGTAAAATAAATCTTTTTTAAAAGTAGGTCCTATTTTCCATCACAGGCAACAGATTAAAGAAAAGTGGCTGTTTACCCCCCTGAGGGGGTGGGAAGAAAGAAAAAAATAGGTCCTATTTATTTATATTTCTGTGAGTTACAGTCTTAAAATTGTTTTAAGTATTTTCTCAATCACTTAAAATGCTGTTTAGGTTTTTTTCTTTTTTTTCCTCATATCTGAACTATTATGTATGAGACTCAGTGTCTCACAAGTGCTGCTGAGTGCCACACCACTGACCTTCGTCTTGACTTGTCTGGGGAAATACACTCTTTATTTGTGTGCTTCTTTGGCAGTTCTGCACATGGTAGGCAAGTGCCTTTTCGTGAGCTGTGTCCTGTAACCCTTTCATTGTTAAACCACTCTAATCTAGTACAGTTGGAACTTTGTAAACAGTTACCTGCCACAGCACACGCACACGTAGGTTAGAGGACAGCTTGTAGACTTGACTCTCTCTGAGGCTTGTGGGGATTAACCTCAGGTCATTAGGTTTGCTGGCATGTTCTCTGACTCACTGAGCCATTGTGCTGGCCCAGATTTTATGTAGAAAATTTGGAAGTACAGATTTAAGATTCAGAACAAAAATGACTTATACTTTTATTATTTACGTGCAGCCAGCCTTTTCACATCTGTCTTTCCAAGTTCCTGTTTTCTTCCCTGAGCATCAAGCCTTGACAGAGGGTGAGGCAGCCTCCCTTCCCCATTGAGCTATATATTCAGTGCCTTTAGGTACTTGAAATTTATAAATTTCTTTTCAGTGTTATCTAAACATCTTTAGAAAACATCTTTTAGTAGTACTTTAGCAATGTAATATAACTGCATTTGTTTAACCATTCTTCCGTTGTTGGAAATCTTATGGTAACAATGTAGGCCATTTTATATAATACTGTGGTGAACATTCTAGTACTTGCATATTTTTAAGTTTAGTTACATTTTCAAAAAGTGCGTGGTGTGTGCAGGGATGGGATCAGAGGATAGATAGCTTGCCAGAAAGTTGCTTTCGCTTTCCGTTAGGTGTATTTTAGAGGTTAAGGTCAGGCTGTGATCTATTCCTTTTTTTTTTTTTTTTTTGAGACAAGGTGTATAACTCTAGATTGCCTGAAACTCTCTGTGTAGCCCAGACTAGCCTCAAACCCAGAGAGATCTGCCTGCCTCTGCCTCCCAAGTGTTGATATTAAAGATAAATGCTACCATACCTGATATTTTCAGTTACTATTACATTCTAAAATGATTTTAGTGGTCAAAGAATATGTATGATTTAAAGGTTCTTCATATTGGCAGGGCCTTCTAACAATGTTTTATAATATTTATAATATTTATAATATTTATAATATAATATTTTCATCAGTAATTTAGAATATTTAGAAAAATGCTTTATAAACATAAAACATTCAAGATTAGTTTAATTCCCATTCAGTGGAATGTTTTATTGTAATTAGCTCAAATGTGAAAAAATTACATTTACAGAATCACATGGAAAAGGAGAGAGTGAATATATCTGAAAATTTTGGAGCAGAGATTACAGAAAGAGAAAACCCTAGTGCTGAAGCTGTGTCTGAGTGAGTACTTGGCAAGAAATGGCTCTCAGGAGTGGTTGTAATTAGTAGTTTTCAATTTAAGAAAGTCTGAATTTTCAAGTAGGGTCCTTTTTCTATTTTCATTGTAAATAGTAGCAAGAACTTTTACCAGCACTCTGTGTGCTTGATATTATAGATAGACATGATGGTGTGGGTAGGGCTAGGGCCGAGTCTGATTGGCTAGGATGTGCAGAACTCTGGGTTCAGTCAGGAATCCCACATAAGCTAGGTGTGGTAGCATATGCTTGCAATGCCAGCACTGGAGGTGCAGAGGTGAGGATCAGACATTGAAGTTTACCCTCATCTACAGAAGGATTTTGAGGCCGTCCTGTGACACAGGAGACCAGTCTCAAAAATGAGTAAATAAGATTTCTAAATGTTCATATAAATCCATTGACTTGCCAGTTTTGTACTTTGTTCAACATACTAATCTTTGCTAATAAGTCTTGTTAAATAAATGAATGATTAAGATATGTCTATGGATGATTATATGTGTATCAAGTGATTTCTAAAGGAAACCTCCAAATGTGGTTGTAATCAGTAGATTTTGGGCTGATAGGGGTATGCTATTCTATAAGTTAGCACTAATTCCCTGGTATACACATTGATGTCCTAAAAGAAATACTAGTATCACATGTTAACAGTTAACAGTTTTTTTTATGTGCGATTTTGATGCTTTTTAAATATTTAAGTTTTTCCATGCAACATTTATGACTATATTGAATTACACTTTCTCACAGTTTTTTCTATGCAACATTAATGAATACATTGAATTACATTTTCTCAAATGGGAAAGGGAGCATAGGGTAACATTTTTCTTTGGTTCACCTAAGAATCTCATTATTAGAGAATTCACTCTTACTATGTCTGGTACTTATATCTGTAAAGTCGACAACACTGCTTACTGAAGAAAATTTCTCTAAGCTGTTCCTCAGGGTCTTAGCTCAAGGTACTCACCTAATTCTCCTCACGTGGTTTTTAGCACTTGCCCCTGTGTTTCTTCATTATTATGCATATACAGGGGGATATGTTTTATGTAGTTATAGAGTATGTCTGAAAATGGTGCTAATAGTGTATGGTTTTCTTAACATCACCTGTCAGAGTCAGTTCTGCTTTGCAGTTATATTTTCAGTTACATCATTGTTGTTGATGGGGAAGGCATATTGGCAGAGGCAGATTTGTCTGTTGACAGGGTTATGATGTGGATTTTATAGCTAGGCTTACGTGATTGTCCCTTTGAAAGATTAGCCTGTAGAAGTGTAGTGAGTATCTTTCAAGATGTTCTCAAGATACTTGGAAAATACTTTCTATTTAATATGATTTACTTATGTTAATAGCAAGCAACTTTGTGACTTTGCTGTAATCATTGCTTTCATTTCTTTGTAATTATAGCTTGAGTGAAAAATCTTGTGTACAGGAAGATAGTCAACCAAAGATCTTAAGACCTGCACGACTAATGAGGAGCCGAATGCAAAGACCAAGGCCAAATGTAGAGAGATCTGCAGAAAGAAAAGAAATTCTCACTCTGCAGGAAAAAATTGAGGCCCATGTAGAGAAGAGTAAAGATGAGTCCTGTGTTGACAGAGAAAAAAATGAATCTTGTGTTGCGGTTAGTATGTTGATTCTGATAACATTTATTAAGCAAGTATATATGCCTTAATGTAAGCTTTCTGCTCTTTTAAAATGTGTGTGTGTTTATGACGTTTGTGGCCAAAATCTTTAGTGAGGAGTTTTGTTTACGTTACGCCATTTTAGGTGTTTAGCATTGTGCGCTGCTCTTTGCTCTCATCTTACTTCATATCTAGACTTGGTTTTTCTTATGCGTGAGATTGAGCCCAGGCCCTCAGGCACGCTAGACATACACTCTACTCTTGAGCCATAATCTTAGCCTCCTAAAAAAAATAGTCGTGTATGTGAATGTTAGCATTGGCTTAAATAAAATATTGAAAATGTTTCTTTCTGCTCTTGGGAGGTCCTGAGTTCAATTCCTAGCAACCGCATGGCGGCTCACAACCATTTGTAATGTGATTTGATGCCCTCTTCTGGTGTGCAGGTCTGGTATGCAGGTGTACATGAAGATACATACACTCATATACATAAAATAAATACATATTTAAAAAAATAAAAATAAAATGTTCCTTTCAAGCATAATTCCATAAAAAGAAATAATGAACTGTGTGTATGTGTGCCTGTGATATTAAGACCAAACCCAAGGTTTCTTTCCCTAAGTAAACACTCTTGCTACAGAACTATATCTCTGGCTCATAGAGTTTTCAATTATTTATATAGTCCTTGGAAGAAAAGAAGTTATCAGGACTTAAGATTTGCTTTTCTTCTGTTATAGTTTTCTTTCTTATATCTTATTTTATTATTTATTATATTATATTTTATTTTAAATTATATGTGCATTGATGTTTTGCCTACATGTCTGTGTATGAGGGTGTCAGATCCCCTGGAATGGGAGTTACAGATAGTTGTGCCATGTGGATGCTGCGAATTGAACCTAGGTCCTCTGAAGGAACAACCAGTGCTCTTAAACTCAGAGCCATCTCTCCAGCCCTTATTTTTTATATATTAGACAGAATCTTATGTAGCTCTGGCTGGCTTCTACCTCACTGCATAATTGAGTATAACCTTGAACTCTGATCCTCCTGCCTCCACCCAAGTGCTAAGATTGTTGGCACCTGCCACCATACCCATTTTTTATGTGGTGCTGTGGATTGAATCAAGGACTTTGTACATTCCAGGCGAGCGCTCTTTCCAACTGAGCTACATCCCTAGCACTGTCTTCGGTTGTTTCTTATAGTCTCTAATATACTCATAACAATAAGAATGTAGAAATACAAACACTGGAGGATTCTGACAAATGAGGTGGAAACAGACTGAAATAGATTAGTCTCAAACATTGCTTTCTGATCGGACAGAAGAGATTAGGACTTTGAGACGTAAAGGTGTGGCTTATAGAATTTTCTTAGCTAAAGGAAAAACATTAAAACGTGGTTTTGACTTACTTTATAATTTTGACCTTTTCTTTTTTTAACCATTTTATTTATACTCAAATGAGATGGGATCTTTTGTAATTTTGTAATTAGGTTGTTCTCAAATTCTCTGTGTAGCCTAGGCTAGTTTAGGAATGTGATCTTCCTGCATTTACTTTCCAAGTGTTGGAATCATGCATCTTCATACTGGCTAAGGTGGATTTTTCAGTAAAAATTTTTAAAGTTTTGTGTTTTGTTGTGAAATCTAAAATATGACAAACTTTGTTATTAAGATTGCTCAACAAATGGGAAAAGAGTCACATAATAACCTCCAGTGTGAAGATACAGTGTCACAGCCTGAACAAAAGAATACTTTGGAAGATGTGCAGTCTGATGAGCCCAGAGCTGTTAATGAGTGTCCAAGGTAAGAATTGTTTGCTTGGTTACATAATTGTGACATTTTCACGAAGGCCTTAGAGCTCAATAACTTGTTTTAAACAAATCAAATTAGTTATACTTACTTATTCTGTGATTTTAGACAGGTGGAGTGTGTGCATGCCACAGCCTGCTTGTGGGGTCACTGAACAGCTTTGGGTAGTCGGCTCTCCCCTCCCACCCTGCTTTACCTGGGAATGGGATTGAGGTCATTAGGCTTGGAAGCACTTTAGCTCCTGCTGTCTCACTGGCCCTGCAAAAACATGGCCTCTCTATTTTATGTTTAAAAATAGTAAAGGTGCTAGAGAGAAGGCTCACCTGGTAAGATTGCTCACTGCTCTTTCGAGGGGCCAGGTTCTACCCCACCACTATGCCACCCAGCTCACACACACAGCTGACTGCAATTGCAGTTGTAAGGGGCACCAGAATCTATGTGGTAAATATAAACCCACATACATATAGAAATATTTATTTTTAAAAAAACACCTGAAGGGTTGGCAGGATGGCTCACTGAGTAAAGAGGCACTGATGGCCTGAGTCCATCTCTGCATCCTTACGGTGGAACAAGAGAACCAGTTGTCCTCTGACCTCGATGTGCATGTGCCCCACTCTACCGTTAAAGAGGTGCAAGTAAGAGTGCGTTACCACTATATATAGCTTTATATTAAAATAAGAATAACTTCTCAAGAATAACTTCTCAAAGTCCTAGCTTTCATGTTAGTTCCTATGTTATAGGTGATCTGAAGAAAGCTATTTAATATAAACTAGGATTTGAGTTAATAGGAATAACTTTTTCATATAATATGCATATATTATCTAGGTGTCTGTATCCAAATAGAAATGCAACTTTTTGGTAATATTTGATTTTCTAAAATTAGGTTAGTTAGATGTAGATCCCATCTTCTCATAGCCAGAGTTCCTGTTTACCACACCAGATTGATGGAATTGTTAGGATGTTTATAGTGTGATTGTCTTAGTTAGGGTTTCTATTGCTGCAACAAAACACCAGGACCTGAAAGCAAGTTGGGGAGCAAAGGGTTTATTTAGCTTATACTTCCACATTGCTGTTCATAAACTAAGGAACTCAGGACAGGAACTCAAACAGGGAAGGAATCTGGAGGCAGGAGCTGATGCAGAATCCATGGAGGGGTGCTGTTCCCTGGGTTTCTTTCCATGGGTAGTTCAGCTTGCCTTTTTAAAGAGCCCAGGACCAGCAGCCCAAAGATGGCACCACCCACCATGGGTTGGGACGCCCTCCATTGACCACTAATTGAGAAAATACCTTACAGCTGGATCTCATGGAAGTATTTTCTCAACTGAGGCTCCTTCTTCTCTGATGACTCTAATTAGTGTCAAGTTGACACACAAAACCAGACATTACAGTGGTATTGTTGAAGTACATAGATGCTTGGATTTCCATGGATCTGTTCTCTGATTTTACATTTACAGTCTGGCCTATGATATACTAGTTTGAAGTATAGGCTAGGTTTCCTTCACTTCAAGAATTTCTGGGGCTGGAGAGATGGCTTAGTGGTTAAGAGTCCTGGCTGCTCTTTCTGAGGTTCTGAGTTCAATTCCCAGCAACCACATGATGGCTCACAGCCATCTATACTGGGGTCTAATGCCCTCTTCTGGCATGCAGGTGCAGATGCAGTCAGAGATCTCCTATATATTAAATAAGTAAATCATAAATAAATAAATCTAGCCAGCCATAGTGGCACATGCCCGTAATCCCAGCACAAAGGCAGGCAGATCACTGTCACTGTGAGTTCGATGCCAGTCTGGTCTACAAAGTGAATCCAGGACAGCCAAGGCTGCATAGAGAACCCTGTCTCAACAACAAAACCAAACAAAGTTTTTTGTTGTTGCTTTTTGTACCATCTATTTCTTGTTAGTGCTTCTTTAGCTTTTTCACTACTACTATGCCTGTAGAACTGCATTCCTTTCATATCTCTGATGATAGATTTGGAAATACCTGACAGACTGGTTTTGTATTTATATTATGTAGGTTTAAGTGAGACTCCTTTAAGTATGGTGTTTTAGACAAAAATTAAGTTGGGAGTGTCTATTATGTTTTAGAACCTTGGTTAATTTTAAAAATTTGTTTATTTTTTTGAGAGGGGGGTCTCATGTAGCACAGGGTGGCTTTGTACTCACGATATAGATGAGAATGATCTTGATCTTCTTTCTGATCCTCCTGCCACCACTTCCCATGCAGTTGGATTGTAGGTGCATACTGCCTTGACCAGTTTTCTGGATATTTGTAACTAATAACCACCGTGGTTTTAACAACTTCCCTCTGTAAGTCTGGCTGGCCTTGAACTCAGATTTGCCTGTCTCTACCTCCTGAGTGCTGGGATTAAAGGTGTGCACCACAACCATCCCTAAACTTTCCTCTCTAAAGGCAGTGTCTTTACTGCTTTACCATGTGATATTTCTGACCTTTAACATCTGGGAGCCTTGGAAACAATTCTAAGGTTCTGTTTTTTACCTACCTGATTTTGTTCCTGAGTATAGAAAACACACAGTTTTCCCCTTTCCCTACTCTGAACACTGTTCAAGATTCTGTCAGAGAAGGGAAGAAATCTCAATGAGGAATGTTTTAAAGATTCTCAGATAAAGTACTATTGTTTCTCTGAAACTTACTCTAGGATATTTAAAATCTTACATATGTCAGGTAAATATAGATGCTTATATTTGGAGGTGATTTGAGCCAGTTTGATTGTTAGCAGCAAACTCATGGAACTGAGGATGACCATAAACTTCCATTCTTCCACTCTCTTCCTTCTTGGTACTGGAATTATGGATATGTGGGCAAGCACTTGACTTATTTCTGTCAGCTAGTTCATGATAAATAAATGTTCAGGGGCTCAGGTCATCAGGCTTGGTGGCAAGTACCTTTAGTTGCTGTGCCATCTTGGGGCCTAACATTCTTTGATGGTTTCATACATGTATGCAGTATAAGTTGATCTCATCCACTCCTGCCTTTTTCTATTGCTCCTGCACTCTCCTCCCCAACTATTTATACTCCCCCTTCTATTTCTCTCTTCATGTCTATTCCTGTTTTGTTTGTTTGCTTTTGGTAACCCCATGAGTCCAGTTAGGGCTGCCTGCTGGAATGTTAACTGGTCTTGTTAGCTTAATCTTGTGCAGGTAGCCAAAGCTACAGTGAGTTGTAAGGCATTATCTCAATTAGATCAACAGGGGTGGGCCCAGCCCATTGTGGGTCTTGCCATCCCTAGGCTGTAGTCCTGGGTTCTGTATGAAGGGCTGAGCAGGCAGGCATGGTGGCACACGCCTTTAATCTTAGCACTTGGGGAAGCAGAAGCTTGTGGATCTCTATGAGTTTGAGGACAGCCAAGGATATACAGAGAAACTTTGTCTTGAAAAACTAAAACTAAAAATTAAAAAAAAGAAGAAGAAAGAAACAGAAACAAAGCAAGCAAGCAGTCTGAGCAAGCCATGAGGAGCAAGCAAGCAAAGCAGCTCCCTCCGTGGCCTCTGCATCAGCTTCCGCCTCCAGGTCCTTGTCCTGCTCGATTTCCTGTCCCGGCTTTCTCCAGACACGAACTATGAACATCTGGAAATTAAGCCAAATAAACCCTTTCCTCCCCAACTTGCCTTTTGGTTTTTGTTGCAGCAACAGAATCCCTAACTAAGTTATCAGGACTCACGTTATGAAAGTTAAGTTGTTTCACACAGGAAAGATTGGTAACTAATGAAATGTGCACAGGCTATAGCATAGTCCTCCTCTCTCTCTCCTTTTCTCTCTCTATCTCTCTGTGTGTGAGAGACATTTTTACTTTGCCTTTTGTTTTTCAGCTTTGATATAGTGGTCCTAGACAGACATTTCTTGTCCTGCTTAGTGGTCCCCGCTTATTTGTTGGTGGGAGGTGGTTTGCCACTCTAGTGGCCCGCTGAATTTCCCTTTACCTTCCATGGGCTATCATCTTCCAGAGCAGACAACATGAGGCTTCTTAGTTACTCCAGAGAGGCTTTAGCATTTCTGTTGTTGATAAGTGCCATGGGAGGTTGATCTGATTACTTAACTTTTACTCAGGCATCTTTTCCAAAGGAAAGTAAATGTTGAAGTTCTTTCTCGTAAAAAGTGATGGTTGTTTTTTTCATTAATACCTCTTTTCAAAAGTATATTACTCTCTCGTTTTTTTTTTTTTGTTTTGTTTTGTTTTTTTTTCCATTTTGGTTTTTCCGAGACAGTGCTTCTTTGTATAGCCCTGGCTGTTTTGGAACTCAAATTGTAGATAGGCTGGCCTCAGAGATTTGCTTGCCTCTGCCTCCCAAGGCATGTGCCACCACTGTACAAAAATATATTATTTTTAATGGGCGTAGTCATTATAATTACAGAGTACGGTGTTGACATTTTAATTCATATATACAAACATACAGTTGTCAGATTAGGGTAAGTAATACATCTGTTACCATAGACATTTTTTGTTTGTTAAGAATGTCTCAGTTCCTCTCTATTAGCTATTTTGAATTAGTGAGTATTCCTGAGCCATAGTTATTCTCCTGTGGTTTGTTGTGTGACAGATTTTTGCTGGGGAGATGTAGCACAATCAACATCTAATCACCCCAGATAGGGAGCCAACAACAGACCAGAGTAAATGTTGCACCAGGGACAGTTGGGTGAACTGATGGGTTTATTGTGGTTGCTGATGGGTGAGGGGTTACTTACAGGAAAAGAAATGGCTCAAAGACAGCTGCATCACTGAAGTCCATCCCAGCGTAGCCAGAGACACAGTGCACAGCCTACAGGCCACTCAGCAGGTCGCACAGAGCACATCAGCTGCTCTGGGCTCTCCTTTTCCAGGGGTGGGAAGGCTGGGCTGGATCTCTCTGTGTCTCTCTCTCTCTCTCTGTGTGTGTGTGTGTGTGTGTGTGTGTGTGTGTGTGTGTGTATTCATGTGCTTTGGCATGTATGGTAGTAGAGAACAGCTTTCACAAGTCTCCTTGGATTCTGGGAATCACATTTATGTTATCAAGTTTGCAGAGCAAGCAATTTTTACCTCTGAGCCCAAACTTTCTGTCCCAAAACTTTCTAAAGCTTAGTATATGGCTATGCAGTTGTTCAGCCTGACCTGCTGAATAAATGTGCTGTTTGACTTGGTGTACCCAAGAGTAGTGACTTTTTTCCTCCCCTGCTTTCCCATCTTCTTTCGCTTCTTTCCTTCTTCTACCACTGTCTTTCCAGAGTCTGGGTAAGTAGCCCAGGCAGTCCTCAGGTTTGTAATCCTCCTGCCTCCACATCGTAATGCTGGGATTTCAGCTTACACAGTTCAATGATCTTTCTTCTTTATTTCTTCCTCTTTCTCCCACCTACCCATCCCCCATTCTTCTAGATGCCATGTAGTATTGTCTGCCCTGGAGCTGGCTGTGGAGACCAGGCGGGGGCTGAAGTCACAGAGGTCCACTTGCCTCTTCTAAAGCTGCGTTCTGTTTCACCCACTGATGACCCTGCTTAATAACTCCCTTATATATTTACTGGTTTTGCAATCTATTGTGATGACTAAAATGCAAAACAAAGAATGCAGCTGTTTGTTCTTCTGGAGAGCAAGTGCTTTGTATAAATGGTTGTATGCTCAGCATAATTCACAAAATACTGTTTTCTGTGTTTTTCTATGCTTTCTTGATAGCATGTGCTCTTAAAGAATTGTAGTAACACACCTTAACTTGTCTTGTAAAAGGAGAAAGAGAAGACTTGTTCTTAATCATAAGGCATTTTCTTATTTGAGTCATACTCCTTCTAGGTGTTGAGATCATCAGCTCTGTTATGACTGAATATGTCTAGGTAAATGATAATAAGAGTAAACAGGTAAAAGTAGCAGACACACATTGAGCTAGTACCACTGCAAATTTCTGCAGAGTTTTTCCTAGCCATTGTTTGCCTAAGATGAAGTAAGAATTGCAAATGGTCATTGTAGGTACTATTCAAGGACAATTAGCTAATGTTCTCATTGACCTCGTTAAGAGTTCTATACATAAATAGATATAGTTAATTACTAAAAAGTTCTGTTGTCATTTCAACAAATTTGATTGTTCTTTTTAAATTTTTACTTCTACCTAGTTAGACATTCTTGGGACTTGGTTAATTTTCTTCTTTTTTTGATGTTGTGGGTAAACTTTGGGCCTATATCAATATGTGTTCTACCACTGAGCTACAGCTTTAGTTCCTCCATGTGCTTCTTTTTTAGAAGGAAAGAAAGTCAGTCAGAGTCAGTCCAGGGTCTCTTTGTGTAGACCAGGCCGTCCTAGAACTCTCTTTGTAAACTCACAGAGATCCATCTGCCTCTACCTCCTGAGTGCTGGTATTAAAGGTGTGTGCTACCACCCTGAGTCTTAATTGCCATTAGAGCTTTATTTGATTTTTATTTTGATTTTGATTTTGATTTAGCTATTTGTTTTGAGACAGGATTCCTTTGCGGAACCCTGGCTGTCCTGGAAATCACTCTGTAGACCAGCTGGTCACAATGTCACAGAAGATCCTCCTGCTTCTTCCTCCTGAGCTCTGGGATTGAAGGCATATGCCACTTTGTTTAGCCATTTTGTCTTTTTAAAAATTTTTGAGGTTTTAGTTTTCTTAACTGTTACCTGTTTATCTGGATTAAAATTTGTTTGTTTGTTTGTTTCCTTTTTTTAGTATTCAAGAGGGTAATAAAGTAAATAAAGCGAAAAAAACCCCAGTTTTAAGGATTAGATTTCAGAAACCAAAACCAAATACAGGAAGAAGAAGAGGGTCTTCCAGGGAAGGGATTGCAGAGGAGATTCCGGTTTCTGGAGAAGTAATACCAACTTTGGAAGAAATTGCAAGACTAGACACATCACCAAGGGAGAAGGCACCAAATGTAGCTATTGCTACTCTTATTGCTACTCCTTCCACTAAGGAATTGGAATCAGATTTAAAAGACACTGGAAGAAATGACTCATCTTCTAATATGAAGATGTCAGAAATGACGGATGTCACTATGGAAATGGAGATAGGTTTGGAAACAATTGGAAGAGATACTTCCCCCGAGGAAATGGGAGCAGAAATGATTGACACCCCTATGGAAACAGAGACAGGTGTGAAAGCATCTTTAAATGAGATTTCTCCTATGGAGAAGAAGGTGCCAGAGCTAATTGATACCACTCGGGAAATTTGCGTAAATTTGAGAGAAACTGGAAGAAAAGAAATATTTTTACAGGAAAATGACCCCAAGGAGGTCAGTCCAATTAGTGAAACGGAGACAGGTTTGGAAGAAACTGCTAAAGAGTTGCCCACAAAAGAGAAGATATCAGATATTACTAATGGCAGTGAAGAAAGGGAGGAATATTCAGAAGAAACTGAAAGACAAACATCCCCACTGATAAAGGATGCAGAGGAGGCCAAAGCCATGGATGAAATGGAGACACACTTGAAAGAGGTGGGAGCAGAGACTTCCCAAAGAGAAAAGACAGGGGTTGCTGCAGCAGAGCAGTGGGAGAGTGAGGTGCACACATGCGACCGTGTGAGCAGAGGGGAGGTAGAAGTGGGGGAGAGCCCTGTAGAAGAAAAGAACCTGACCCTGCAGGACACTGGAGAACTAGACATTTCCTTGATTGTCGCGGCTTCAAGGGAAACGGCTGCCATTGAGGAAGCTAACAAAGATTTGAAAGAAACAGAAAAAGAGATTTCTGTCTCTTGGGAGAGAGGAGCTAGAGAAATCTGTATTGGTGAAGAAATGGTGGCAGACATGGAAAAAACAGAAAATATAGAGGTTTCTCCAAGAGAACATGAAGGAGAGAAACATACCTCAAGGCAGCCTAAGACAGATGTAATTCAGAGCAGGAACGACGGCAGCAGCACCGGGCCTTCACTGGATGGAAAAGTATGTATTTCTCTGTTATTTAAAGACACATAGCTCAGCAAGCATACCAAAGTAATTTTAGTATTATTACCCTCATGTCCAAAAATACTTAAAGTCTCTTAATAAAAATCTAAAATTTTTTCCAACCCTGTTCTTTTTTGTTTGTTTGTTTTTAGTTCTTGAAGCACCTATTCACTTTAAAATTTAAAAAGATTATATTTTTCTATTCGTGGAAAAGTTACTAATTCTAATGGCAGTTTGAAGTTACTCATTTAGATAAAAAATATATATATATAGGGAATTGAACCAAAATTGTGCCAGCCTTTTTATAAATATAGGCTGAAATTATTTCCTTTGGTCATAAACACCTGTGTATGTTTTCATTGTCCCTGCCACATTACTGCCTCCACTTTTAAACATTTTGGTAAAAATTTCCTGTTGTTTATAATTCATACTCTTAACAGCATTTTTTGAGGACTTCTTAACATGTATGTATAGATAATAGCATTAATGGTTTGGAATAGTCATAATATACAATTTGAAAGGAAGCCATTCCTGAATTCTAAGTTTTAATATTTGTGGTTTTTACATTTAACACTTAAAAATGTGTCAAGTGCTTATAGAATTTCTGTTGATGATATATTGTGATTCCTTTCACTAGAATATTAGCAGTAAACTGTCAGTGATGCCTCCATTTGTGGAAGAACGAGAAAATGCTGAGAAGGAAGTATCAAGTCACTTATGTCATGTGGAGTCTTCCTCACAGAATTCCACTCTCCAGGAAGCAGACCAAGGGATACAACTTTCAGATGTTCAAGAGCAGTTTCCAGATACTAACTTAAGGTACAATTATGTAGGTCCGTGTGCCTTTAAAGAAAAGACTGTAAAGTTCTCTTTACATATTATATTAAAGTAAGTGAGCTTTCAAGCCATAATGAGTATAGGATAGTGTTACAAGTTTTAAGATAATTTATGGAACATTGGGAGAGAGTATTGAGTCCATTCTGATAGCCAGTGGTGAGATTTATTAACAAATTACATGTAACACTCATAAGACAACATAGGTTTGACTAGTATTTTCCTTATGCAAAAAAATGATAAGCTTGTACCTGGATTGTACAACTCAATATATTTCAGAATTTAATGAATAGTTCTGTTTTTTTCCCCTTAAAAATTAGAATTGAGCAGATATGATTACATGTCCATAGTCCTCATACTTGTGAGGCAGGAGAATGAAGAAGAATTGAAGGCAAGCCTGGCCTAATAAAGCATGTTCCATGCCAGCCTAGCTTACATAGAAAGACCTTGTGTCAAAACAAAAACAGTTAAGACGCTTACTGCCAGTCTCTAAGGTTGTCCTAGGTTCCACTCACTTTCCTGCCTCAGTTCATTTTAATCAAGTTTGACAATGCTTGTTCCAAAAGCAAACCTCTTCCTCAAGAACAGAAGCCACTTGAAGTTAAACCAGCTACTTTTCTAAGAAGTCGATTCAAAAAACCAAAACCAAACTTGTTAAGAGCAGCTTTAAAGAGAGCAACCACAGAAGCAGAACACTGTGTACTTGGGAAGAAATCAGAAGCAGATAGAATGGAGACCTCATTGGAACAGCAGGACAGCGAACAAGCTGATTCTCTCTCTTCTCAGCATGTGAGTGATGATTAAGGCCGAGGTTATGTTTTGGGGCTTTTTTGTTTTTACTGTGTTATTAAATCATTGCAAGTTCATATAATAAGTTCATATAATTTTTACTATGTATGGTGTTGTTCTATGCTTACTATCATTATTCCATTTATGTTAAAATATTGTGTGCCTATAGGCAAGTATGGGCAAATGTGTGTGTTAGAAGGCATCTAAGACATTTTAGACTCTACTTGATGTTCTGGTTTTGTCACCATAGGAAAATGATATAACAAGTTTCTTGTTAGGAAAAACAGGAATAATAGTACTTTATTTCATTCTATTATTAAAGTTAACATGAAAAATGAAATGGTAGGTCTGAGTTCAAGTAGATATTTCCATTAACTTAGTCCATAACAAGTTAATATTGTCAGAAATTCTAAAATGAAATGTTAATATTCAAAACATTAGTTCTTTGCTTGTGTTTTGTCCTTGTAGTCCTGGGACCCCACAAATGTTAGGGAAGCTTTTTATCATTGAGCTAAGTCCTCAGCCTTCTTAACTTGTATTTTGAGACAAGTTCTCATAAAGTTCCCTCAGGCTGGCCTTGAACTCAAACTATAACATAGGCAAATCTTGAACTTGTGATCTTCCTGTCTCTCAAGTAACTTAAAGTACCTTTTACAATTAAAATTCTTATTTTTCATTTTATAATAATTTTCTATATTTGTACTTTCTCTCACTTTATAAAAGTTAAACTATATTTCCAGTTTATTTTATGAATGGGTGTTTAGCCATGTATGCAGTGCCTACAGAAGCTAGAAGAGGGTCTCAGATCCTCTGGGATTAAAGTTATAGATGGCTGTGAGCCACCATGTAGGTGCTGGGAATAGATCCTGGCTGGGTCTTCTGGAAGAGCAGCCAGTGCATTTAATGGCAGAACCATCTCTGCTGTTTCATAGTAAAACTATTTTTTTTTTTATTTAATACTTTTTCATTATGAAATCTTGAATTTGGAAAATTATGTCTGTATTCTAAAACATGAGAGCCCTGTATCTCATTCCTTTCTCCCTATATTTTCTGAATATATACATGTATTCAATATATTCAATATATACATGTGGTATTACATACCACAAATGCCATCATTCCTTAGAATCTGATATTTCCACTTAACATAATATTTTAAACATCTTTTGATCTCAAGATGAAGAAAAGAGTTTTTAATGTGGTTTTATACTGGAATATGTAAGGTTGAGCTTGAATGTGGTGCATTCTGTACTTTATAGACCTAGTTATTTAATAGGCTAAAGCAGGAAAGCTGCAGTTTAAGGCCAGTTTAGGAAATAGCAGAGTGATACACTGTTTCTTCTTTGTAAAGAGGCTCATGAGCCAGGTGTATTGGCACTACCTTTAATCTTAACACTGTAAGGCAGAGGGAGGTGGATCTCTTGAGTTTCAGACCAGCTAGAGCTCTAGGGTGAAAGGGGGTGGGCAAGAAAGAGAGAAGGAGAAATTTAGATTTAATTCAGTGGTAGAGTATTTGCCAATGCATGCATGAGGACCTGATTCCCGTGCCCAACAATGTCCTTCCAGAAAACAAAATTAGAATCTACTTTCCTATTGATAAACTGTTTATCTCTAATGTTTTGTTTATCTTTCATATTGGAGGATGGCCCTGAACGCATGTCCTTGGTTACGTAAAGTTTTGTTCATCTTTCATATTGGAGGACGTCCCTGAACTCACATCCTTGGTTATGCACATTTACGGGTTTGGTTACATAGTTTTCACGGTGGATCTCTAGAGATAAAACATGCTGGGAAGTAGCCACTGCCCCCTTGTTATCAACAAAGAATGGGTTAGTTTATTCTTACACTAATAGTCTGTGGGTTGCTTATTTGTTTGTGTATTTTGTCACTTTGAACTTGTAGAATGTGCCTTCCCTAGTGGCACCAAGAGAAGAAGATAAGCTGGGTCATGAGGCGGAGGAGGCTGTGACACCACTGTGGGTACAGACTGAGAAGGATCCTTTGCCAACCAATTCATGCGAACCTAAAGAGGATTCTCAGTTAGCACAAAACCAGGAGGATGTTCTTATTGGGTAAACAGTGATAGTTTTTATTTCCTTGAAAGTCTAAAATAACAGCTTTTCTTTGAAATATCTCTTTATTATCACACACACACACACATACAAGGTGGATAGAGAATAATTGGTCTAATTGATAGGGCAGGCCACCTAAAATTGAAAATTAGATGGTATTGAACTTTTTTGTTCTGCTTTGTTTTGCTTTGAGACAGGGCTTCTGTGTGTAGCCTTGGCTGGCCTGGACTTGCTTTGTAGCGAGGTGGCCTCCATCTGCCTGCTCTGCCTAGGATTCAGGTGTGGGTCACTGCATACAACTGGTATTGAACATTTTTGAATGCTCGCCTGCTTTATCTATTTATATATCTATACATCTGTCTCTCTGTGTATCACTAACTGTTTAAACTATACGGAAAGTAGTACACTAAAAATATGTGTATATATGTGCTGTTAATCATTGACTTTTTAAAAGTTGGGAAAATAATACATAAAATAAAATTTACCATTTTAAACTATTTTTCGTTGTACTGACCTAGTGAATTAAATCATAGAGCATCATCTCATTGTTTTGCACACAACACCACCATCCATCTATCCCCAGAACAATTTTTCCAATTTTTCCTTTTTCATAAACCTTAAACATCAGCTTCTGCTTTCCTCTTTCTATCTTTCTCCCTTTCTTTTGTTCTCAGCACCAACAACTCTATTGCCTGACTTTTACATGTTTGGTTATTTTAGGCACATCATGTAAGTTTGTTAGCATTTGCAAATTGTAAGGAGCTTATTCCTGCTCCACTCCCCCCCTCATTTATCTATCTATCTATCTATCTATCTATCTATCTATCTATCTATCTATCTATCTATCTATCTATCTGTTTTCTTCTTTGCTGTGCTCTGTTTAAACCTAGGGTTTTACACTTGCCATATTCTCTTTCCATTTGGCTACATTCCTAAACCTGACCTAATTTCTTTTTTTTCCCCTGTGGCTCTCCCAACTTTTATAAAATTTCATGAGAATTTACTGGAAGAAATTCAAGTTACATATTCTTGCACTTGTTAGCTTTTTGTCGTTAAGCTCCCTGTCTTCCTCCTTGTTGTTTTTTAGGACTCAGAAGATGAATGTGCTCACACAGGAAACAAAACAAAGTGTTGCCCAAACAACTCTACCAATGAGGGGTCGACTTCAGAGACCAAGACCAAATGTGCAGAAGGCCAGACAGAGGCAAATAGTAGAAAAAGATGAAGCTGGAGGTGTAACTAAAAATGAAGGAACAGAACTGCAAAAAGATGAGTCTAAAACATCCCTGATGATGGTGAGAGAATTGATGCGATACTAAATTGATCCCTAGTGCATACTAAAATACGTTCAGCTTTGGCCTGTCCTCTCACGCTTGGCTCAGTTAATACGAGGTGAACACAACTTCAGCTTTATATTTACTGGTCAGCATGTTCTGAAGAGTTTTGTGACTTTCTCATAGTACTGTAGTATCTAATTTCTCTAAGAAGCAGCTACAACATTTTTACTGTACTGTTTGGAGTGACAGTTCAAACCTTTTCAGAATCTTTTTGCCCTTTGAGATAGTGTCTCATTATTTATCTAAGACTAGCTTTTATCCTCCGGCCTCACCCTCCTGAGTGCTTCAGTTACAGAAATATACCATCATTCCATTCGGTTTAACTAATTTCTTGCTTTTTCTTTTACATTCAGTGTAAAAATTGTAAAAATTACATTCAGAAATTGAATTTCTGATCCACGTGCTTTTGCCTCCGAAATGCTGTGATTGTAGGGATATGCTACTGTCTAGCTTTACCTAGTATTTAAAACAAACAAACAAACAAACAAACAGACACTTCCTTGTATGTGTGTTGAGGGAGTGCGTGCATGTGTGTACGTTTGTATGTACACATTGCCATAGCACACCTGTAAGATCCATTGTGGGCGTCCATTCTTTCAGAATCGTGAATTCTGAGGGTTAGGGTCAGGTTGTCATATCTGGTGCTTTTATCCTCTGAGCCATTTACTGGTCCTTAATTTTTTCTTTCTTTCTGTTTTTTTGAAATGATCCCTTAGTTTTATTTTATTTCAAGACAGGTGTTTTTTTTTTTTGTTTTTGTTTTTTTTTTTTTAAGATTTGTTTATTTATTTTGTGTATATGAGTGCTCTTTGCAGGCCAGAAGAGGACATAAGAACACACTATAGATGGTTGTGAGCCACCATGTTGTTGCTGGGACTTAAACTCAGGACCCCTGGAAGAGCAGCCAGTGCTCTTAACCTCTCCAGCCCCTTAATCAATTTCTTAATAAGTGTTTTGGTACTAGAAAAGAAAATCTAAGTCCCCCAAAGTTAATTTCAAGTCTTTGTGTGTTCTTTTTTCTGAGCATTAAGATAAAATTTAGATCAAAAGTGATTGTGATTCCCATTTGAACAACAACAAAATGCTCCTAAGCAGAGCTGTTAAACCCTGGTGCTGATTATCAGACTGGAGCTTTGTGTATGCAGTGTGAAATAGGGCTGCATCTCCAGTCCTAATTAGTCCAAATGAATGGAGCTACGCCTCCAGTTGTAATCTGTACAAAATCAGTTCTTTATTTTATAACAGAAGACTCTTGAAGCTGCTGTGTGCAGATATGATGAAGGAACATATTTACTTGAGTATGTGTGCATGTAGGCATAGGCCAAACAGTATGTATAGAGTCTTCCTTTATATTTTGCGACAGGGTGTTTCACTGAACCTGGAGCTTATTGCTGCCAAGCTGGCTAGCCAGTGAGTGCCAGGTTTACAGATGTGCTCTGCCACATCAGTCTCTCATGTAGGTGCTGGGGATCCAGGCTCACATCCTCCTATTTGCTGATCAGGTATTACCTACTGAAGCCTGCTTCCAGCCCCTTCTTAGAGCTTTTATAGTAGTATATAAGCATGGGACTGTAATAAGTCATTGTACTTCTTGCCAGACTCTGAACTAGATGACCTTATTTTAGCTGTAGAACATGTGGCTTAGGCATATAGCCCAATGACAGAGTGCATGCAGATCTTTCAGGTTGAATTTCCAGCATCCCAAAGAAGAGAAATAGAAATGGAATACTTATATTGATTAAAATATATTTAAATGTTGTACTTTAAAAAAAAAATCACATGCCGGGGTGGTGGCTCACACCTTTAATCCCAGCACTCAAGAGGCAGAGGCAAGTGGATCTCTGTGAGTTCAAGGCCAGCCTGGTCTACAGAGCCAGGACTACAAAGAGAAACCCTGTGTCAAAACAACAAAAATTATCCTAACCCAGTTTTGTCTTTTCAGGCAAATTCTAACATTGAAAGTGAAGTTGAAATGTCCTCCAGAATTTCAGAGTCCAGAGTGAATAAAAGTCAAGGCCATGTGGTTCCTGTAGAAAACTCAAGTTTTAATAAAACCAGTGTTTCAGATGAGCAGATAAGGTGAGTCTAGTTTTTCATGAGAAAAGCGTGAACTTTGTCAAAGACAAATTTCTGACTATTACATACTTGGTTTTATGTAAAGGAATCCTGAAGTTTGCGTATGTGCTTTGTGGTGCTGATTGAACCCAGGGCTTTCACGTGCTAAGTTGCCCAGCCTGAATTTAAGCTTGCTTATAGGCCAGACAAAGCATGAATTTGTGATTCTTCTGTGATTCTGGGACGAAGCTTGTGCCAGGCCTGGTTTAACGTGACCTCAAGTCTGTTCTGTATGTGGTGTCGCACGCCTCTAATCTCAGCATTTGGGAGGCAGAGGCAGGAGGTTCTCTGAGTTCAGGGTCATCCAGGACAGCCAGGAAACTGTCGAGAAACCCTGTCTCAAAACTAACAAAACAAAAATCCCCAACTTACTCCTTATTTTTATGCCATAATTTTGTTGCCTCCTGAAATTAGTAATATTTTATTTTTAAATATTCTTAAATATCTTTTGAACTTTATTTCACTATTTTTTGGTAGGGGCACATGTGCTACTGTTGGTGGGTAATCAGGTGATAGTTTTCAGGAGCTGGTTCTCTCCCTTCACCATGTAGGTCCTGGGAATTGAACTTAGCTTTTCAGCCTTAATGGCAAGTGCCTTTATTCACTGAGCCACCATGGCAGTCCCTATACTTAAACATGTTTTCAGAGTCGCATGTGATGATTTTTCCTTGTAGCCTGACCCTGACGACTCTCCTAGTGAGCTATATCCTCAGCACCTGTGAAAGCTTTTAATTAACTTACTCTACAGCTCCCTTTTCTGATGCTGACCTGTATTATCCAGCATCGAATTAGAACGTGCTGATATCCTCGTTTCCCAAATGCTTAGTAGGATTGCTGCCGCCTCTTTTATTTCGTGGGATTAGGTTCTAATGGATGAGAACGCATATGTATTCGTTTGTGTTTGTTTGTTTGCTTTGTATATGTGTTGGGGATTGGACCCAGTGTCTTGCCAGTTATCTGTCTCTGAGTGGCATCCCTATCCCTCTATTATTTTTCAGCACCCTAATTCAGGTCCTAGCCAGTTACTGAGATATTTCCACAAGTCTTCAGGTATCTCAGCCACCTTGGTAGCTTTGGCTCTTCTTTGAATGTTTAGACCTTGTTTTTTCTGAAATGGGTTATGTTAAGAACCTTAAGGCACCACCTGTCAATAAGACCTTTCCTTGAGATTTCAGGAATGTGCTATGCTAGACTCTTGCTGTCAGGCAAAACCATTGTGTATTTGTTCATGTGTTGGAGCCCAGTTAAGGCTTTTGTTTAAAGTGCTGTTGTGAAACTTGTGTTCAGCTACTGTGGCAAGTTTGGAGTGCCTAATTTTTTCTCTGTTAATTATTTAAGTTATATGAAACCAGACTAGAATTAGTGAATGAAAGTAAAGAAAGATTAATAATGTAAACTGTTTCCTAGGCAGTACAGAAACCGGAAGTTATAAAAGCTTTATACATTCTGTTTCATATATAAAATGTGATGTTTCATTTTACGTGTTTGGTTTTATTTCCAATTTACATATAATCCTTTAAACTTAGAGTAAGTTTGAATCCAGAATTGTTGAATATTGTTATGTTGATGGAGAGTTTTTGTCTTCAGTATAACTTGTACTTCATTCTAGGCATGAAAATCTTCCTAATCCAGCACCACTGATAAGAAGGCGATTCCAAAAGGCTAAACCAAATTTAGAAGGAACACACCGTAAAAAAGAGCAACTAGGTGTAGAAAAAGGAAGGACAGATCAGAGCACAGCAACAAAACCAGAAGATACTATGCCTCAGGAAGGAGAGTTTGGCATCCAGCTTTCTCTCAAAGTAAGATTGGAAAAACTGTTTTTGTCAGTAAGTCTGCTGTGTCAGGGTCCTGAAGGAGAGCAATAGTGTCAGACTTCACTTTTGTGCTACATACATTTCCCTGAAAAGCGAGTGACATCACAAGCTTACAGAGATTTGAAAACTGGTCACCTGTGGCTTCTGAAGTTTAGAGGACTAAGCCAGACTGCTAAGCCATATTAATATAGATTGTGTCCATAGTAACATTATTTATGTGTGTGTTTCTTTCTTTAAGGAAAAGACAGAGATTCTGATGCCTCTGGAGGCTTCAGTGAGAGAAGATTGTGTAGATCCTGAAGAGTTGGGTTCTGCCAGAAAGGATGCTCAGCAGAAAGCTGGGCCTTCGGGAGGTGCTGGGGATGAGAGTGTGGAGGACCATCCTGTATCATCTTTGGGCCTTGAAGAACAGGGTCCCAGGAAACAAACTAGGTAATGTTTTTAGAGACTCAATAGGAAATAAAAAGCACTTACATCTTAAAGAAGTTCTACCTTAATGCACTGTTCTTTATTTACAAGTGTTTTTTTTTTAATTATAACAATGTACACATTTAGAAAATGCATTTGTAACAATATTTTTTATTTATGACAATGAAAGATAGTGTGCATTACCTTAGTAATTAGAATGCTAATTCTAGTTTGGCTGTAAACAATAACAAGGAGTACTTAAATAATTTTTAAGAAAGTGGGAAGGAGCTGGGCACGGTGGTGCACGCCTGTAATCCCAACACTCAGGGCAGCAGAGACAGGTAGATGTTTGAGAGTTTGAGGACAGCCTGGTCTACAAAGTGAGTCCAGGACAGCCAAGGCTACACAGAGAAACCTTGTCTCAAAAAACCAAAAAAAAAAAAAAAAGTATGAAGGAACCCAAGTTCTTGAAAAACATTATTGTCCTATTCCCTATTCTACTTACTCAGTAAGGTCTCCTATTCATTATTGATTGGTTCCATGTATTTTATTTATAGTTATTTCCAATTTTGTGTTTATTTTACCTCAGTTGCTATATCATGGGTAGAAGGCCAGGATTAAAAACTTACTTTGCAACATTTATAGATAGATAGCTAAGAACTCACTCTGAATATGATACTAAGTAGTAATCAGTTACTTTCTTATTTTTATCGCATATGTTTTTAAAAGAATGGGTGGGGCTGGCCATGCAGTTCAGGAGCACAACACTAGGACTTTTGAGGCCCTAGGTTCAAGTCTGTCATCATAAAAGGAGATGGTGTATCCTCCTCCTCTTCTTCCTCCTCATCATCATTCTCATTGCTGGGAATTGAACTTAGGGCTTCACATGCTGGACAAGCTATATTCTTAGCCCAGGGTCTTTATTTTAGTGGTTGGCACTGAGATTTTACTCATAACAGTCTGGATTTCATTGAGATTTTCCTGGTGTATACACAATGATAACTGTTATTTTGGTTAAATATCCAGCAGTCCACAACTATTGAAAGAATCAAATTATTCCAAAACTTCTCCACACCGAAGAACAACTGTCTCTTCTGCCTCTGAGTGTGAGACAGATCATATTGGGAAAAGAACACATAGGAAGATGAAACCAAATGTGACCAGAGGGCGTGGATCAAAACGAATTCGAGGTAAGACTGCTAAGAAGGAACCTAGAACTTCCAAGTCCATGTTGGTGACTCTTCGGGCTTCTCAGAAAGAGGATGAAGATGATGCTGAGGACTTTGATTCTGACTATGAGGAAGAAACCTGTCATCTTGCCCCAGAAGAATTAAACAAAGCACCAGTGTTTGTACCTGTTGGTCTCAGATCCCCTGAACCAGTTTCTGCTCAGATCGAGGAAACAATGGAAGAGGTAGTTTATGTTTTGTTTTGTTCGGTGTTTGGCACTTTCACCTTCTTTAATGTATGATTATTTCTTCTCTTAGTGATTATTAGTGTCTGAAGATACTTCCTCTCAATATCCACTGTCAAAGTAATTTACTTGGATCTTAGTGAATTGCTTAAGGAAATCAGCAGAAGTGGCCTGTATGGCTGACACTCAATTGTCATAGTCCTTGTTCCACAAGGGACTCAGTTTACTATGATAAAAACTTGCTTATTCTTGTGTCTATCTGTAAGCTGCTTAATCTAGCTTTTGATTAATTTGAAAAAGGTCTTAGCAGGTATTTTTTATTAATTCTGTAATAGGCTTTCTATGTTGTGGTTGGTGGAAAAAATAGAATCAATTTCTTTCCTCTTTTTTTTTTGTTTTTTGTTTTTTGTTTTGTTTTGAGGCAGGGTCTCATGTATCTCACTTTGCACATTGGCCTTCAAACTTTCTATGTAGTCAAGGATGACCTTGAACTTCTGGTCCTCCCGTGTCTACCTCTTCAGTGCTGGGATTACAGTCATGTGCTACTACAACTGGTTTAAGAAATGTTGAAGATAGAACCCACAGCTTCATGTATGTGAAGCAAGCACTTACAAAAGAGCCGTACTTCAGTCCTCCTCTCTCCTCCCTCCTCTCTCACTCTCTCTTTTTTCTTTATTACTCATTTTTTATCATTACCCTCCATCCAAGAGATTCCTCATCTTTCAAAACTGGAACTCTTGCTTCTCATACAGCCTGGGCTGACCGTGAGTTTCTAACTCTCCTGCCTCCTGGAATGATAGGTGTGTGGTGCTGGAGATGGAGCCCAGGGCTGTACGTAACTTGGCATGATCCCTACCAACTGAGCCCCAGCCCCTGCTTCTTTGCTCTTAGTTCTTTTGGAGAATGTACTAGACTGCATGGTGATTCTGTATTTAAATTTTGTTTGGAAAAGAAAAAAAAAAAAAGATTCAATAGTGCTCAATGCTTTATCTTTACCACCATCCATTCCCTTTCTCTCTGTATCAATTCCTTCTGCGTGTTTTCTCCTTCCCGCTCCCTGGCCTCTCACGATAAGTGGTCATTCTGCAGCTGAGTGTGCCCCGCTCCTCTGATCTTCTTTGGTGGCACTCACCTTTAATCCCAGTACCTGGGAGGCAGAAGCAGTCAGATCTCTTGGGTTCGAGGCCAGTCTGGTCTACAGAGCAAGTTTCAGGACAGCCAAGGCTACATGGAAAAATGCTTTTTTAAAAAAAATTAAAAGCAAAACAAAACAAATAAACAAAAAAGCTGTAGGCATTCTAATGATTTGAGTATAAAGTAGAGGGACACGCTTTGCTTCCTGTCTTATCTGTGGTCTCACATGCCACCTCTGTAGCTTTAAGGTTTTCTGTACTCTTTCAATTCTTAGTTGCCTAACTGGCTTATTGAGCAGATTATCTGAATCAGTTTTGTATAGGATTTAGAATACTTTCTGAGTCATTTGAAACAGAATCAGTAGTTCGCTGAGATAGGAATAATGTAAGAAACAGTTCTAGTAGTATTATGATACATAGTTAAGAAATGGTGCAATTTTTGAATCTGTAAATTACATTTGTGAATGGAAAGGAAAATTACTTATAATTAGGATTAATAATACCATGTTATAAAGGTAAATGAGTTAGAATTTTTGAAATTAATACTGAAAGTTCAAAGTAAGTACATTGAATGTAAGTTTTGTATACTCTAAGAAAATGCCAAAGAAAAGTTAGTTTTCTGGAAGGACAACTGGTTAATAGTTGATAGAGTTCACCTATAGGCCCCTCCCACTATCACTTTGGGTAAAGGCAAGTGAAATTAACTTCCAGTAATCAGGCTTCTCGATCTGTCTCTACAGCACATCTTCTTCAGTAGCACTGTTTCCTCTGTTCTCGCAGTCAAAGTTAGGGCCTGTCAACATGCACTCTGGGCTATACTCCGTTGCTGCTCAACTGTGAGGACCATAGTTCAGATCCCAGCAAACACTGTAACTGCAGCTCAGAGGGATCCAACAACCCTACTGTCCTCTGCAGATGGTGTTGTCTGCGCCGGCCTCTACACATGCTTAAATAAAATAAATCTTTAAAAAATTATGTTTCTTTTATTTTTCAGCTCTCAAGTGAAGAATGTGTGTGAACTCATTACCTTGGGGTGGTAGAGAGGGTTATTGCACAGGAGTGATAAGCTGATCAGTGTTTTTAAGCACATTAAGTCGTTTCTAAGTATACAGGTAGTTTTGTGTGTAGTTAGCGTGTGGTTTTCTTAAATGATGAGTCTATTGAGGCAGGGACCATGTGTATCTAGTTTGACTTTGTATCCCTATGCTTATACAATTGTATTTTTGAAAACATTACATAAATGTTAGGCAAGTGGAAGGAACTGGACAAGAGGAATGGAAAGTGAAACGCCAGCTACTCAGAAGAGTAGTGTAGAAATTTTGATTACTGGTTGTAATAGACTCAGAACCCTCAGAAATGTAGTATTTTACTTTTGCTAAGTTATTAGTCATTAAGAATTACTGTAATTAGCTAAGTTGTGTAACTGGCATATTTCTGCATTTTAATTTTGCTTATTAATGTGGAAAATGATGTATTTTAATGTTTGTAATTTGTCAAATTGAACTGATAAGACTTCTTATGACAGCTTGAGATAACCATGGATGTTGCAGACATAGGATGTGTAACTGTTGAGCATCAGCTTTCAAACATGGATGCAACAACTCAGGATGTGCACCCAGAAAAAGACTTGCATCCGTCATCATTTGTAAGTGTCTGTATTCAGGTGTTGCCTTTCCTTTGTTTACCTCCTAAAGAGTACAGGATTATTTTCATAACATGCTTTAGTTTTTTTCTCTCATCTGGAGAACTATTTTTATGAGAATTATCAACGGCTTTACATTTTAGTTTTTTTGAGACAGGGATTCTCTGTGTAGCCTTGGCTGTTCTGGACTCACTTTAAAAGCCAGGCTGGCCTCAAACTCACAGAGATCTGCCTGCCTCTGCCTCTGCCTGTTTTGAGTGCTGGGATTACAGGCATGTGCCACTGTGCCTGGCATGGGTTTTACTTTTGATTGTAAAACTTATTTTTGTGTTTGTTTGGTAAAGCTTTCAAGGTCATCATAGACTTTCACCTCAAAATTCTAAGGCATAAGTCTATATTTAAAAAAAACAAACAAACCAGTATCTATACAACATTAACTACACTATCGTAAATATTGTAGTAGAGTTGGATTTTAAGAAACAACAAAAATTATATTTGTTTTTATTTTGTGTATATGAGTGTATACATATATGTATGTGTACAGCCACTTCTGCTAGGTTTTTCTAATGGATCTGAGGAAGAAAGTATTCCCTCCCTTTCTTCCCAGTTTTCAGAAATGTGCTAGCACTTTGTCATTTCATGGCATTCCAACCCTGGCTTTCATTGCCTTATGACATTCTTTCTTTGTTTTTGTTTGTGTTTTTTATTGACCCATTGAATCCAACGCTATGGTTTTTTTTCAAACTGAGCACATTTATAAAGACCTTTTCCAGGGAACATACATTTACAGTATTAGGAATTTGAAATTCAATTTCTAGTACTTGCCAATTTGAGTATGTTTTATTTCTTTTTCTTATGTGATTGTCCTGGCTAGAGCCTTGGTTGTAAAAATCAATTTGTAGACATAGTAAAGAGAGCATTCTTTTTGTTTTTTCAAGACAAGGTTTCTGTGTAGCCCTGGCTGTCCTAAAACTCACTCTGTGGATCAGGCTGGCCTCAAACTCACAGAGATCCACCTGCCTCTGCCTCCCAAGTGCTGGGATTAAAGGCGTGTATCAACTCTTGCATCCCTCTACCCCTCACCCCACAGCTAACAAATGGGTATTCATGATTTGGTCATAGTCTTAGGGGAAAGCAGCTGATCTTACATTACTAATGTATAATGGTAGCTGTGTGGTTTCTAGGATGGTCTTTATCAGGCTGTCCTAATTTATTGTGTGTTTTGTCATGATAGGGTTTTAGACTTTGTCATATGTAAATTTTGAGAGTTTTAATCTTTCATTTTTTTGCATTGATATACATACATAATTTTTTTTGTTACTGTATTGACAAGTTGTATTAACAAGGGTTTTTGGGTGTTGAAAACTTACTTTCCTGAGGAACTTCCTCCTTGATTATCATGTGTAATTTTTATATGCTTCCACATTGTTTATTAGTATTTCAAACGTATTTATGTCCATATATTCATAATAGCTATTATCTGTGAGTGTTTAGTTGTTGATGATGGTGTTAGGTGCTGAAGTCTTGCTTCTTTGGTACCTGTGGCAGGAAGAGAGCTGGCAGCAGCTTAGGCACTAACAGCTGAAGGAAGGCAGCATCAAACAGTTGGGCTTCACAAGTGCTGTTTTAGTGACCAGTTTATATAGATCTTGCTGAGTAGCTGTTTTTCATTTGGTTTTGCTGTTACAACCAATTCTAGAGGCTATAAATGTTTGCTTTTTAAGCCATGCTTGACAATTCTGCTGGGCTGGACAGGTGTCTGCTGTGTACTCATCATTTATTAACATTTGTTTTATTTTAAGCCACTCAGTGAAGAAAGTTTGTGTCCTCTCCAGACTTTAGTTTTTATTGGGTAAAAACTGGTAGCACATTTGACTCAATTTGAAGGATTATGACTGTGAAGACCTAAAAATGGTTAGATGTTGAAGAGACAGGTAAAGCAGGAGTAAGATACAAAAGAATTTGGCCTTTAAGTTATTATTTTTGTTCTTACTTGTGACCTTTATGAATAAACATAAATTAGAAAAGTTTTACTATCATAACTAAAACACAGGAAAGACTTGTAAAATATGCTTAAAACAACAACAAAACCAGGACATTTGTTTGGGGGAAACACTTAAGATGTTACTTATCTTTTTCTTTTTTTAGGAAATGGTCATAGGTGAACAGACCCAAGAAGAACCAGGTAACTGTTAACAAAGAACTGATTAAAACTACTTGCTTAAACCTGATGGTGGTGATGGTGGTATTGGTGGCAGCAGCGCACACCTTTAATCCCAGTACTTAGGAGGCAGAGACAGGTGAATCTCTGTGAGTTCGAGGCTAGCCTGGTCAGAACGAGTTCCAGGACAGCCAGGGTTGTTACACAGCAACCCTGTCTCAAAAAATAAAACAAACAAACAAACAAATAAACCTACTTGGTTAACTGTAGCATAGTGATTAGCAGTGGTGTTAAGTAAATGGGACAGTTTGCTAAAAATGTAGAACGAAGACATTAACCTGTTGTCTTGCTAGGAACCTGGGCTTTTCAGAACCTAACTTTAAAAGGTGAGCCTAGAGTCAATGTTCAGTAACAAAGTAGTGATGTTTCCTCTGGAGATGCTCAGAATTAACGTGCAGGAAGTGTTTTCAGTGACTAAGAGTGATAAGTCAACATTAGTGATCTCTGAGTATGTAGTGTGTGACCTGAAGAGACTGACACTAGCACTGGGATAGTGGTGTGAAGGCTATTGAAACTGTTTGCTGGAAAGTAGTCTCTGAGGAGAATGCCTTTGTTAAGGAAAGGGGCTTACTAGGTTAATTTTTCTGTTTTAATAGGTCCCAGTGATGGAAGTACTGAAGCCGCCATAACTTTACTTACAATGGGAGATATAGTATTACAGTCAGAGGTTGTTACTGAGCAGGGTGACGGTAAGGATGGAAGATAAATCCCACCCAAAGAACATTCTTTAAAATCTGTTAAAAATTACTCCTACATGCTGAGTGACCACCTTTAGTGAGAAGGCTTTGACAGTAGAAATTGTCGGCAGCATTGTTTTTCATAAGGAATTGTATTATTATTCATTATGTTACTTAGTCTCTTTAGGTGTAGTGACAACAATTTTGAGATAAGCAGTTGGCTATTAGGAATAATTTGGGACTGGAGAGATGGTTCACCTGTTAAAAAGCAAAGCTAATAATCAAAAATAAAAGAATAATCTGGCTGTGCTTGATGCCCTTTAGGCCCCAGCCATTGGGAGCAGAAACAGGCAGAACTCTTTGAGTTTGCTGCCAGCCTGCTGGTCTGCATACTGAGTTCCAGGTCAGCCAAAGCTTGTCTGATGTTTGAAAAAGAAAAGGGGCTTGGGACTGGGACCTGGAGAGAGGACTCAGTGGTTAATAGCACTAGCTGCTCTTCAAAGGTCCTGGGTTCAATTCCCAGCAACTACATGGTGGCTCACAACCATCTGTAATGGAATCTGATGCCCTCTTTTGGTGTGCATGAAAACAGAGCACTCATACAGAAAAAGTAAATAAATAAATCTAAAAAAGGAGGGGGAAAGAGAGAGAGAGAGAGAGAGTAATTTGTATTCACAGAATTGTTATCTAGTAAATCCTCAACCTGTAGTAGCATCACAAACTTTAGATAATGGAGGTCATTGGCCACTGATCACTTTATAGATATTTCTTTAGGAAAGGGATTCCTGCTTGAGATGATGATCATAGCAGATATAAATCTATGAAGGGGCAAATAGTTGTTACTGAGGTGATTTATTCAACTAGTAGTGGAAGAAGCCAACGGAAATGCTAACCTGAATCTTTAATACATTAAGCCAACATAGAAACTATGTAGTTGTTGATTTTAATTTTTGTGGTATAGGGTTTTGAACCCAGGGCCGTGCTTGCTATCCAAGTGCTTCATAACTGAGCTAGATCTCCTACCCCAGAAACTGAGGTCTTTTCTTTGTTATCTTTAGCTATAGCTAATTGTATTACTGGCAATTGTGTTGACTGTTAATGGTGATCTGCTGTTTTTCACTGTTAGAGTCATAAGTTCATAACTGCATTATTATTATTATTATTTTTTTTTTTAAGAGAAGTCTCTAATTTGTGTTTCAGGTAGGGCTTCCTTCTCAGGCAGAATATATATTGGAGCCTGGCACAGATTTCTAGTACATAACGTACAGTTTTCAAAAACTAGTAAATAAAAGTAAATGCCCTGTCTTGAAATTCAATTATATAGTTACTGAAAGTAACAGCTTTTATTTAGAGTACCCCAAAATTTTAGTGATAAGAATTAAGCTTATTTGAGTCAAATTCTTGAATGAAATGTGAGATAATTAAATTAAATTTGGATCCTAATTGAACCCACTTTTAATAATGAAATTAACTTAGACAATTCTTGAATGTTGAGAAATTAATTTTATTCAGGTAGCTATTTAATATTGGGCCAATTTTAATTTCCTATTTTCTTCTGCAGTAGGAGTATGTGTATTTCCTGATGTTCATTCAAAGGATAAAAGTCATGTTCCTTTTAGCCCAGATAATGTAAATCACAAAATTGTTCATGAATATCAGGAGGTTTCTTCACCTGTTACTAGTATGTCGCCTACATCATTTGAGGAAAACAAGAAATTATCGGAGGAACAAAGTAACAGAGAAGAAACTGCTGTGATGGAAGAAGTGGAGGGTACTCTGTCAGCCAGGTGATTATAATATTTGAGTCACAAAGACAGCCAAACCACACCGTCAACTCAGTTAGGAGCTTCTAGAAATGCTTGTCTGTAAATTTAAAGTACACAATGCTAATTTTTTTACACAGTAAGATTAGCTGATACTGATAATGGTTTATGGGTTTGCATATAAAGTCACAGCAATATGTTTTCTGTGTCTTTGAAACTTAAATAAAATAGGTTTTTATAAATGTAGTTTGTTTTACGAGTGTGTTCTCTTTTTTCTTAAGTCTCTTAGTAAATTTAACCACTTTTTAATTTTAGCATTCAGAATGAACATTTACCAGGTGTGATGGTACATAACTGTAACTTGAGCCTTCTGGGTGCTGAAGCAGTAGGTAGTTGCCATTTTAATACTCTTGTCTATCAAAACAGACAAGCAAACAATTACTTTATATGATGTCGTACCTGAATGGTAGTTTATTAACTGTATCAGTGCTAGAACAGACCACAGCAAAGGGACTCTTGCATAACTGGTAACTTTTACCTCTTTTCTCCTAGGAGTTCAACTTCTACAGTGAGCACATATTTGAGAATGGAGAGTAAGTTTGTCACACCTGTTACACCTAAACCAAATTCTGAGGCGATTTTAGACATCAGTGAGCTTGATGGTCATCAGGAAGAAATTGCCAGTTTTTGCATAGCCAAAGGGGCAAAAGTGGAAATTCAAAGAGGTGAGTTTACTCTTACAAAATTACATTGATAAAAAGTACTTCGTGGTCATGCGAGGTGGCTCAGAGGGTAAAGTAAAGGCACTTGCAACACAAGCTTGTAGACTTGAGTTTGATTTCTCTCTCTCATGTACACACAAACATAATACACTCACACATGAGACAGGATTTCACTATGCATTCACTAAGAGCTATACAGTGAGTTACTGGTCACTGTGTAGCTCAGGCTGGCCTTGAACTTAGATAAATCTTCCTTTTTGTAGTCTCCCAACTGCAAGGAATTTTACTTTCTGTCTCTTGCCAGACCCCTAATTTTTTAGTGGTTCAGGGGTTTGAACTCAGGGATTCAAGCCTGGCAAACAAACACTAGACGTGAGTTATTACATCTATATCCCTCCCAGACACTACTACTTTCGTTTTATATCTTGATGTGAAGCAGGGTTTCATTGTAATTTTGGCTAATGATATGTGTCTTCTTTCTTTTTTGTTTTTTAAACTTACTGTGTGTGTGTGTGTGTGTGTGTGTGTGTGTGTGTGTGTGTGTGTGTGTGTAAGCACAAGTGCCTCAGTATACATGTGGAGATGGAGAGCAGGCTTTGGTTTTCTCCTTCTACCATGAATCCCAGGACTTAAACTCCGGTCATCAGGTTTGCCCGCCAGCTGCTTTATTGTATTTTATTATTTCATGTGCATGAGTGTTTTGCCTGCATATATGTCTGCGCACTCTGTGTGCCTGGTGCCTGCAGATGCCAGAGGGTATGTCAGATCCTCTGGAACTAGAGTGACGAATAGTTGGGAGCTACTATGTGGGAGCGGGGAATCAAACTTGGGTCCTTTGCAGGAGTAACAAGTGTTCTTAACTACTTAGCCATCTCTCAAGCTCCCTCACTTTAAAAACAGCCTTATTGTAGTGTATATGTTAACTCCCAGTTTCATTTCCTTTTCCACTTCCTCTTCTTGCAAAAGGCCTGATTCCTTAAGAAAAGCAGTGGAGACTATGGCCTTCCCAGATGATTGAATTCATGCTTACAAAATCTAGATAATTATCATCACTCCCCCTAATTTTGGGTTCCTAATATCTGAGGTTTCCTCTCAGCCATCAGTGTCTGGCATAGTGTCTATGTGCAGGTAGGTAACTCATTGAACTGGCTTAAGCAGTATCCAGAAGTGTTTATATGGCTCTCTGTCGGCTTGCCCCACCTCCACCACTCTGCCCTAGTTTACATCACTCATTTGATTTGCAAGTGTTTCTCTTTCCCTTTGTGATATCATTTAAATTTTATATTACATTTAGTGTGAGTCTGTGTCATGCACCTGAACACATGCCACGGTGCAAGTATGTGGCTGAAGGATAACTTGCTGGAATAATTTCTTTCACAATGTGAGACCCAGAGGTTGAACTGTGTTTATCAGGCTTGATGGCAAATGCCGTTATCCACTGAGCCACCTCACCTGCCACACACATTACACCTTTCCAGGACAACCGGGATAGTAGAATTAGACTCTTTTATACTCACTTCTAATCCTCTTTTGGGTGTGAGTTTGTAATCACTTTATTGTTATTCCATGTGCATGTAGGTGTGCGTGCGTGTGTGTGTCATACAGGATGTGAGGATATCAGATGACAACTCTTGGGATTCAGTTTTCCCCTGTGTTGGTCCTGAGGATTGAACTCAGTCTTGTTGGCAGGCACTGTAAGTGGCAGAGGCGTCACGCCAGTCCTTAACTATAGTATTGCTTTCAGTTCTGACACCATAGAACTGTTAGCATAAGTGAGAATGCCATTACTTTGGCAGCCAGGAGTGAAGCATGTGCAGTGCAGGTTTCATTAATCACGCTTTACTTTTCAAAGCCTTCACAGATTCCATTCTTCTGCCATGTGAATAAGCTGAATTTGGGAGTATGAGAAACTTGGAGCAGGTCACCAAATCCATCTTTGAAGACAGAATGTCTCTAGTATTGAGATTTAGATGTACTCTTTTGAACTACATCTTAAAAGTATTTTTTTTCTTTCTTTCCCTTCCTCCCTCCCTCCCTCCCTTTCTTCCTTCCTTCCTTCCTTCCTTCTTTCCTTTTAAAGAAACTGAAGCAAATGATTCCAAAGTGGTGGAATTAGATGAAAGCTTGGAGCCAGTTTCAGCAGCAGAGGCTAAGGAGCAGAACCAGTCACTGTGTGTGCATGATGTTGAAGGGAACAGTGGTTCTCAAGAAGCAATCCTTAGTGAGAGGTAAAGGAGGGAGGAGACACCGGTGTTGATTTTATATTTTGCCTTTGCTTTTGCCACAGGTCATAGCTGTAAGAACTGTATTGAAAAAAAAATCCATTGTAGCTAACATTTTTAAAGCTTGAAAACATTACATTAAATGATAATACTTAGTCCTAAAAAATAATTCCATGCTTGGTCGACTGATTTAAAGTAATGTACTGAAACTATTCCAGAAATGGAGGTCACGAGGAAAACTTGCAAGAGGTTCAGCTATCGGATGCTGCTGTTGCTTCCTCTGAGACAGGCTTCCCCACACTTGATTCAGGCAAGAGTCTTGGTGAGAGTCCTGCTGAAGAACCCCTCAAAGAAGACTCCAAAGGCAGCAGCATGTTCATGCTGCCTGTGCCAGAGGTAAAATGGAATATAGATGCTGTAATGAGTAATGTGGTTCTCTTTCTCTACATTTAGAAAAACATAGGTTCCATATAATAAATTTAACCTTTTCAGTTCAGTAAGCCGTTTATAAATATGTAAGTTCACCCTGGCATGGGGGCACACAGTTGTAATCTCATCTCTCAGCTGGAGACAGGAGTACTCAAATTTGAAGACAACCTGGGCTATATAACAAGAACTAGGTTAGCCTGAGGTACATAGCAAGAACCTGTGTCAAAAAAAACAAAATCAAGCTTGGTGTGGTGATGCACATATTTGATCCCAGGGCTTGGATGGGAGAGGTAAGAAGGTCTCTGAGTTCCCGGCCATGCTGCTCCACATAGTGAGACCCTATGTTTAAAACAAACAACCCCAAACGTGTAGGTTCATTTAACCAGTTTAACTTCTGAAAATGTTCTTTGGTTAGCCCCGTTGTGCTTCCTGCCAGCTATTCCTCTCTGTGATCTCAGTTTTACCATGGCAAGAGTGGACTGTGGACAGGGAATGGTGACCCTGCCTGTGCTGAGGGGAGAAGGTCTCTGGAGCCCAGTTGCTTCAGGCTAGCCTCAGTTCTAGAAAAACGTGTCTCAAAACCAAATACAACACAGAAGCAGGATAAAACTTTTGGTGTGTTTTTGGTCGCTTGACCCCTCCAAGACCATAGATTAGGGGTTTTCAGCCTTCCTAATTCTGTGACCCTTTAATACTGTTCCTCATGTTGTAGTGACCTTATTAACCATACAATTATTTTGTTGCAACTTTATATCTGTAATTTTGCTACTTTTCTGCATCATAATGTAAATACCTGGTTTGCAGGATATGTGATAGGTGACCCTTGTGAAAAGGTCATTTGAAACCCCCCCCCCCCCCCAATGGTTGTGACCTACAGGCTGAGAAACACTGCCATAGAGATATACAAATGTTATCCAGCTTTGTTGTAAAAGCTGGAGAATTCTTACATCTTACCTCTGGATCTTAACAGTTCATTGACAGAACAAATGTTTACTGAGATACTCCTACCTGCTTGACCTGAGGCACTGACGTAGGAGCTTTGGGAAACACGAGGAAAGGAATGGTTGGGCTGGCTGATAGAGGCTGTGACAGAGACTGAAACAAGACCGGGTGGTGTCTGCGCTCCCACCTTCATCTCTGGAGATGAGGCATCAGTGTTCTCTTCAATAGTTCCTTGGATGGGAAAGCGCTTGAGTTTTGAAGGACAGAATAAGTTAGCTTGTTTAAAGAAAAGGAACATAAAAATAGATGTAGGACACTATGATTTGTTAAAGGAAACAGAAAATAAGAAGTATGTCTATTTCCAAGAGGTTTCTAGTCCATCTCCACCTTTTTTTTTTTTTTTCCTTTGAAATAATTTCAGACTTAGAGAAAAGTTATAAAAATCTGTAAGGATTTACATACTTTGTTTTCTTGGAATCATTGTTAATTTCTTTCTCTGTCTTTTTTTCCTTTGGTATGGCTCTCCATTGTACATACTTTACGTGTGTGTGTGTGTGTGTGTGTGTGTGAGAGAGAGAGAGAGAGAGAGAGAGGCAGAGAGACACACAGAGAGAAACAGAGAGAGTTTACACACATAGGCAAGCACATACCGTATTGCTTGTAGAGGTGTGTGGACAGTTTTTGGGAGGCCTTTACTTTCACTCTGTAGGTTCTAGGTCTGAACTTGGGTTACCTGCTGAGCCATATCACCAATCCTAACTGCAAACTTAAAAACTTGATTGGTGGCTGGCAATATGACTTAGCGGGTAGAGTGATTCCTACCAACCCTGGCAACCTACGTTTAACCAGGACTTGAAAATGGACTCCCTCAAGTCTTTCTCTGACTTTTACAAATGTTTGCAACACACATCATAAATAAGGTAATAGGGGATTAGAGAGATGGCTCAGCAGGTAAAAGTATGTGTTCCTAAGGACCAAGTTTGGTTCCGAGCACTCTTATCAGTTGGCTCTGGCCTCTGAGGGCACCCACATACATGGCATATATGCACATAGACACAGAAGTAAAAATAAGATCTTTTTAAAAGCAGAGTAATGGAGGGTAGGATTGGGGAGGAAATGGGGGAGTGGGATATAGCTGGTATACAGAGTTAACAGAATGTAACTAATAAAAATAAAATTAAGAAAAAAAATAGTCCAATAAAGTAAGAAAAAAAAAGCAGAGTAATGACTACTGATTCTCAGTTAGCTTTCTTCTTAAAAATTAATAAATATAGTATAACAATCTTTTTGAAAGTTACAAACATGAGTTGTTTCCATAAATAATCTTTAATAAGAAAAAGAGATGTCTTAGAAAGTGGTAACATGAGTGCTACATTCAGAGTCAGTATTCTCATCCCATACAGTTTGAGGACTGCATTGCTACAGAGGCAGTGGTGTGGAGATACTGCCTAATCACTTGGCTAGGATGTTGTCTGTGAGATCTTGGCTATAAGGATATTTTTTTTCTCCTTTGTGTTAGACATTTGTTCAGTGAGACCCAGCTCTTCTTAACAATAGTAGCTAGGGTGCCCATTGCAAGCCTTACTTGAGCCAGTTGTTAGCATGTTTGTTGCAAAATGAAAGCCTGAAGCTTCTAAGCATCAGAAAGTTACAATCTTTATGTTGGTGGTTTGTGGAGAACAGAAGGGAGGAGGCAAGCTTATCCCTACCTGGGTGTTACCTCCTCAAGTACCTGCTGCACCTGACAACATGGACTAAAGGGAGGAGTTTGGATCTCCACCCTGACACTTCAAAAACTGTAGAATAATCGTATCTGACAATTGAATCGGGGTATTTTAAGCTTATTTAAGATAGGCCTTTAAATTTGGAGATGCTGTCTTTTTACCATATGTCAAACTATCAGAAACTTTTTCAAGCTTGTTTCTTTTCAATTTTTTTTTTAAATGGCAGAGTGTACCATCTCATATTCCAGAAGTCCAACAAGAAAATATGACCAATCCTCCAAACGTAGCAGGTATGAAAAGCTACTTCCAGCAAAGTGTCATAGATAATGTGTAGTATAATTTTTAAGTGTAACTTTTTTTTTTTGAGACAGGGTCTTTCTGTGTAGTTCTGGATATTCTGGAGCTTGGTAGGTAGTCCAGGCTGGCCTCGAACTCAAGAGATCCTCCTGCCCTCTGCCTCCCTGATGCTGGTATTGCAGGTATGTTCCACCACACCTGGCTTTCATGTAACTATGGGGGGAAAACACAAAACAGACTTAAAAATAAGCCAATGGCAGTCATAAAATACAAATGTGAAGCTTATCAATTTATTCAAGATTATAAATGTGTCCACAAAATATCCTATCTAGACTTTTGGGGTTTGGAGTTTGAGGATGTACTTTAATTTTTTTATTTAGTCTTGGCATTGTAAGTTATGAGATTTTTTTAGAGATGAAGTAATGATTTTGTACTATTTCTTGGTTTAGCTTTTCATTGCTAACTTTTAACTTTGACAGTGAATCTATTTGCTGATCCACAGCAAGATGGAGAAGATGAACAAGAGTTCATTTTAACTTTGGTGGAAATCCCAACAAATGCCTCAGAAGGATTTATTGATGGCTCCATGCAGCTAATGCCAAGTTCTATGTTGCCAGCACCTATACTGGTCAGATCTGGGAATGCAGTAGAAAGAAGTGACCTGAGGTAAAAAAGGCAAAAAAGAGTTAAACTGTTCTACAAGGAGGAAAGGCACTTCATGAAAGAAGTATTAAACAAGTCAACTATACACTGACTTTTTTTTTTTAACATTCATTTATTTAAAAGTACATGAGTGCTTTATCTGGATGTGTACCTGCAGGTCAGAAGGGGGCACTAGATCACATTATAGATGGTTGTGAGCCACCATGTGGTTGCTGGGAATTGAACTCAGGACCTCTGAAGAACAGCCAGTGCTCTTAACCACTGAGCCATCTCTCCAGCCTCTCACTGACATTTTTTTTTTAACTATAACTATTAATTTATGTTAATAGTACAAATTAGTGCTGCTCATTTTGACATTTCCATATATGAATATGGTGGTTTGCTTTTGTCTGCTCTGTTCTACCCCTTTTAGACGTTGTTTTACTCCCCTGTCATCTGCCCTAAAATCCTTCTGCTTTTGCAGGATTTTTTGTTTCTGGTTTGTCTTTTTTTTTTTTTCTTTCTTTTTTTAATGTCTACATATGAGAAAAAAAATGTTTTGTTTTGTTGGTGTGTGTGGGGGGGGGTGTTATTTGACATAACACACTATTCCAGGTCTGTTCATTTTCTTGCTAGTTGTAAATTTCATTTTTCCTTTTGGTTGAGTAGCAAATGCTTTGTGTGTGTGTATGTGTTTGTATGCATGTATACATACTTCTAACATTTTCTCTATCTACTCATCTTGATGGGTTGATGAGTACTTAATCTGATGCCATAGCTTCTATAATTTGACTTGTTACTGATAGTATCACAATAAACATGGGTGTTTGGGTGTTTTGTTTTGTTTTCATGCTAACTTCATTTCCTTCAGATCTACATATATGTGGACCATAAGCTAGGTCTATCTTCAGATTTTTGAGGAACCTCCACTGTGTTTTCTATAATGGCTGCCTGATTTTTATTCCCACTAGCAGTGTGTTCCTTTTTTTTTTTTCACATCATTGCCAGCATTTGTTTTTTGCTTTTTGCTTTTTTTTTTTTTTTTTTCATAATAGCTATTCAGACTGGATAAGATAGTTTTGATACTGCATTTTTTCATAAGTTTGTTGAACTGTTGTGCTTTTGAGCAATTGCAACCTATTGCAATCAGTTGTCCATTTTTAATTTAGTTTCTAAGTCAGTGTATATTGGTTGTATAAAGGATGGTGTTTGTTTATGACACTTTGATAGATGCATGTATCTGGGTCTGGCTTTGTGACCTGGCTTGAGTTTTTGCTCTAAGTCTTCGTGCCTTAGCCTCCTGAGCATTGGGATTATAGATATGGAATACATACCTACCTTTTAAAAAATTCTGTAACATAGGCTGGCAAAGATAGCACAGCAGGTAAAGCCACTTGTTTGCAAGCCTGATGACCTGAGTTTGATGCCCAGACCCCACATGATGGAGGAAGAGAACTCCTGTGTGTTGTCCTCTGAACTTGCAACACATGCTTTGCATATATACTTTCTTCCCTTCAGCACACAAATGAATTAAAAAAAAAAAAAGGTTCCAGTTTTTCTTTTATTTCAGAAGCCTATAGTTTGGTTTAATTTCATTTGTTCATTGGTACTTTTGTTTCCTGAGCTATTGGAGCTACATGTTTCTCTTGTGTTTCCTTCTTGTATTTTCAAAGTTCCATCTCTTACATTAAGATTTTTGATCTGTTTGGAGTTGGTTTTGGGTAGGATAAGACAAAGGGTTCTAGGTTTTTTTGTTTGTTTGGTTTGGTTTTTGAGGCTTTTTATTTTGTTGTGTTTTTAGATTTGTTATAGATGTATGTGTGAGTGTTTTGCTTACTGTATGTATATGTACCATGAATATGCACCTGATTCCCTTGGAGGCCAAAAGAGGGCATCAGATTCCTCTGGAACTGGAGTTAACCAGGTGGTTGCTTGTGAATTACCATGTGCTGGGAACTGAACCCGGTTCCTCTGCATCAAGTGCTTTTAACTGCCGAGTTACCTTTCCAGCCCGAGATTCTAGTTTTAAATCTCTATGGATGTAAGTTTTCCCAGCACCGCAGGTGGACGAAGCTCTGTATTGTACACTGTATTGTTTTGACACCTGTGCTAAGAAGCAGCTGCAGATAATTTGCATTTCTTTCTTTCTTTATTCTGTTTGGCCTGTATTTTTTTTTTTTTATGGCATTGTCCTGCTGTTTTTGTTACTAGTGTTCATTACATATTTTGAAAATGGATATTTCAGTACTTGGAGCATTGATTCTTTTTCTTAGGATTGCTTTGACTATTGAGGCTCTTGTGCTTCTATATGAATTTTTATATGTTTTTTTCTTAGTTGTGTGGAGAATGAATGGCGCTCTGAAGGGAATTGCATTGGCTTGCAGATTGCTGTCCTGACTAAACACTGTGACTAAACACTGAACACATCTTCTGCTGCCTTCAGCTTCTTCTAAAGTCTTTTACCTGCTGCAGCGGGTTTTCTTTCTTTCTTTCTTTCTTTCTTTCTTTCTTTCTTTCTTTCTTTCTTTCTTTCTTTCTTTCTTTCCTTTCTTTCTTTTAAGGCTGTTGTGAATGGAATTCTTTTCCTGGTTTCATTGTTTAATTCTCAGTGAATTTTTTATTGGTATAATGGAAACATTATTGAAACTCTAACTCCAGCACTTGGGAGGTAGAGGCAGGTGGATCATTGTGAGTTAGATGCCAGCCTTATCTACAGAGTGAGTTCCAGGATAGCCACAGCTACACAGAGAAACCCTGTCTTGAACCTCCTCCCCACAGAAAAAGAAATGTTACTGAATTTCATATATTTATTTTTATATCCTGCTTTGCTGCATTTCTTTACCTGTTCTGAGAATCTTTGGGTGGAATATTTAGGATTTTCTATCTTTAGAATCATACCATCTTCACACAGGGATAATTTGACATCCTTTCCCTTTTCTGTCTCTTTCCTTTCTTTTAATTGTTACAGCTAGAATTTTGAGTATTATGTTAATCAGAGAGTATAAATCTCTGTTTTGTTCTTGCTCTTACATTAAATGCTTTCATTTTTGTTCCATTTGATAGGATTTTATCTGAATTCATCATATATGGCCTTTGTGTTGCAGTATCGTCTTTGTATACATAATTATTAAAGGGTTTTTACCATGAAGGTATATTGAATTTTATCAGAGACTTAATTCTTCATCTATTGATATTATGTAATATTTATTCTTGAGTATATTTACATGCTTTGTTATTGATTTGTATGTATTAAACTATCCTTTTTGAGATGAAATCAACTAGATCATGGTATATGGTCTTTTTAAGATTTTTTTTTTTCAGCTGAGTAAATAGGTTAAGGGTTCCAAGGAGGAATTACAAGGGAGGAATGTTTATTTAATTACATCTGCAAATATTTTATTGAAGATTTCTGCATTGTATTTAGCAAGGATGTTGATCTTTACTTGTGTCCTCAGGTTTTGCAAGGTACTACTGGCTTCGTAGAGTGAATTTGAAAGAACGCTGTTTTGTTTAGTAGATTGATGTTCTGTAAGTTTGGTAAAATATAGTAGTAAATTCCTCTGGTTCTGAGATCTTTCATGAGTGACTTTTTGATACTACTTCAATCTCAGTGTTGATTATTAATCTAATTAGGGCTTTTTTTTCCTCTTCAGTTTTGGCAGGTCATGTGCATCAGACATTTGTGTATTTCTTCTATAGTTTTTAATTTATTGGCATATAGTTTTCAGAATATTCTGTAATGCTTTTAATTTCACTAGTATTATACTATCGCCCTTTTATTATTTGGGGGCAGGTTTTTCTTTTCAGGACAGGCATAGCAAACTGTCAAGGAGTCACCTGCTTTACTTCATTGATCCTACCTTTCACTTTCCATTTGTCATTTTCAGATTCACTTATTGCCTTCTAAAGCCTTGATGGTACACTCTATTTCTTTTGAATGGAAGCTATGTGCATAGAGGCCAGAATACAGCTTTGGATAACAGTCCTTAGACAGCATCTTTGTTTTGAAGAGTCTAGCTAGTCAATAAGCCCCAGAGATTAGCCTTTGCCCATGCCACCAGCCCTGGGAATACATTCATGCCACCGTGCTGGCTTTCTTATGGGAATTCTGAACATTGACCTTATGCTTTTGATACAACTACTTTGCCAGTTGTGCTATTACTCCAGCTTTATTTTTCTATATATAGATATAGAGTCTCTCTATGTAGCCCTGACTGTCCCAGAACTTGCTATGAAGTTCAGGCTGGCCTCAAACTCAACAGAGATCCATCTGCCTCTGCCTCCAGAGTGTTGCTATTAAAGGAATGCATGATTATATCCAGCCAAGAATCAAGTACTCTTAACTGCTGAGCCATCTCTTCACCCCCTTACTCTGTACTGTTTTTCTAGTCAGGTGACTGGCCAATGTCTCGCTGTACCTTCCCTTCCTTATCCCACAGCTCTGCTGGTCATAGGCTAGACCTAGTTACTTATGTGGGTTCTGAAGAGTTGCACTCAGGAGCTATCTCCAAAATTTCTTGTTTCTAGGAATTTTTTATTTTCTGTCAGATTTCTTTAATCAAGTCTTTCTGCGGGTTTATTATTAAATCTCCATATGTAAATCCATTTGATCTAGGATGACTTAATGTATTTCTTTGTAGGGGTTTTGTCTTTTTGGTGGATCTATATTGAGAGTTGGGTATGGAAAGACAGTATTACTGTATTGAGGCCTATCTTGTTTACGTCAGTGTTATTTATATTATAAAAGTGAGTACTATGACATTCACTGACATTGTTGGTGATGGTTGTGGAGATCTTATTTAGTAATTATGTCATAACTTAAGACAATATGTTTTTATATTTGATGAAGATGCCATTTAAATGCATATACTTGAGACAGTTATGGTGGCATATGCCTTTAATCCCAGCACACAGGAAGCAGAGGCCAGGCTGGTCTATATAGAGTTCCAGGACATCCAGAGGTAACATGAAAAATCCTATCTCAAAAACATGAACAAAATAAAAAAATAAAAAATAACAACTAAAAAGTGTATATGATGCACAACTCTGTTTTATTGTTTTTGAACCATGATCTGTTGTACTACATTTCATCATGTGAAACTTGTTTGGTATGTTATTTGAGAATTAAAGCTCTTTGTGTTTCTTAGATTTAATTCAGTGTTGTTGAACTTAAATTGTGAGCCTTTAAGTATGAATGTATCCCAAACTATTATTTTTATTGCTGTGGCCATTATTTGCCAGGTTGTACTTCTGATACTCATTAGGACTTTCATTGGAATAGTTATTAAGTAGCTTCTAACTCACTGGTTTTGCATGCATTTGTTTTCTCTGCAGTGGGAGTTTACAAGCAACTTCAGTTGTTGAAGAGGCCACATGCTTCTCTCCTTCTGGAAATGGTGCTTCTCAAAAGCTTCCTGCTAACTTAGATCTTAAATCTAGGAAGAGATTTCGTTGCAGTCCTGATGAAAGCATTCACTTTCCTCCTGCCAAAAAGTCCTCAATTACTCCCGTAGTTGATCATCAAGAATGTGCTTCTGAGGTAACATTAGATTATTAAGTAACTGCCTTCCCATCTATCTCTTAACCTTTATACATGCATGCACATACGTACATATGGATGGACAGACATATGAAAACCTCTTTCTCACAGTTCTCATCATACATAATCCAGGTCAAGGTACTTTGGCATGGTCATTTTTAACCAGTTCAAAGAGCTAATTGATGAACAGTAATCCGGAAACCTCCAGTGACTGAACATAAAGCTACTAGCTTCATATCTATAAAAATAACTTTATTCACCTGTTTCAGTTGTTGTCTCGGAGGCTTACTGCTTCTGTCTGCTAACCCAGACCTAGTCCTGGAAGCTTCTGGCCTCCATACGATCTAACCTAGGCCTAGAATGTTTTCAGCCTCTGAGACTTACTGTTTAATAAGCTCACCCTTTCTTGTTCTGAGCTAGCTGGTTCAACTCAGCTGTTCTGGCTTAACCTCCTCTTCCAGCTGACTTACTCAATCTGGCTTCTCTCTTGTCCTTTGAATTGCTCTGCTTGGGCTCAAACTATCTCCAGAAATCTGTTTTAATCTTCTGGCTCCTTCTCCTTCTCTGGCTCATTCAGCCTTCATGTGAGCTCTCTCTGCAATCTGTCGGGGTAAAATTGCCTCCCCTTTCTCTCATTTTCTGTGTTGCTCACTTAAGTAGCTTTCCTTTCCTTAGAGAGAGGCAATAAGCCTCTGACACAACAATTGAAACAGGCGAATAAAAGTCACTTTTGCACATATCCATCTGGATCTTCACTCTGCCCCCTATGTAGCAACTATGGTATGCAGATTAACAACTTCAGGGCTCTGAGTGAACTTTCTGGTGTGTTCAGACAAACAAACAAACAAACAGTAATAATTTCTTCATCATGTGTTGGCTTTTCCTTTGTACTATGGAATAAAGCCAGGTCCTCCAAGGCTCAGTATAGTCTGTTCTGCCTCATACATTTGTGCTAGTCTCCATCTCGCTTTCTAGCCATGTTGGCCCTCTTGATTCCTTGAATGCTGTGTAAATTCATTGTGTCCTCAGGCATTTCATTTGCTCCCCTCTGCGTAGAGCATTTCCTTATAAAGCATTACAGACTTCGCTCAGTCGTCACTACCGCGGGGAGTCCAGGCAGACTATAAAGTCCCTGTTCACTGTGTTACAAATTTCATAGTAGCCTCTTGGTTTTGTTATGTTTCTGCTACTGGTCATAATCTGTAACTTCACTGTGAAAGTCAATTTAAAATTGTGTTCATAAAGGAAAAATTGAAGGCCAACAGTTCTTGGTAGCAGACAAAGTATCATTTATCTGATAGGAAAAAAATGGTATTCCAAATTTTTAATGTTTTGTGTTAGTTGATAAAATTACGCATAAGTTAAAGAGCTTATTTCTGTCTCTTTCTCTGTGAAATGCCTTCTATAGTCTTTACTTGTTTTTAAAATGTATTATTGATCTTTTTTATTTTGTGTTTTACTTCTCAAGACAGTTTCCCTGGGTATCCCTGACTGTCCTGGAACATGCTCTTTAGACCAGGCTGGCCTTAAACTACCACACCTGACCCAAATGACATTTTTTTTTAATGGATCTAAAAGACTGAGAAACAAATATTTAGGTTCTTGTGTTTTTTTATTACTGTTATTATTTTTAAGATGGGGTTTCTCTTTGTATCCTTGGCTGTCCTGGACTCTATTTGTAGACAAGGCTGGCCTTGAACTCATAGTGATCAGCCTGACTCTGCCTCCCTGAGTGCTGGCATTATAGGCGGGTGCCACTGTACCCACCTATATTTAGTTTGTTTGTTTTTTTTAACTCTTATCTTTTTTACATAGATTTTTTTTTTTTTAACTTTTCAGCTTTGCTTTTTTAAAATTAAGTTATTGGGCATACGCTAGGCTTCCAATTAGAAGGTAGAAAGCATAACTTAGAACAGAAAAAAAAATCTTTTATTTGTAATTGCTTATATTTTCATTGCTGGGAACTAAACCTAGTGCCTGGTTTGTGCTAGGCAGGTGCTCTACCACTGAGCTGTGTGTGCGTGTGTGCGTGTGTGTGTGTGTGTGTGTGTGTGTGTGTGTGTGCGCGCGCGCGCGTGTGTGTGCATGTGCTTTTTGCTGTGATTATTTGTTTGAGATAGGGTCTCACAGTATATTCCAAACTTGGCTGAAACTTAATGAATCCCCTGCTTTTGTGTCTAGAGCAAGTTCTCGACCTTCCTGATGCTGCAACCCTTTAATACAGTTCCTCATGTTGCGGTGAACTTTAACCATACAATTATTTTAGTTGCTACTTCATAACTATAATTTTGCTGTCATGAATCATGATATAAATATGTGATAGGCAGGCTATCTGAGATGTGACCCCCAAAGTGGTCATAACCAGTGGGTTGAGAACCGCTAGTCTAGAGTATTTAGATTACGGATATGTGTCGCCATTTGTGATCCAGTGGTTAAACTTTGCTTTGCTGTAAACAAGGTTTTAATTGGTACACCATGAGGTGACTTGGGAAGTTAATAGTAACTTTGATATTGCTTGTGGTAACTTTATTTTTTAAGTGGTAACTATGGGGACAGGTAGACCACATTCTTGAGTTAAAACATGAGAAACTGTGTTCAATTTCCAGCCCGCAAGTAAAAATTCTAGGTATGGTGGCATATGCTTAGAACCCTAGTGCTGTGGAGACAGAATCAGAAAGATCCATGGGTCAAGCAGCCTAGGCTTCCTGGTGAGCACCAGCTCAGTGAGTGACCCATCTTCAAACAGGTGATCAGTATTCTGAGATACCAGAGGTAGTCCTTTGACTTCGCCCACACTCACTTATTACAAAATGTAAATACAAATGAAAAGTGTACATTGTTATCAGTATATTAAGAAAATAAGTGTAGGGCTGAAGAGTTGGCTCATAAGTTAAAAGCAAGTGTCGCTCTTGCAGAGGACCTGGGTTCAATTTCTAGTGTTTACATGGTGGTTCACAACTTAGATAAACTGTGTCCCAGTGCATCTGATGCCCTCTTTTGAGCTCCAAGGACATCTGATACTCATGTCATGTGCAGACATACATGCAGACAGGACAATAAGCTCTAAGAAGAGGAAAGGAACATCTGCTGGGTTTATTTGTGATTTTATTTTATAGGCTTTGTTTTAACTTTAACAACAAAATATTATATATGCGAAGTCCGTACATTGTCCTGTTTTATCCTCCCTCCCCCCGTCTATTTTTTCTTCCTTTTGAAACAAGAAGGATCTGGTGCTTATGTAGCCTAGGTTGGGCTCAAAACTCAGGATTATGCTGCCTCTGTCTTCCAGGATGGGATTATAGATAAATGCTACCACAGCCAGTTTTCTCCTATATTGTTTTCAACCCAAAGTAGCATACTATATATATTCTGTTTGCTTGATTGCAAAACCTGTAGTCATTAATTTTTTTCTTAATTATTTTTCAAAGGAATAAATAGTTCTATAAATAAATGTGATTTTTCTCCTCTTAAATTATATTAGACTTTGTAAAGTAATGAGGTAGACTTTTTCTCATGTTGGATATCTTTGCATTTTTGAAGCCATGATGCATTTGTTAATTGGTTCTTTGTAAAGGTGTTTGAGTTGAGGGATCAGGGATCTATTTCAGTGGTAGGTAGCTTCTCTCAGACCATGACTTGGATACTCAGTACCATAAATATAAATTTTTCATTTCACATCTTGAGATTTGGTAGTTGGTAAAGACATTTGGCAGCTTTCACCTTTCCTCTCTGCTCTAGAACAGACTAAATATCAGCAATGTCTTTTTTCACAAATGTTTTCACTTGTGGTATAATTCTGCCCCTGGCTCTAGAGCTTTCTTGGAAATGCACTTTTTCTCTAAGGCATTGGGGAGGGATGGAATTTTACTTTTACTTAATAAATGAATTTCTAAAACTTGTAATTTTTCTTGACACAGGTATGTTCAAAGGAATTAAATGTTTTTGAGAAAACAGGTGAGTGAGGTAAATTTAAATAAGACTATATTTTGCTAAGTATCCTTGGGTATTTCTGATAAATTTTGACCATGAGGTAAAGCCTTCCACATTTTTATCTAATATCTCAGACCACTGAACCCTCTCTTTTGTAACTTACTCTTTAATATGACACCAGCAATAATTTTAAAAGCGTTCTTAAGACCCATTATTATGGGTAAAACAGATATCTGATAAACCTTAGATTTTCAAAAGAATAATATCATTTTAAAAGTCCTTATCTATGCTTGTATTTTGAAGTATTTTTCTTACGTTTCACTGTGAATATTTCAGACTTGCAGTAAGGCTTTTGATACATTTTAAATTGAGTTTTATATAGGATAAGAGATAGCTAACAAGCTTCATTCATTCTGCATGACAATAACTAGTTTTCTCAGCACTGTTTGAAAAGATAGGCTATCTTTGCTCCAGTATTCTAGTGCCTTGTTGAAAAATCAGATGGCTGCAACTGTACATTTATTTCTATTCCTTTATTCTACTGCACTGCATGGCTGTTTTTGTACTAATACATGCTATTTCTATTACTGCAGTTCAATGTTAGAATTTTATCAGTATCTTTCGGAGACGAATGATCTGGACTATTGTTAGTGCTTTCCACTGTGGTTTTACTTTGATTCACTTTTTGATTTTCAACATTTTTATTTGTTATGTCTCCTCTGTTTGTCCTTGCACTCCCCAAACCTCTGCTCTCATCCCCCCAAATCTCAGTTTCCATGCTTACTTTCACATCAGTGTTGCTGAGTCTTCTCTGGGTCCTGAATTGAATTCTTCATTTATTTGCTTGCTTGTGTTTTTGGAACCGTTGATCATTTTTACTACTAGCCTTGAGCTCTTCATCATGCATTTTCCCAGTTCAGGAGAAATCATGTTGACTTGCCTTGTAATGTTTCTTGTGTTTCTGCGTTGCAGTTTTGTAGTTTGTATGTTGCTGGGGCAGATCTTATCTTGTCTTTTCTGTTCTGTTCTGTTCTCTTTTTAGTAGACCAGGCTTTGTAGACCAGACTGGCCTCAAATTCACAGAAATCAACCTGCCTCTGCCTTCTCCAAGTGGTGGGATTACAGGTATCAGCCACTGCGCCCGGCTCAGATAATTGTTTTTTTAAGACAGGGTTTCATTGTTTATTCCCGGCTGTTCCTGAACTTGTGGCAAACTTTCTGCCTTTGTCTCCTACCTGCTGGGATTCTGGGCATGTATCACCACACCCATGGGCTACAGTAGGTAGCCCCTGCTGGTCTGGAACTCACTGTGTATACCAGGCTAGCTGGCTGGCCTCAAAAGATCTTCCTGCCCTCTGCCTTCTAAGTGCTGGGATTAAAGGTGTGCTCCTTGGTTTCTTGTTTTTGCTTCTTAGCCTTTCTTTTACTGCATGCTTTTCAGCTGTTTCTGGTTTCTTCTGCTTGCTGATGCCCTTGGTCTTTTTCTCTCTTATGTAGAGTCTGTAGTTTGTTTCCTGACTTGTCAATCCTGGTGTCACATGGAGGCTCTGTTGATCCACTATCTTTGTAACCTCCCTTTCCAAGTCATTTTCTTGATATGTCATCTGAGATAGTGTCTACTATATATGGCAGGTTGGCCTAGAACTCTTTGTAGCCTCAGGTTGACCTCGAACTCGTGCAGCAGCTTTTTTGTTTTAGCCTTTTGAATGCTGGCATTACAGGTTCATCTCACTGTTTTTTCTTTAACTGATAATTCCTAGTAGTCTACTCCATTGATCATAACATAGATTGACCTTGGTGAGCTGTTTTTGTTATAGAATACCATGGGTTTTTCCTTCAGATACTCCAGTTTAATTGACTCTTTTTTTAATATTTTCATGTGTGCACTCTCTCCTGTTTTTTTTTTTTTTTCTCTCTCTCTCTCTTAGAAGAGGAGTCTTGCATAGGACAAGGCATTTTCCCTACCTCAGAGAACACACATACAACCTCAAAACCTCAGAAGGAACACAAAGAATCAACTTCGCAGAATACAGGATCATCTGGATCTCTTGATGAAATAAAAGATGCATGTATAGAAAAGACCATGACTCAGTTGCCTCAGGATGAGATGGTGTCTGATAAAGAAGAGAAAACTGATCCTGCTTCCAGTTCTGAAAAAAGAGATAGCATGACATCATCTTCAAAACCCCCTCTGACCAGGTATTGTGAGAAACTTTTTAGTTAGCTGGGCACTTTGGCACACTCCTGTAATCCCAGCATTTGGGAAGACAGGCAGGCAGATCTCTCTGAGTTTGAGGCCAACCTGGTCTACAAAGCAAGTCCAGGACAGTCAAGGTTGTTACATAGAGAAACCCTGTCTCGACAAACAAAACAAAAGCATCCCTCTGACCCCGGGTAAGTAGAAACTATATGCATTAGGCATAATAGAACACGAAACCCAGGGCCCAATCATTTTATAGATGTGGCTCCATCAGTTATGCAAAGAAAGGCAGACACTTTAGCACAGACCTACAGAAGTAGTCCAGATACCTATTGTCTGTCACTGGAGCTTAGCCTCACTGAAACTAACAGTCAGACAGCAAGTCCTTGAAACATAGTGCACTTCTCTTCCTGCCTGTTTATGGTCATGGTTTTGATGAATACATACTGTTTTGCATGAAACCAAAGTGTAGATGAGATGTGACAACATAGAGTTGGGGCCCAGTGACTCTGGAAGTTTGTTTTATTCAATTTCCAAATAGTTTCCTTGTGGCTTTTAGTATGGGATTCTCTGTAGGTCCATACCCACTGCTGCCACATTGTTTTCATACATACACTAGAAAAACAGTCTTTAGGGTAATTACTATTCTCAGCTGCATCAGATAACTTTAACCTGGTTAGTTGATGATAACAGACACTAGGTTTCACTAAAGGGAAAAGATATGTACGTCTTTAAAAGGCTTATTTCAAGCCGGTCATGGTGGCACTTTAATCTCAGCACTAAACAGTTGGATCTCTCTAAGGTTGAGGCCAGTCTGGTCTACGAAGCAAGTTCCAGGACAGCCAGAGCGACACAGAGAAACCCTGTCTCAAAAAACCAAGGAGAGAAAAAAAAAAGAGGCTTACCTTACGTATTATTATTACTATTATTATTATTTTTTTTTAAATACTTTTGAAAGTAAAATTCATTAAATCTTTTCTGATCTTTAGGGTTTGTTGAAATTAGAAAAGGATAAGAGAGCATTATCAGGTTTGGTTTGAAACAAGTTGAGAAGCAGAGGGAGGCAGGGTAGTAAAACGTCCATCAGAGAAGCTCATAGGGAATGCCCTTAAGCTTCCCGGCCACGTGGCTTCTGTTGCAGCACAGAAGTCCTGGCACAGCAACTTTCTAAAACTATCAGTGCATTTGACTCAGGCCTCACCCGTTTTAAATTTTTTTTTTTTTTATTAAAAAGTTTTTATTTATTACAATTTATCCACTTTGGATCCCACCTGTACCCCCTTCTCATCCCCTCCCAATCCTGCCCTCCCTCATCTCCTCCCATGCTCCTTCCCCAGTCCACTGATAGGGGAGGTCCTCCTCCCCTTCCATCTGACCCTAGCCTATCAGGTCTCATCAGGACTGTCTTTCATGGTCTTCCTCTGTGGCCTTGTAAGGCTGTTCCCCCACTCAGGAGGAGGTGAGCGAAGAGCCAGCCACTGACATGTCAGAGACAGTCCCTGTTCCCATTACTAGGGAGTCCACTTGGAGATTGAGCTGCTATGGGTTACATCTGTGCATGGGTTCTAAGTTATCTCCATGCATGGTCCTTGGTTGGAGTATCAGTCTCAGAAAAGACCCCTGTTCTGTTGCACTCCTTGTGGAGCTCCAGTTCCCTCTAGGTCTTTTCTATCTCCCCTTTCTTTTGTAAGATTCCCTGTACTGTGTCCAAAGTTTGGCTATGAATCTCAGCATCTGCTTTAATACCCTGCTGGGTAGAGTCTTTCAGAGGTCCTCTGTGGTTAGTCTCCTGTCTTGTTCCTTGTTTTCACCCTCTTCTGATGTCTATCTCATTTGCCTTTCTGAATGAGGATTGAGCATCTTACCCAGGGTCCTCCTTCTTGCTTAGCTTCTTTAGGTGTACAAATTTTAGTATGATTATCCTAAATTATATGTCTAAAATCCACTTATAAGTGAGTGTATACCATGTGTGTCTTTCTACTTCTGGGATACCTCACTCAGGATGATCTTTTCTAGTTCCCACCATTTGCCTGCTAGTTTCATGATTTCCTTGTTTTTAATTGCTGAGTTGTATTCCATTGTGTAGATGTACCACATTTTTTATATCCATTCCTCAGTTGAGGGATATCTGGGTTGTTTCCAGATTTAGAATTCCATTTTAATAATATCCCCCACCAGCCTTGCCTCTGTCACAGATACACATTCTAGTGTAGTGTCATCGGTACTTAGTAAAATGTACCACTTTAGCATTTAATAGAAATAAAGTTATATTAAAGAAATGTCTTTGTTTTGTTTTGTTTTAGTTTTTTGAGGCACCATCTTCACTATGTATTCCTGCCTGGCCTGGGACTCAGATCCACCTGCCTCTGCCTCCTGAGTGCTGGAATTAAAGGCGTGTTGCCACCATGCCTGATAAAAGAATGTGCCTTGCTGAGTATAATAACACATGCCTCTTACCATAGCATAACAGTACTTATGAGTCAGGGAGATCTTAAATACATATAAACCTGTCTCCTATCAAATCAACAACAAAAACCAGTGGGTCTGTGTCTGTCTGTGATTCTGTCTGTGTGTACCTGTTGATATTTGAATGTTTGAATATCTTTGCATTTTCATTTCTAGACCCGGAAGAAGACCTTTGGGATTTTTGTCTTTAATATGTCCAAAAAATAGTTTGGAATCTGATGAAGTGACTCAAACCCATAGCAAGAAGCGCCTAAAGCCTCAAATACCCGTATCACGACGGAATTTGAAAAAATCTAATCCACTTAATGCAAGCCAGAAAAAAATTCCGGAACCTTCTGATCCACTCCCATCTCCAAGTGTTACTGATACTCAGCCCGATAATACTGGAAACTCACCAGCTCAGGTGTGTAAGAACTTTATTCTAAGCATTTTATTGTGAATGAGATAGTAGCCATCCTCTGAACTAGGGAAGATAGTGCTTCTTTTCAATTGGATGTCAGAAATTATTTTAGTACAACTTCCTTTTACCACAAAAAGTGCAGCTAATTTGAAGCTATTGAACTAGCCAAAAATAGGGCATTTAACTTGCCATTCCTTCAATCCAAAGGCACTCTGACCCATAGAAGCTAAATGAAGTATTGTGTGTAGTTTATTTGTCTTAGGAAAACAGGTCCTGATATGGAAAAATTCAAAAAACATAAAAGTACAATTTGTTTGAATGTCATTTCTATGCATCCCTAGGCTCTCTAATAGTAAGTACCAGGATGAAGAAAGAAAGAAAAAATCTGACATTGATGAATTATTATTATTTGTTGTGCAGTGCTGGGGATTTAACTTGGGGCTTCTTGGAGTGTCCATATATTTAGTAAAATGCCTCATCAGGGAGCTACTTTATCATATCAGCATTAGCATCATGATCAGTTATCTTACAAAGTACTCGTAGCTGTTAGCAGTGTGACAATACCAGGGTAAACACAGCATTGCCAGTGTTAAATATAATGCCTCAAAAATAACTCTGTCATTGTTAAATATGATTGAGGGGTGAAATCGCTATTTCATTGTTTGAATTTGTATTTCCTTAATTACTAGTAACTTGGGTTTTAAAAATATATTTACTAGAATTTTCTAGTTGTATTATGAGTTTATTTATTGCTGTCTTAGACATTTTGATTAGGAATTTTTCTCCAACTTGTTGGGCATGGTAGCTTATACCTATATATAACAAGCACAAGGGAGGCCAACGTAGGAGGATTGCAAGTTCAAGGCCAGCCTTGGCTACGTAGGGACACTCAAAATGAACGTTTTATTAAAACTTTTTATATAAAAATTTTAATAATTAGCTTTGAAGGCTTTATTTTGGTCATGGTTATTGACTTTGTTATATGATGTGAGGCAGAATTCAAGGTTGCTGGGTTTTCCGTCAAAATAAAAATATCAATTTTGAAATTTTTCTTTCAAAATTTACACATTGAAAAGAGTTTATTGTTGAAGTATTCTCTTTTCACAGATTTATGGTTTTGCCAGTTTGGACCATCATATCCAGATCTCTCTCCCTTATATAAATAACATCCTGTTTTCTATCTCCTCTTTGTCAAAACAAACAGAAGGCCAGTGTGTCTTACAGAACTTTGTGAGACAGCAAAGTGCTTTTTCTCTCTCACTTTCCTATTTCTCAACATTTTCATTTTGAGATAATTGTAAATTTCTCATGCAGTTCTAAGATATAATCATCTCCCCCCCCACCCCCAAAGAAATGAAGTTTCATCCAGCTTTCCCCAGTCCTAATATTTTAGAAACTGGTATTCCAATTTCAACATTGCTTCAGTCAGGATACAAAACAGCTCCCAAGATAGTTTGGAGTATCCATATATTTAGACCAATCTGCTTCCTTCTATTTCCACTCCCTTCTTAGCAGTCTGTTCATTAAGTGTGTTGTTTTTCAGAAATGTTACATAAGTTGAATTACACATTTAAGATTAGCATCTCCCTACTGACATAGTTTCCTGAATATTTATTCAGATAGTTTTGCATATTCATAATTTGTTGATATTTTTTCTGGTAGTTTGTTTTATTATTTTTACTTTTATTATTTTGAGGTGACATTTCATTATATAGCTTGAGCTATCTTGTAGAACTCACTGTATAGCCCAGGTTGGCCAGGAAAAGGTGATCTGTTTCTGACTCTAGTAGCTTGTTACTTTTTGTTGCAAAATAGTATTTTGTGGCATGTTTTTTGTTTATAAACATATTTTTATTTTTTAGTGATAAAAGTGCCACAGGCCATTCTGTCTAATGACTATATGGCATTCCCTTATTGGGTTGTAGCACTCAGTAATGGTAATGCCAAGTTTATAGTATAAGCATGTAGGTTGTTCCTACTTATGTGCCATTTCACACATCACAGTAATAGCTGTCTTCTAAATAGGTCATTTTTACCTGTTCATCTGTAGACTTAATAGATGTCAATAGAACAGTATAGCATACTGGGCTAAATAGGGAGTTCTACAAGTGTCTGTTCTGTTAATATATACAATTAGAAATACTTGGTCAAAGGAATGATGAATGATTGTTCTATTGATAGGTGCTGCCTGCTCTGCCTTCATAGGGACCATGCCATTGACCATGTTATCAATAATTGCACTGCCTCTGCAGCCTCTGTCCCTACCCCGGCACACACACACTTTTGATCTTGTTTTGTGAATATCAGCAGGCCTTTAGTTGGAATCCAAGGGTTTATGATTATAGAAGTGTTTTGCCCAGGAACGTCTCTGAAGGTTAGCAAGCAGGGTGACCTGAGGTCAGGCCTGCTTGTTCCCTGGTCAGGGGGTCCCCTCTCAACTGGGAGACCCAGACATTGGTGTTTTGGGGCCCAGGAAAAAGACAAACAGGCTGAGAAAGAAATTAGGGAAATAACACCCTTCAACCCTTCATAATAGCCACTAAAAAAAAAAGAAAGAAAGAAAGAAAGAAAGTATCTTGGTGTTACCCAAGCAAGCGAAAGACTTGTATGAAAAAAAACTTGAAGTCTCTGAAGAAAGAAATTGATGATAATAGGAGAAGGAAAGATGCTCCTGGATCGGTAGGATCAACATAGTGAAAATGGCCATCTTACCAAAAGTAATTATAGACTCGATGCAGTCCCCATCAAAATACCAACACAATTCTTTACAGACCTTGAAAGAACAATTCTCAACTTCATGGGGCGGGGGGAGGTGGACAAAAACAGAATTGCTAGAACAATCCTCTACAATAAAAGATCTTCTGGAGTTATCTCCAACCCTGATCTCAAGCTGTACTATAGAGCAACAGTAATAAAAACTGAATGGTACTGGCATAGAAACAGACTGGTGGATCAATGGAATTGAATTAAGACATGAACTCCGTTGCCTGCTCTTCAATCACCTCCCCTGGGTCAGGCAGCCTTGCTAGGCCACAGAGGAAGAGGATGCAGGCAGGCCTGAAGAGACTTGATAGTCTGGAGTCAGTTGGCAAGGGCTCCCCCTATCTGAGGACTAGGGGACTGATGGATGAACAGGATAGGGGGAAGAGGGAGGGTGCTACAGTTGGGATGTAAAATGAATAAATTAAAAAAAAAAAAATAGAAAAAAAAAAGAAGTGTCCTCTTTTGCCCATTCATTCTCTATAGCCTTTATGAGCAGATAAACTTATTATTATGAGGTTTAACTTTTATGTGAGTCATTCATACCTTTTTTTTTTTTTTTTTTTTTTTTTTTAAAAAAACTTATTTTCAGAGTGATTTATAGAAAATCTTAAGAAAATTAAGGGAAAAGTACATTTTGTGATGGGTTTTTTTTTTCTATATGCCATATATATTTTTGTTTTTGTCATGCAGACACTTTTTAGTTTTGTGTAGGTAAAATTGTCAAAACCTTTTTTCCTTTTGATGTCTAAGTCATTTAAAGATAATCAGTTTCCTTAATCCAGGAGATGAAAGTATCATTTTATAGCTTGTTATAGTAGGTTTTAGTTGTTTCAATGCTTCACCTGTTTGTTTGTTTGTTTGTTTGACAGGATTTCTTTGTGAAACAGCCCTGGCTCTCCTGGAACTGGCTCAGTGTGTAGACCAGGCTGGCCTTAAACTCACATAGATCCACCTGCCTCTGCCTCTGCCTCCCAAGTGCTGGGATTACCACTGCCTGGCCATATTTTTACATTTAAGCCTTTGAGTCATTAGAATATTTTTGTGTAAGGTATAGGTCTAACTTTCCTACTTGTGGGTGTATAGTCAGTAACCAAATACCCCAGCTTTCCTCATTTTTATAAAACTTTTATAGTTTGGGACAGGGTCTTGCTATGTAGCCTGTCCTGGAACTTACTGTGGAGAGCAGGCTGGCCTCAAACTCAAGAGACCCACCTGCCATTGCCTTCCAAGTGCTGTGATTAAGGTGTGCGCCATATTTTTAAATTATCTTAGTTCTCACACCTTCCCTCCCAGAGCCCCCAACACTCTCGTTCTGTATCCTTATTTTACTTCATAACTCACTGTTTGGCCCATATGTGCATGGGTGTGAGCCAAACAAAAAACTGACTTTTGGAGGCTAGAAAGAGTGCTGCAGAGGGCCCAGTTTGATCCCCAGCATCCACAAGATGGCTCACAACTGCCTAACCCAGTTCTAACTATGGTGCACCTAAAGTCATGCAGGCGTGCATATGTATGCATGAATTATTTTTTAAAAATGAAATCTCTGTATGCACACATAACACACACGTTAAAGTTTTATCTCTTCTATTGGTGTGCATATGGGTTCATGTACTAATATTATGCTGGTTTTTATTTTGTATTTTAAGATTTATAAATATGCTAATCTTTGATTTTTTTTTTTTTGAGCTTCTGCTCTTACTCCAGCAGTTGAAAGGTTTTAGTTGCAGATTTAACAGTGATTTAGTTTTCCATGTTTAAATTTCTTTTTCTGAGAATCAGAATGAGGTAATCACTCTGTAATGTACTTAATAATGGATATTAAAATTTTAGCTTGCCTCTTTTTTTTTTTCTCATGTGTATATATGTTTTCACCTGTATGTGGGTACGTATGTAGAGGCCTAAGGTTGGCCTCTGGCCGTCATGCCTACCTAGCATGTGTATGGGTTATGTACTTATGCAGCAGGTGCTCTAAGCACTTGTCTCCCAGCCTTTCGCTCTTCCATTATGCTGCCAGTTACCTTCCTATTAAATGGTAGAGCTCTTCCTTGCCTAGCATTGCTTTACCTTTTGTTGTTGTTGTTGTTGTTGTTGTTGTTACTGTTCTTTTTTAACCTTTGATAGGGATTGAGCCCCGGTCCTCATGCCAGTTAGTAAAGCAATGTACCAGGAACAAGTCCTCACTAGCAATATATAAACATTGTATTACATTTTAGCTTTATTATCTTCCTAGGTTTCTTCTGATCAACCATTGCAAACAGAAAACTGTGAAGATGGGCCAAAACGAGCACCTGAAGAGGAGGCGACCACAGTCTCAGAGCTTGTTTTCAGTGACATCTTCATTGAGGTGGACGAAGCAGAATGAAGCACTCTTCGGGGTTTCCTTCCTTCCTTCCTTTTCTTTCTAGTTTTGAAATAAGTTTGAAATGTCAAGAGTCCCTGATGTTAACAAAGCAGTGTTTAGAAAAGCACCACTGCCCATTTTTATTTAAGTCAATTTTGAATATATATTGAGCTCAATTTGAAGCTTTTATAATCAACGGCAAACATTTCATTCTGATTTACTCTGCATTTTGGAAATCCGAGCAATTACGACTGTTCTCTGTGCTGACAGACGTTACAGCATGTTTACACTTGACCAGCCCCGTGCTGGACACACCTGGACTGGGGGACTAGTGGACACACATTTGCATAAATCATAGTGCTAACATATTCAAGCCTGATTGTATTTAAGGTTTAGTGACCTTCTTTTGTAAAGGTGGCTTTGTTTTGTTTTTAGGGTGTTTTGTTTTTTGTTTTTTTTTTTTTTTCTTTTTTGAGGGTGATAAAGGTCTGTTCAGTTGCCTGTAATACGAAAGCAAATTGTGAAACTCCACTTTGGTATGGTAAAGTTAAAACTTTTCTATTATCAACTATTTGACTGGAAAAAAAATGTGTATTTTTCTAATTCTTGGTGGTGTAACATTAGTCCTAATTGAAGATCTAGTATTTAAACTTGCTATTTATAGAGCTGGCACATCAAAGAGATTATTTATTTTTAATTTTTTTTATTTAAAAGTATATTCCAATTTACTTGTTTCACGTATCAGATTTGGGTAAAGAAAGCATTAACAAATAATTTGTCTACTTTTCCTCTTTTGCTTTTAAAGCTATTTTAAAATGTCATAACTAAAAGTGTTAAGGTAGTGTCTGTATTTTTAATACTTTTCTCATACTTTAGTATATTGAATTTGTACTGTGAATTTTGCTTTTCTTATTTCTTCTATTATCTCAGGATTTTCATTGGAAGAAAAAAATTAACATAAGAGACAAAATGTCCTGTGAAACACACACACACGTGAGTCCTTTAAAAAGACAAAAGTTTAGTGAAAGATATTTTTCCTCCTAAATTCTGTTCACAGGATGTGATGGGGGCCTTTGGCCATAAAACATGATTCTGATGTTAAAGCAAAAAGTAAGACAGGAAGACTTAGCAAGGCCAGTGATGTCATTTATGAACTTAGGTATTCTTGATTTTGAGGCTTATGATTTATGTAAGAGTCTTATTTCTCTTAACAGTTTTTTGCTGGTTTAAATTAAACTCTTCAGAGAACAAATTTATTCAATTTTATTACCAAACCTCATAGACTGATACATTAGCTCAGTAGTTAGAAGTTTTTCCACAAAATATGTTTTGACCTGTAAACCGAGTAGTCCTCGTTACAGCTGCTCAGCGGATGCTGCATGGAGGAGGGAGGCTGGCTGGCTTTACCGGGACCCCGAGTGGCCATTGTTTTCTTTTCCCTGTTCCAGCCTGACCTGACGTCAGTGTGGGTGAGGGTGTTCTTCAGCCTGTGGCCCTGCAGCCTGGGATTGCAGGAGTTGCCGCCATGCCTGTTTCTGGGCTGTACTGGGGTAGAAGCCACAGTTTCCCACATGCTAGGCAAGCACCCGACCAAGTGAGCTTTCCTAGCCCTGGGCTTTGGGGGGTGATGTAGGGGCCTTTGAGACAGGGTTTCTCTGTGTACCCTGCTGTCCTGGACCCACTTTGTAGACGAGGCTGGACTCAACCTCACAGAGACCTGCCTGCCTCTGCCTCCCCAGTGCTGGGATCACAGGCTTGCACCACCACCCCATCTTACAGTGGTTCTTATCTGAAGGTGCTGATGTCTGCATGTGGGAGTTATTTGTAAAATGTGCCTAAGATTTAAAAGCTGTATTGAGTGTATTATGAAATGATCAGTACTTCAATTGGAAAAATATTTTTACATCTAGGAAATTTTTGTCTTTTTATATTGATAAAATGGTGACCACTTTTTATGTTTCTAAGCAAAAGAGGATAGAACTCAGTAGGTCTAGAGTGAGGCTAATTCATTGAATTTACTGTGCCCTTGCTTTTCATTCTGTGGCTTAGAGTAAAATTTATGGCTTAATGTCTTTGTTATAAATGAAGGTCTGTAAATTAGGTGGAAATTCTCAAAAGTATGAATTTATTTTGAGTGATTAATGTCATGAAATCATGGGGGCAATTTACATTGCTATTTCAATGCCATTTTGTAAACTTTTTAAATTTCATGTTATGTAAAGGTTTTTTTCTTATTGTCACTTGGGTTAGATCACCGAGACTAAACTATTATTTATCCCTGTATATTTATTTTTTTAACCTGTCTCTTGTTCGTCTGTAATAGATTTTATGGAAAAGATGTAATTTATTGTATAAAGACTACCAAGGCATTTGTTGTATAAAGAATCAAGTCAGTCAACACATTGTCCTGCTGTCACAGTCTCAGAACTGGTGTTGGAAAGAGAAACACAATCAGTGTGCTTAGCTTTAAGATGGGAAGAATTGTGATGGTGAAAGATGTTGCAAGCAGTGTTTGTAAGTCTTCAAGGAGGTACACTTAAAGGTCTTCGCATCCTGGCAGGGCCCAGTCGTGGTTGAAGTCTAATTGTTAATGGATGATTAAGGCAAGGCAAAGATAAAAATATTAATATCCACTGTTTACCACCATATTATTCGAAATGCAAGTGACCATGTAATACCACCTTGCTTGAAGTTTTTGACAAAAGAAGCAATATCTTGTCATTTGTAAATTTTCTTGTTCTAAAGAAAGCAGTTATGTTCTGTAGATAATAATTATGTAAATAAAAGTTATTTTATACCATTTTGTTTTGTCTTTTTCAAACAACAAAAGATAGTTATGTTTTGTTAACTGGTTTGTTTTCAATTGTCGTCTGTACTGCTTTATGAATATATGGTATTGCCAGGTGCAGTGGGTCAAGCCTGCAATCCCAGAACACACATGCAGAGGCAGGAGGTGTGTGAGTTCGGGGCAGGCGTGGGCCTCACAGTGAGCCACTTGCCTCCAAAAAAAAGTGAGAGAGTGAAAAAGAAAATGTGCATACTATAGGTGGATGAATTATTGATGCTTCTTATGTAGGTTTTTTTTTGTAAGAATAAATCACAGATTTTCCTGAATAAGTTTTTTTACTGCTTTAATTTAATTTTATATGTAATAACTCAAGATATTTTGCTCCTTCCTCCCCAATACACACACTTTATTTTCTCTATAAGAAAAAAATTTGGAAGCCTTACTCCCAGAGATAATAAAAAGCAGGATTTTTTGATCTATTTATTGACAATGATAAAAAGGTGTTTTTGCTGAGAGAATTAGCTGTGGAAGCTTTGCTGGTGTGGCCATTTCTTCAGATGCATAAGAGTTTCACCATGGATTTTGTTCTACTATCAAGGAGATATGTATATAGCTATGCCGTTTTGTCTGTTCACTTCACAGACATAGTAAATTCTTAGGATGCCATAGTCATTAACTATTATTCAATACCCCACTTATGAAAATTTAACTAGGTAATGCTACTTATGTGAGGGTCATGAGTTTGAGGTCAGCCTGGATCATAGCAACATCCTTTCTGTGCTGATTAGTAGTTTTGTTTTTGCTTTGTGTTTTCTGTTACTTATTTTTTTCAACTTGACACAAGCTGTAGTTGTTTTGGAATAGAGAACCTTAGCTGAGAAAATTCTTCCCAAAGATTGGCCAGTAGCAAGTCTATGGGGGCATCTTCTCTTCTTGATTAATTATTGCTGTAGGAGGACCCAGACTATTGAGTGTGTTGGCTCCCCTGGGTAGGTGGTCCTGAGTTACGTAAAAATGCAACCTGGTATGCAGTGTTTGTCCATGGCCTCTGCTTTAGTTCCTGCCTTGAGTTTCAGCTAACTTCCCTCAGTGATAGACTGTGATCAGGGAAGTTAACTAAAACACTGTCTGAAACCAAAATGAGGACGGGATTGCTCAGTGCTTAGAACTGCTCATGCAGAGAACTCTCTCTGGTGAACTCACAGCCACCGATAACTTCGGCGTTAGGGGACCTATGGCCTCTCTGGCCTCTGGGCCACTGCACTCATGTGCATACATTTGTACAGTCATTCGTGCATACACATAATTTAAAAGTAAATGTTAAAACCCTAATAGTTAATCCCAAGTATTCAGCCCTACCTACAAACATATATGTAACATTAAACAGCAATTTGCATTGTATGTTCTCACACATGTATACATTTAAATAATAAGCCATGAATTTGAGTGGAACAGTTCCTGCAAATCATACCAGCCTTTCTGGGATCCACTTGGCTCCTTCTGTGTCCTGCAGAAAAACACAAACATGCCCTCTTTCCCATATTAATACAGGGTCAGGGCCCTGCCATAGTCCAGTAATTGGATCTTTCCATTTTACTTGGGCATAATTATCTTTGGTATTAGGGTGCCACATTCGATCAGCCGCAAAACGGCCTTGTAAATCCACATTCAAAAAAATTTAAAGACAGCATGATTCAGATTTGGGGGTGTGACTCCCCTTTATTTTTTTGCATGCGCATGCTCCACAGTTCCTTGGACTCGAGGAATATATGGAACACATGTTTTATGACTTACTTTCATCTGTGCACAAAAAAAATGCTGAAAAGCCTGACTAATACATGCAGTACCATTATCAGTCTTTATAATGGAAGGAATACCAATTGTAGCAAAACATTTTAAGCAATGACTTATGACATGTTTGGTGGGTTCTCCTACTAAGGGAGTTGCCATGATAAATCCTGAAAAGGCATCGTTATGTGAACATTTTAGTTTTCCAAATTCTGGGATATGAGTAATGTCCATTTGTTTAGAATGGTTCCAACCCTAGGTTTTAAGTAAGTTAACTGTATGTTACAGATTTTAAACATACCCAATGACCAGTAATCTATAACCAAGACATATTGAACATGGTAAACTTACACATTCAAGACAGAACACATTGCTATTTGTTGAATCCAATTTCTTATGACCATGGAAGCTTTGTAGCTGAATTAACCATTAGCTTTCTTACTGGAAAAACTGAGAAGCTGTATACATTTAAATAATAAGCCATGAATTTGAGTGGGAGCTGGCTAGGGGTGGGAACTCATAAGAGGGGTAGGAGGGTCAAATGGTATATTTTTTTAATTAAATGAAGTAGTACCATTTTTCCCCCGTCAATTTTGTATAGTCCAGACCGGCTTCAAACTCACTATGTAGCCAGGGATAACCTTGAACCGGTAGTTTACCTCTTGAGTCCTGTAGTTGCTGGGAAATCATTTTCTGTGGCCCCAATGCCAGGGATAAATGTTTCAGTCAATTCAACTGCTTCAGTTTGGCTTCTTTCTTTTACATGGCTTATATGCTGTGTGAATGTTGTAAGATGTTTTCTTCTACATTGCAAGACCCTATTTGGGCTCAACTTGTAGCAAGGCAGACTAAATTTCATACTTTATATAGTAAACTCTGACTTGACTCCTATGCCCTCATTTCCTTTAGATTTTTAAAAAGCTTGTCATTTCTGGGGCTAGAGGGCTCAGTGGGTAGGAGCACTTGCTGCAGGCATATGAATACCTAAGTTTGGACCCAGCACCCACATAAAAGCTGGGATTACTGCCATGCCCCTGTTAAGTCCAGCGCTGTACAGGGCGGAAGGATCCCAGGCTGTCTAGCTGCAAACGTGAATCTAAGTTCAGTGAAAGACTTGGGCTCAAAGGAGTAAGGCAGAATGACATGACACCTGACATTTCTAGCCTCTGTGCACACATACATACACACGTATTTACATGTGTACACACAGGAAATGTCACGCCTTCAAAATATTTAATATAGTAGGCATATTTCATCTTTTTTCCTGTGTGTGTGTTACTTTTGATGGAGAGTAGCGTCTTTTGCATTCTAGACAAGCATTCTACAGCTTAACTATACCCCCAACCCAAGACTATTTTGTGGTGACGGTGTCTTTTTCAAAATTCATATTGAAACTTTTTTTCGTTCATCCAGTGTCTCCTTCTGGTGCCCAGACTGGCCTCTAACTTCATAGACTCAGAAGCCCCAGTGTCAACTCCCAGAAGGCGCCACCGACCAGGTGAACTTCCAGGGCGGGATTATTTAGAAGCACGATCTCTCAGAGGGAGGCTGAATCATGGGGACTCTGCTCTCACGAGGGGGACTTAGATGTCCGTATAGAGGAATAAGGACGGGTGTTTTCCCCCTTTCCACCCCTTCCGTTGTGTGGGAAGGCAGCATCTTGCAGGTGGAGACTTGGCCCTCAGGGGAGACCATACTTGCCAGCATGTTTGTCCTGGACATCACATTCTCCAGACAAGTTTCTGTTTGTATAAATTACTTAGTTTCAGACGACTTGTTGTTGATGATGTTTTTGAGACGGTGTTGTGAGGTCCTCCGCCTGCCTGTGCCTCTGGAATGCTGGGATCAGAGGTGTGGCTAGATGACAAGCGGCTAGTTTCAGACAGCAGCACGGATGGACTGAGTCGGAAGGATGCTAAGTTGCACGGCCTTCACATAAACCACCTTACACAGCCTTCTGTTAGATTCGGGGCGAAGGAGTCCGGTGCAGGAATGCTGACGTTCCTGCTGTTCGCTGTGAGGTTATAAATTGTGGAGTTTTTGCAGCTTGCTCCTATTCTGAGAGCGAGCTCTTCCTCGAGTGCTGATCTGCTGGTTCTGGAACCCTTTCCTCTTCCCTCTAACCGCTCCAGTACTTTGGCTAGATGGACTCTTCACGTTGTAAGCTACCGAAACGTTGACCCGTCTCCTATCAGCTGGCTAACCATGGTTTCCTACGGGCCAGGCTTCTTCCATGAAGCTGCCAATTAGTGAAGTCCACGGTCCCCAAGAGAGAAAGAGCGGCCCACCACGCCTGGTTTCTGTCTCAGTGGTGTTGTCTTCCTACCCGAGCTGGCTTTTCCTCGGCAGTCATCGGTGCTGTTCTCTCACAAACGTCTTTAAGTCTGGAACCAAGTTTCCTCCTAGGGCACAGCCAACGCTCTCTCGAGCTTGTCCTTCCTGATGTCCCTGACGCTTTTACTTTGCTCCTCTAAGCAAGCATGCTGTCGTGGCATGTAGTAAGTGTTCACTAAGTATGTGAGTGGGGAAAAAACAAACTAGCTAAGGCACTTCGTCCAGTGTTTTCAGTTTTTAGGGGTGTGTTGAAGGGCTGTTCCTGAAGACCCCAGGAACTGACGCCTATAATCCATCACATTCTTAATAAAGCTCAGATGTGCTGAAGCTTTTCAGTGAACGGGCCGGAGGCGTCCGCTCGCGCGCGACCGACAACATCTCAGCATAGGACACAGCGGCCGCGGGCCAGCAGCGGCTCCTGGGCTCGCGAGGGGACCGGGCCTCGCGGAGCTGCTCTTCTCTTCTCATTGGCCGTGTCGGGGGGCGTGGCGCGCGGTGCCGGCCAATGGGAGGCGGCCCGCGGTGGCACGTGCGCGGGGCTGGCCCGGGAGCCGGCGGACCAGGGCCGGGGCTGCAGGGCTCCGGGCTGCAAACCTGCCGGGAGAGGAAGCGCTGCACGGATCCCCCTCGCGCTATGTGGGGCGTGCTGAGGTCAGCCCTGCGGCCCCGCACTCGGGCCGCCGTCTCCCGGCAGCGCTCCTACCACGGGGACTCCGTGGCCCGCCTGGGCACCCAGCCCGACGCGGGCTCCTCCACCTACCAGGTAGGTTGAGCGAGCGTCCTGGCGGCCTGCTCGCCCTGCCGCCGCCTCCGAGTCGCCAGCGGCTGCAGGGTTGGCATGCTTGGGTCTCTGCTGGTCTTTCCTCTGCAGCCCCAGGCATCATTCTGGA